TAAGACCCCCTATAGTCCGGAACTTTTTACAAAAGGGTACCTTGTAATCCGACAAATTACATATCCCATGGTAAGATTATATATGTTATGTATATGTATGTACTTTGAAGTACAAATCATACATAGATTATGTATGTCGAATTTAGTAAATTAAATAACAATAGATAGCTTATGTTTTATTATGAAATTAAGCATAAATGCACTTACATATGTAATAAAATAATCAAGTATGATTAATCAAAATCATTAATGAATTTATCAAATTATGAAGCTTGGAAATATTCATCAATTTTTTTTGTTTAAGGTTGTTATAACGCGAGATCCGATGTTTGTCCCTCAGTCTTCTCAAAAGTAAAAGTTTGTTTTAGGATGTACCATTCTCTTCAGCCCATTGTAAACCTCGCTCAAAGGCGTTAATTGCGTCTTGTGCTGTGACTTGTGGAGCAGTTGCATTCACTTCGTCGTTATTTTCCTGATTGTTTGTTGTATAATTAGAAACCTCTTGTATAATCTCTTCGTCAGACATTTCATGAAAAACATTTTCCTCTTTATCCATTCCACGGCACCAGATTTCCAAATCTTCCGGACTTATCTGTGTTTCAGTAGCGACTTGTTCTATAACTTCCGAAGTATACTGATTTGTGGAACGTTGCTAGGAGTGGTGACTATATCTGGCAATAACTTTTTCCAAGACGATTTAATAGTTGATGACGGTAACGCATTCCACGACTGACAAAGAGCAAAAACCAAGTCTTTCATATTAAATTCTTTTAAACTTTTCTCTATTGGTTGGTCTTTTGGTACGGCTCTCAGAAGTAGGTTTTTCTTATAGACTTGCTTGACAAACTGAATGATATTCTGGTCCATTGGTTGAATCAGTGCAGTGCAATTTGGCGGAAGAAACATCGCAGTGTTGCACTTATCCTCAGTTGTTAGTTCTTCTTCAGACGGATGACCGGGAGCGTTATCAAGAAGCAACAACGCTTTTTGAGGAAAATTATGATCTTTTAACCATTTTCTAACTTCAGGTACGAAGCATTCATCAAACCACTTTTTGAAAAGGTCTTTGTCATCCATGCACTTTTTTGTCCGTAACTGTACAAGCAAATCAAACGTTTTTGAATGCCCGTGGTTTATTAGATTTCCCAATGACCATCATCTTAAGCGCGTGTGTACCCGCAGCGTTAGCACATGGTAGTATGGTTACACGCTCTTTACTTACTTTTCGTCCAGGTACGGATTTTTCTTTAAAAGAAACGAAAGTTCTGTTAAGCATCACACGCCAAAAAAGCTGTGATTCGTCTGCATTGTACAGCTGTGACGGGTCAAGATTTAAATCGTTCACCTTTTGCAAAAATCTTAATTTAAATAGCTCTATGCAGGTGGCATCGTTAGAAAGTTTCTCTCCTGTAATAGTCATTAAACGTATGCCATGACGACTTTTGAAACATTCTAGCCATCCTTTGCTGGCCACAAAATCATCTTTTTTTGCTATTTCCTTATACAAAAACTTAACTTTCATGGCCAACATGGGTTCTGGAATTGGTGCATGCCTATTTCTTTCCTGAAGAAACCACATGTATAAAGCTTCTTCCACTTCTGGATGTTCAGCTTTCTTGAGTGTCTGTCTCTTGCATGGCCCGCAGTCAGTAGTTGACACGAACTGCTTGATCTTCTCGTGGTTTCTTTTAATGTCATAAATTGTAGATCGGCCTACGTCGTATCCACTTGCTAAACTACGGAAAGTTTCATTGCGATTTAAGCGGTCTAAAATATCACATTTTTCTTTACTTGTCAATGTTTTGTGCTTTCGCTTCTGAGTTTTTGATGACATTACTAGGTACTATACTTAATACACAATGAATAAATATTAAACAATGAACGCACGCTAGGCCGTACCGCTATCACCAGTAGTCAAATTCAAACTAAGTAAAACAATGCTTACCCGTCGAGCACGATAGCGGTGGCGCGTACAAGTTGTAACCTGTTCAAACCTGCGTGATCTACATTAGCGAAGATTGTCAAATACGTATGTATGTAATACATATTCAAGACATGTCAGATTACAGGGGGCGCCGGATTAGACAGGGGCCGGATTATCGGGGGTCCACTGTACATTATTCCCCTTTACATGTGATGTGTAAGAAATATAATTCTGCAAGTAACCGGATTGATATATTTAACTGCAGAATTGCAGACATAATAAATAATACCACTAAGTGACCAGCATGTATCTTTTACACTTTGTAGTCTATTACTTATTATTGTCTTTTATATCTATGTTATGTTCTGTGTTTCCTCACCCTGTAATTGGTATTTACCTTAGGGTGTTGTAATGAATAAAATAAAATAAAACTTATCAGGCTTCTGTTTTGAGGCTGGTCTATTCGTCTTTATCAATTTGATCTGGTATGTCAAGGTTGTGGAACGAACTATCAAGAGGAAGCTTTTTCCAGGTTCCTGTACTTTTAGCTAGATCAAAACCTGTGTTAACAATTTTTTTTATTTCCCTGTGGCAACCCCTGCACCTCCTTGCTGCGGCTTTGGCTTCGTGGCAAGTAGAGCACAAAAAAGCAAATTTATGAGATTCAAATTTGTGAGCGGGGACAATTTAAAAACGACGAAATATGGGGTTAGGGGAAATAGAAATTTTGACATGTTCAGAAATTCGGAAACGCAAAATTTACGGGCGTTCTGGAAATTTCGTTTTTCGTTTACACCTGCGATGCTGCCGATTCCAAGAACCGATAAAACTTTTTCATTCCTTCAACAAACTTTATCAAAATCTTAGGTTCTTTCAACCAATAGGATAGATAAGTCAGAGATTAGTGACAAATAGAAAGATCAACAAACAGACCGACGAAAATGAGTGGCATGGTTTTGTTCCAAATATCACGCATCGACTATCAGGCTTTTCTTAATCGAAATAGTATATTTATCAACTAAATTACCCTATAATTCATCCAGTTGAATGCATCAAAAAGTTGCCAATAACTACTTGTTACTATATTTCAGCGATCCGTGTTTAGATTGTTTAATAGTGCAGTAAATGGAATGACAAGACTATGTGGTCAATCCGTTCAGCTATACCAGTACAGTTATAAGCTCGATTTATAAACTTGTTATACACTAGTAAAGTTATTGAACTTGTAACATCACTTCACGATTTTCTGATCGCTAAGAGAAATCATATATGTAGGATTGACTGTTTACTGACGTTTCGGCTAGCTCGGTGACCATTTTAAAAGTACAAATAAAAACATACATATCAAGATTTTTCTTATTTAGAATTAGTATTACAGCTTATTACGAAGAAACCTCTCAGGATCATGGACGTATTCCATTGGTAGATACATGGAAAAACATCAAAAGACAGCTGTTTTTTACGATAGCATTCAGCTGTGGGAGCTTGGATGGTGATAATATGAGAAAAACTGGGTTCATCTCTTTTCAGCAAAAAGGAAGACCTTTGGAAATACCAACTTATTTACTACTAATTATATAACTCTAAACGACCTTAATATGCCCTCTTGTGTCCAGATGCATAGCGTTGTGAATGTCTCTGACTGAAAATATAAATAGCACACGAAGTTGCTTCGTAGAAGAAAGTAGGAATGATTCAGGGGGGTCTTTTCTATACTATATAATACCTTTGTAATACCATACTTTTGATACCAACAAACTAGTGATGAAGCACGTAGTGGGTGATTGACAACCCGCATCTGCCTTATAATATTGTGACCAGTTGAAAGTTCAACCAAAGACATATAGGAAAATGGAGAGTCGCCTTGGCGGTAAAGCCCATGAGCAGTACTTTTACCAGCCAAAGATATCTGAAAATAATTTTTCCACCTCCGAAAGTGTAAATTTTTAATCCACTCTCCTTTAGTCGTAATACTATTAATAGCCGATTCTAGAACCACTTCGACGGTAAAAACTCTCCAATTTGAGGCATCAACACCAATGAAACAACTGAAATAATGTGGACAAGATCTAACCTTAAGCGTTTGCACACAGATCTAAGTACTTTGTTTAGCAACACTGCGAAATGTTTCACCGTGACCAATGCCCTAGTTCGGACAACGTACAGCGGTCCAGCGACTTAGTGATTTTTCAAGCTGAATCACAGTAGTCGTATAACAACTTTGACATTTTCTATTAGTCAATCAACAAACTATATTTGACAGGAAGGTGAAAACTAAAGCTCATGGCTACTGCTATTTATTATAATAGCGCTACACGGCTTGCTACGTTGGCTGAACGCGCTTTATAGAGTGCACCGCTCACTTGCCGAAGCAATAGCGAGTTTCAGTTATAGGATGTAGTGTTTACGTAAACGTTAACGTTGACATCAAGTCATAAGAAGCCAATGGTTATCTTTAACGTTTGCCTACGCGATACTTATGATTCTCAAGACTTTCTTTTGAACGCGTGTCGACGTCAACCATCTAAATTACTTGTCAAGATAACTAGTATAAAACCAGCAATACTACTCTTCTAGTTTATGAGGTGAAACCAATACTCTGTTTTCGGTGGTACCTCTTACAGATAGATAAACTCCAAAGCAATAACTTACAAATACACTCAGCTAGTAGTATCCGTCCAACAAATGTTGCACAGAAAAGTTAAAGGAGAATCTTTTTTATCTGTATGTGGGAGTGGTAGCAGGAAACGCGCACCAAAACATTTTGGTTCGAAATGATTTGTTTTGGAACAAATCATTTTGATCTGACAGCGTATTTTGCTGACTCAAAAATAATGCGACTGCTTTTTTGATCACTTTGTTCTACCTATATGGACAAATAACCAGAAATCGGTTTAAACTAACATACATATAAATAATCGCGTCATCATAATTTTAGAGCAACAGTTACATCATTGTTCAACAGCACACATTACCACTCTTAAAACAAACAATTAAAGCATTAAATTAATATAATTCATCTCGAATCTCAACAAATTGCATACAACTGAATCCAAGTCGAGTACTGGCGGCATAAGGAGAACAAACGTCTCGCTGAGAGCGGTTTCTTATCTCGAATGATTGCAGAAATAATTGAAACGATGCAATTCTGCTACGACGGACAGATTGTTGATGCACGTACATATTAACCTACTTGTCCTGCAATGCTGATAGCATAATTTACTTAATAAGCTCATCAAGTAACTGTCTTATGCCATGAAGTATGGATTATTAGTTTTAAGTGATTGCTGCTAGCTCAAGAACCAAGGGAGGAAATTGAGATTATAAGGGTCTAGATCAGATGGGCGACTAAAGTTGATGCATTATGCTTAAGGTAATTATAATGGTGATGATCGGGTATGGACTATTATCACAATAGTCATCGTAGCGATACAGTTTGTTGGTTTACTTCTCAGCACTTCTTACGCTCAGCTGCACCACCTATCTATACCTATATATAATTTCGCAGCTTTTTTGTGACTATGGGTTCTTTCGATGTTTCAGATTATATTTCTTCTAATCCTGCGATTATTGTAAACATCGGCATGGACTTTTCTGTTAATGAATTTTTCGAGCACTTTAGATATAGACCAGATAAAAAATACGTTTTTACAGACAAGTTTTTATTTAGTTGTTAATCAAATGAACAAAAAGTTTAAAACTCTTTACAATCGGTAAAAAATACATTAAAGTTTTTAGTTCATTTTATTAACAGCTAAGTAAAAGCTTTTATTTAAAAATGTATTTTTCTTATTTTACTTGTTTGTTGATCTTTAGTATTTATGATGTCAAATAACTCGTCTGGTTATCCCTATATAAACTTTACGTATCTTATCAATAGGACTCCATATAACTTCTTATCATGTTTGTATTACAAAATTTCGAAGGATATAATAATAATAATAATAATAATTTTGGCACTCGCCGCCTTATAAGGAGATTTCTGGAAAAAGGCCAAGGTGAACTCCTCCCTACGTAATCGATGCATACCTTCCAACGTGGAAGAGAATAAAAAGAAAAAGCATCGCAGACATTAGACAATTAAATACAGGTGAATGATACATTTTATAATTACCGCTGTAGTATGCAAACGTTATTACTATACGAGCCCGAATAGTCCATTACGGTAATCAGTGCAATAAAATTCATGTGTGAAAATTGAAACTGCTCTAATTGTTTCAAAATCAATGTTATGTTTACATGTGATTTGTTTGTTTCAGTGACCTTTTCGACTCCGAGGACAGTATGGTTCCATACTCGGGAAAAGAAACCTTTAAGATGAGAAAGTTTTCATTTCTGGATGAACCTAGTAGCAAGGTAAGACCCTGCAGTAACTGTAGGCAAACTTTGGTAATCAGAGCCACCTTAACAGTAGATGGAATTCAATTTAATAGTTTTTAGAATCCTCCATCTAACCCTGATTGAGCAGTAGTAACGTTAAAGGCTGTACTATTCGCTAAACATTCAGATAAGTAAGAATAGTTTGGGCATAAGAAAGCTGCTTGCTGTCGGAAATGAATATAATCTGAAATAATTTTTTAAGTCCATACTTCACCAAACATATCCAAAAGTTGTCTTGGCTATATATTAAAGTAAATGGATATCCTTATGATGTTGATACAGTTTATAATTATTCTATAAAATACAATTCAATGATACATTTTTATACTAAATATGAGCGCATCCTTGAAACTCTTCATCCAAAAACTGGATCACAGCGCAAGTAATTTAAGACAACTGTGTCAGATTCACATGTGGTTTAAGGAAGTACTTACAACTCGTTTGGGTATGAAGCTCGAAGTATTTGACTTTTTTATATAAACTGCTTGCTACTGGTAGACCCAAGTATCTAGTGACATTCGCAACAAAAACAATAGGTAATCAATATTAGAATACCCTATCACTGCACGGCGCTTTCTCGCTGCTCATTTTCCTATAATGCTGCTAGTCTTCATAATAGTATTCCTGTCGACTATAACACCATGAGTATATCTTGTTTCCGCAAGCATGGTAGGTTGAAGTTACATTGCCCTAAGTTATAATTTTTCTCTTCTTTGTTCAACTTTTGTTAACAACAGACATGCACGTTAGTTTATGGGCACTAAAGACGATATTACTATCATTATGTGATAATTAATGTAGACTAGGGACTTAAAGTTGACCTCCCACTGACGTGAAGCGATGTGTAGGGAACTGCAACAGCATTCATCAAAGAACCCAACAGAAGTTTCGCATCTCTTCTCTTCCCTTCTTTCAACGAGGATTTTTAAAATGTAATTAAGAAAGATATATTAAAGCTTTGCAGGGAATAGTGAAGTGGAAGCATAAGTTACATACTGATTAGTTGTTCTACCATCACCAAACATTCACTACACCACACGTACACGTACATCATACGCCAAGTTATTGCATTAACAATAAAGAACAACACTTACTCTTCTTAATAACACGAATTAAGATACTAAAAGAATATATTTACTGATTTGCTTATATTGTCATTTCAGTCTGTGTACAGAGTATGCAACATAAACCGCGTGTTTTGCAGGTAAAGACTAAAAACGTTGTCACTATGGCAAACAAATTTGTCCATTTGAGTGAATTCCATGATATTTACTTTAGGACAGGTTATGAATTGACTAATGGAGCTTCTAACATGACCTATTAAGGATGTAATGGTTTTGATTCCTCGGACAGTTAAACAGGAAACTCGCTCAGCTACGCGCTGTCAGAGTAGATTCGCTGCAGCTTGTCCGAATCAGGATTGCCACACGCCAAGATCTTTTTTTCATACCAGAGTTGCCAAACTTCGTACATTCGGCACAAAATCTCGTACACAGTACCTCTGACAGGGGACAGATTAGTAATACAAAGGAGTGGCGCTAATAATAGTAGTCAGTTCAACTCACGATATACAAGAAAACAAAAGCAATCACAGTTTTCTATTACAACAAATGAAAGTTCGTAATTCCTTTAGTACTACTGCATCGGGTTGTTCAATGCCTAACTGTGTTTGCCTTCATGTGGTGAATTGGTCTGAGTTTTGTGTGTTTGTTGAGATACTGGTTGCCTGATAGATCGATGACGACGGGTGGGCTAGACTTCGCAATGTCGGCTAGTGGTACTAAAACGCTTTGTATATATTTCTCCATAACTTAGTCAGTTAAAACAAGATCATGAAATATTTGCTTTCACAGGACAAACAGAGGCCACCGATCTACAACCCGGAAGACTACGCAACTCTTCTGAGAAAATGGGGCAAGAAGACAGCTACTGGCCTCCTGTCGTTGTACTCCAATTCGAGTACACCAGACCTGGACTGCACGAAGACCAAGATCTCCATCAAAGACTACAGGAATCCAATGCTGACTGGATCAGAAATGACCCTCAGGCAGTTTGGCAGTGTTTCTGAGCTCTTGGCAAAGCTGAAGTCTGACCTCAAGATGGCGTATCCAAGGTAACTTAGATTTTTGATCCGCTAGTACTCAGTACTCCGAGAGGAAAATCCACACACCCTGTGTTTTACTGCGACACTGCAATCAATCACAAAACTTATTAGTGTTAATAACATTTGAAAGAACAGGAAACCTACTTTGTAATAATTATTTAGTTTTACCACTTTCCTGTTAAAGCTCTTCTTAAGCACATCTCAATCCTCATTCAAGTTTAAGTTTAATTAAATAGCCACTATGCTCCAAGCATAGTTTTTATCGCTGTCCAGGGTTGAGCTATTGCTAGATATTTCCTTAAAACGGTGAACAGTACAGTTCTAGCCGCCTTTAAGATACTAACGTAGCTCGTGAGACATGTATTTGGCATAGAGCTAGGTCGGTTCTAAACAAGTCGTTCCAAAGAGATAATACCTCAGAGGGATTTGAAAGTACCGATTTCGATCATTACGAAGGAATCGCTTTCATTGGATTGAACTCTGATTCTGGTGATTTCGCTCCCTAAAATCGAGATCGACGGTTGCGATGCCCAGTGCTTAAAAGTTGTATTTTGAAAAGAACGGGACGACGCCTTAGACTCGAATTTCCGCCGGCACCGCAATACGGACCTTCACCATACCAAATCTTGTAATTCCATCGACACCACGAGTAACTATCGACGAGGTACTAGCTATTGAGTAGATTTTTGAATAACAAGTTACTAAGTATTTAAAATAGTATGAACAAAGTTAAAGAACAGAACTGAATGAAAAAAGGTTTAGAGGTGTAACATGAAGTCAGATCTGTGCATTTTCTAGCAAATCATTTGGCTGCTTATACAATTCAAAATCTTTTGAAACAGATGTCTACATCTGAAAATGGACCGACCCACCATAACCCATAAAGCTTACAAAGTTCTAACGAACGTGAAAATGAAATATTCAACTTCAATAGAGTTAAAAAATTCAAGTAAGGTACAGCTGAAAGAGGTTTTTTGGTAGAGTTTTCTTCGCATCTCGGGTTGCTCTCACTTCAATGTGAACGTCCATTTCTCCCACCTATCAAATTGGTAGATATTTGCTAGAATAGCTCATCAAGGAATATGGAGAAGATAATTTTTTAATTTGACTGTACAGATTCCAAAATTTTCACTTTTAAATGCGACACCACTAAATTAACAACCATCTGCCTGACCTCTCGATCCAAGTTTATACTCCATAAAGAGCAAGTACTAAGTTCTGCGGTTGAGTTTTGGGGGAGCAGACCTCATGAGTTTTCCGCTATTTAGTGCTTAAGTTTTCAATTTCTTTCTGGTCGTGATTCCACTAAATTTTCGTATAGTGGCTATTTAGACTAATACTTTCGATGATGAAACTATCTCAATTTCTTGATCTCATACAGCTTAATACTGACGGACATCGTAATTATCGAATTTCATCATGACCGTCTCAGCTAACTAATTAATGTAATGTATTTGACTAGTTAGCTAATTACGTTTCGCTAATTAATGCAATAACGGCTAACCTCGCAGACGTAAAAAATGAGATAAACTGAAAAAATATATCAGGCAGGAAGACAGTCTATAACGCAAACAGTGATGAGGAAAATTGCAAATTACTCCTCCTTCATTAGTGTGAAAACAGTGTGACAGGTCACAAAATGTTTCAAGCTCTGATCCCACTGATTGCCACAAGAATGTTCACGTCCAACAATTTCTATCACTCTCTTGACATAGCATTCGAGCAGACCCTGTCCAACCTGCTTCGTTGTACAATCCACGTCCAATGGCAAAATGCATTTACAACCCATCCATAGGTACTACAAATAGTAGACTGTTCTCAAGTTAAGTCAAAAGACAAGACAAAAGTAGTATCCAAACTCAAACCGAAGCGTGTCATTCAAGAAGTCGGTTGAAAATCCAACCAGTGGACCTTCTCAAGTGCTGGTATTTCACCCACCAAGTTCGGGTTATAGTATCGTGACCATCTTAATCAATAATCTAACTGCTGTGCAGTTTTTTGTAGCTCTCACTAACACCAATGGAATCAAAAGGAATCCTAAATAAATAGATGGAATAGGTTCCGAGACTGGAATAGAAATTATCAGCTCTCAAAATGAACTATGTGTTCATTGTATTTTTTATGCCGAAGGATTATTATAATAATAAGCATTGGTTTGTGATTTTTCTACTTTAGAAGTTTGCGTTGCTAGTGTACCACTTAACGCATGTTGCGGAGTGATTGGTTAAGTGTAAGAGTAGCAATGCTCGACTCCGCCAATCAGTCCACTGTAATTTTATTGTTCTGATAATAAAGACGTATACGTATATTATTATCATTTACACGGTATACCTAGGGTGCATCCAGACTGAAGTGATCATATTACCTTACTTGTTATATGTGCGGCACTCAACACCTGCCTTCTGCATGTTGATAAGGCTGTATTTCCCTGGGACGAATTTGATTGCTTCGGAGGACCTTTTACGATGCATTTTAAGTGGCGCTGTGCTTAAGGAGTAGCTTCAAGTGTCAGTTTCCAAGCAAACGACCGGAACTACGCGCCGTCCTACACTAGATAGCTTACCAAGTCCAGCTGACATCAATCTGACAGTCTGGTAAAATAAAAGAATAAATAGCGTAGTGCGTATTATATATTGTATACAAAAAAGTGTAGATAATATAATGCCAGGCATATTCTATATATAAAACAGCATACGATGAACGAAGGTACGTTCCAAGTTCACACAAAAAATTATCACACGTCTTGTCTTCTTCAACACGAAGCTTTGGGGCAGCAGCACGGCATGCAGCACTGCTGCGGCCCTCTACAGGGGTCCTGCGGAACTTGGCAGGGTGGTTCCGGGCAATCCACGCAATCAGGGTCGTTATCATCGCATTCGATGTAGATGCCCGGAGGTTGGTAGCTCATTTTGTTGACAGTGTTGTCTTCCATTCGTAGACTGGGTGGCACGAATTTCGGTTTCTCTGCCCAAGGCATGTCCATGGGTTCGGAGGGTTGCCATGGCTGGTAGGACATTTTTTGGACGGTTTTGTCACTGATTTTGCCTGGAAGTAATTACATATCAGGTGCGGAAACATAAAGGTCAATGGGACTCTAACAGTACAGTTGAATCATTTGGGGTTCGTCAACGATGCAGAATTTTGTTCAGGAAATTTTAAAGGCAGTTTAACCATGTTAACACATGAAGAAGGTATATGAACAACGACCCGGAATTGCTTATATCCTATAATACTTGTCCTCCTTCGATTGTCTACCTTACGCTTGACAGCAAATGACCGGGATGGGTATCATGTAGAAAACCTATAAAGCGTCAAATAAAAACCTATAAGATGTCATCTTGCGAACTAAGTAGCTTTTAGGGAGCAAACAGTCATTCCACGTTTGCTCACTAGGATCGTTGTGAACGTCCATCTACAGAGGAACCATTCAACTAAACTACATGCATTATTGGTTGCATATGTTTTGTGAGGCCGAGTGGTCCTTGTCTGTAGTTTTTTGAATAGCAAGATCGCATCTGGATGATTATGTATATTTGTCTGCATATGTATAAAATCAGTGATATCTGTTGTGTGAGGTAAAGCAATTACTGAATATGCTACCAATGGAGTATATCTAATGGATGTGCCCGACGGGTTATGCTTATGTAGTGCTTTCTGAAGAGAGGTTATGTTCAAAGTTATAAATTACGTTAAACTGAGTTGAATTATGGAAAATCACCAACGCTCCCGCGTTGTGTGTAATAAGTGTGTACTGTCGAGTTACATGTGGCTTGTAATTCGACAATGTACAGTGAATATAATTATTTCTTATCTCTCTCATTTTTTAAATACAGCAAATTTGTATATGTAATTTCCAGAATGGAAGGCTGCGCAACTAATTTCTAGCTTTGTACATCACACCAGAGCCAAAGATTGACAACAAGCCTCATGATGTTTAGGCAATACGTACAACTAAGTGCTTAGTTAACATCTTGTAAAAAAACTTACATAATGTCAAAAAAATCAATATAACGTCACTTTTTAAGATACATGATGCCCGTGCCGGAGGTTGAGATGAGATGACTTTTGGCACATGCAAATATATTTCCAAAAGACACATTAAGATATGTATATATACAAGATTGTTTTCTAAAGCACCTACATCACTGACATTTACGCTGAAAAGTCCCTATGCAGTACGTCATTGGTTTTTACAAAAAGTCCAAAGAAATATCAATATCTTAATGTGAGATTGATTATGAATAAAAATCTGCCTTCAGTTTTGCGTTCAGATACACCGATGCATCTTGTTTAACGTCGCTGAAAAATGGCAATTGAGAAGGCACTCGTTTTTACGAAAATATCGGGAAACTCCAAAAGGCACTTTTCAAGCAGAATTAATGCTTACTCATTTTTACAAATGACAGTGGTGTACAGTTTCATGTTTATATGAACCTTTTCACCATACTTTGATGTGCCGTATCCTTCCGAATTTTTATTTCAGTGCTTCGAATCTCAGACGCTCGCGGTACCAGATAGATACCTTTAGAAAAAATTAGACTAAAGAAAATTTAAAACAATGTATGTATATATTTAGCATTTTCCGTAAAGAATAGTTCCGTCTCAAGGGTGCCACAAATGTTTTTTAATTATACGGGAGATCATACATTTGGTAGTCTTTCCTGGATTATTATGGGATATATTCAAGAATTAGATTTCGATACGAGGTGGGTGAGCTCAGGAAGGCCATACTCTTTTTAAGGCAGATTATTAAAAAGTCGTGGTTATTAGAAAGCGACGCCCAAATTTCTTCTCAAAAATACAAACGCGGTGGAAGGACACCTACGTCTTTATTTTGTCAAGGCGGTACCTTGCCTCATTGACTTTGGCCGTCGACGCTAAACCTATAATACAGGCTCTCAGCAACACGTAAGTTTTACAGCAAATAAACTGTTATTTTGTTATTACTTTGAAATTATATAGATATATTATATTTATGCACTATGAAACTGAAGCAAAAAGTATCACTCGATTAAAAAATTGACAGTTGGCCTAGGGTGTAAGGATCTTATTAGGAGCATCTACGAATTCAGGGAATATCAATACCAACTTTTCAGTTGCAGGAGCAAGTCGAGTATATTATACCGGTTTCCAAATTGTACCATCTCGATACTTACCGAATTGTAGGAAGGGACTCAAGGAACATTTTGGTCGACTTAAATTAATTTTTACTTATACTCCCTACTTACAATGGTTATTGGCATCTTATCTAATATCGACATAAGGCTAGTTATTTTTTTAATTTGTTCAGGAATTCGTTCTTAGTTTTAGTGCTCAAGTGATATTTGTTGAGTATTTTTATGAGAATATATTATTGAAAGTATTCTATGCTTTATTTTAATTTAAGACCTATTTTTGTAGCTTAGGTAATATATTAGATATTTTTTTTATATCGAAACAGCCGCGCAGGCAGAAGCCTAAATGCCGGAACACCGCGGCTGCTATGATGATCCCAAAGAAATTTTGTTAATACGATTTTTGAACTGCCTAAGGTTAGTAGAACTGGGAAAAGCTTCCTCCCGTAGATTGTTCCACAATCTAGACACCCTCGGGACAAAGGAGCGGTCGTATCGGCCAGTTCTGGATGTACGAAGTTTGACACGGTTAGGATGGGACGCCGAAGTCAGGCGGGTCTGTCTGGCAGGCACATCGCGCGGCGGCATCATGGAAGAGAGCTCTGAGGAGCAAAGCCCGTTGGTGTAGCGATAGAAAAGAGCTAGATCGCCGACGGCCCGCCGGTGCGAAAGAGTCCCGAGACTATCTGTTAGAGAAGAGTCATCGATCAGTCGGACCGCCCTCCTCTGGACAGCATCGAGCATGGACAATGTAGCCGGGGCGGCAGCACCCCAAATGAGTGAGCAATACTCGAGGCTAGGCCTTATCTGGGCCTTGTATAGAGTGAGAAGGCCATGCGGAGAAAAGTACTTCTTAGCCCTAAACAAATAGCCTAGCTTTTTCCCAGCAGCTGCAGCTATTGAAGAGATGTGTTCGTGCCAGATCAGGTCCTCGGTGATCTGGACTCCGACCAGCCGAAATGAATGGCTCTTTGGTAGAACTCGACCGTCCATCGAAACTGTATGAGCGCTAGGACGCTTTTTGTTCGTCAAAGTACAGTACTGAGTTTTGGAAGCATTGAACTGTACAAGATTGTTGCGTCCCCAAGCAGTGATAGCCTCCAGGTCTCTTGTCAGAGAAGAAGTCGTCGCTAGTCTTCTTTTTTCCAGCTCAGCGGCAGAGATCGGCTTGTCACTCTGAATTCCTGCATGTAGAGTGCTGTCATCAGCGAAGCTGTGGATTGGGTTGATCGTGCAGGAAAGGAGGTCGTTGATATGTAAGAGAAACAGTGTCGGAGCCAAGACCGATCCCTGGGGAACACCCGCGTTGACGTTGTGGGATGAAGAGGAGAATCCGTCAATTACGACGGATATCTTGCGGCCAGAGATAAAGTCAGCCACCCATCTGCAAAGCTTTTCTGGGAGGCCGTAGGATGGAAGTTTGCTTAATAGGGCAGCGTGCCACAGCTGATCGAACGCTTTCGTGATGTCAAGAGCGACATGAGCCTCACCATGAGACTGGATGAGTTTACTCCACAGTTGCGTGGCGTAAGCTAGGAGGTCCCCTGTGGATCGGTGGTGCCGGAAACCGTACTGCCTGTCGCTAATCAAGCTGTGACGTTCGAGGTAGTCCAGAAGCTCGCGATTTATGCACCTCTCCATCACTTTACTTATAACAGAAAGCAGAGCTATAGGCCTGTAGTTGTAAGGGTCGGTTTTAGATCCTTTTTTTGGGATGGGCTGTACATGAGCAAATTTCCAGTTTTCTGGGAAGTTGCCGGATTCATAAGATATCTGGAAGAGACGCGAAAGAACTGGAGCAAGCTCCGCTGCACATCTCTTCAGTACAATGGCAGGAATCAAGTCCGGACCAGAAGCTTTGTTGATGTCGAGCGACAAGAGCACTCGTCTTACGGTCTTATGCCTGAATGTTACCTCCCGCATAGTGTGGGGAACCCTTTGAATTGACGGCACTTGGGCGTTGGTGGGGACGTCCATGGTGGAGTTGGCTGCAAAGATCTTGGCTAGCACTTCCGCCTTGGCCTTTGAGTCGAATACAATAGTTCCATCCTGACACGTAAGCGGTGGAAGGCTACTGTGTGAGAAGTTCATTTCAATCTGCTTGGCCAGTGTCCAGAAAGACCGACTACCATTGCGCTGCGACATTACCCTGTGCCTAACTTTTATATCATGCTGCTTTTGGCATTGCGAACCGCTTCGTTATATTTGTTTCTGGACTCGACGTCGGCTTGTCTGTTCTCTACAGTGGGGTTTTGTAAGTAGGTTCTGTGGGCCTTGATCTTCTGCTGGCGAGCAGTGTCACACGATTTTTTGAACCAGCCGTTGGACCCTGGTTTAGTTACTTTCACTGTGTGAGGGATGTATTCCTCCATTCCGACGTGGATAATTTCGGTTATTGAAGAACAGACAGTCGACGCATCCGCGTCAGTGAAACAGACATCTCTCCAAGGAAAGCTAGAGAAGAAGTCTCTGAGCCCCTCCCAGTCGGCATGTCCGTAATGCCAAGTTTTGCGGCCTGTGCGAGTTTCTGCTTCTGACCGAAACCTAACCTCCACAACACCGTGATCTGAGTTACCCAGGGGGGACAGGACAGCAGTGCTGTAAGGGGCAGGATGCGTGGTCAGAAAGAGATCCAGCAGGCTACTGGCGTGTGACGAGACGCGGGGGAAAAAAGTAGGGCTCATCACCAGCTGGGTCAGCCCTTGAGTAAGAGCGAATGCTTCTACTGCACGACCTGCTGCATCGGTCTTATTTGAGCCCAACCAAAGCTCATTATGGGCATTGAAATCACCGAGAAGAACTACCTCTGAAGCGGGGTGATTGATGTTCAGGAAGTCGATCTGGACGGCGAGGTATTCGAGTAGGTCATCCCAGTTATGGTTCGATGGAGAGCGATAAAGGCAGCAAATAAATTTGGGTGATGTTTTGGAGTTGAGGCGAAGCCACAGAATGTCCTTTCGGTCTGATTCCAAAGAAAGATCCCTGGAGCAGGAAAGACTGCTGCGGACAAAAGCCACAACTCCCCCGTTCTTTCTCAGATTGGAGTGCACCTCGTAGTTTGGGAAGTTGAGATGGTTAATCGGTGCGGTCTCTGAGATTTTTGTCTCCGCCAAGAAAAGCACGGCGGGACGATTGGATTGCAGGTAGTGATGAACAGCATCAATGTTGCTGTTGATCCCGCAGATGTTCGAAAAACAAATTTTATCTTCGATGTTGTTCCCTCGAGCCCACCCTCCACCCGGACATTCCGAGAGTGGAGTGAGTTTACGTCCGGAGTTTTTAGTGCTCGAGGGATCCATCATCACTAATTTCTTTGTTTTGGTAGATAACCGACTGCATAGCTTAGGTGTGGAAACATGTGGACATTTATAAGACACCCTGGGAAAAGCTAGCGAGTGGTACTGCCTCGGTCGACTGGTCCTTGTCTACCACCTTCTTTTTACGTTTTAGTGATGTTAAATAGACCTAAAGTGGCCCGTTGACCCGTTTGACCACAACGTCACTTTTAAGCCAAGCGACTGATTCATTATAACGGTCTTGAGTAGCCAGGTTACTTGCATGGTCGTTTAGAAAGGTATAGTAAAATTTTAATCAAATAAATGCTTTGACTGCCGGCTCTTTATACTGAGTGTTTTTCTTAGAAAAATATTTTTAACCCAAATCAAAACGGATCAACGACATATACTACTCGTTTTCTGCAAGCCAGATTCCATTTGTTTGACAAATAAATGAGTCCTTGAAACTAGTAACCTGTATGTATATAGCTATATAGAGCCTATACACTAGGAGTACCGATAAAAAACGACCCAGATCCGGCTGCCTGAGTCCCCAGGTGTTTTTTTTAATAAAGCTTGCAGGGTTGCCTGGCTACTGTAATCAGTTCTCCTATTATTTATCATACATAAAAATCAAGTTATTATATAAAAACAGTTACCTGTTGATTCAAGTGGTTGAATCTTAGACTATTAGAAAACTGTTCTTAGGGCGCATTTGTTAAAGTACAGCGTTGCCAGATAGATAAGAATTGCTATATTTTCAGAAAAGATCCCCCACGTCACAGTTAATAAAATAGGTTTGATTTAAAGAGCTGGGATATGCTTTCGTTTCGTGAAACGTGTGGTTTTTCCCGGACCATTATTTAAAAAAAATACCGAGCAAGAAAAAATCCCTCAAATTTGGGGGAAACTCCCCCAATATGGCAACCCTGTCATAGCACCACTGGGACTGTGCTCGTCAAAATTCGGGGTGGTGCTTATACAGCATGAACAGTAATGCTGTGGTTTCTCCTAGTACATAGGCTTCATGGTAGTTATGTTGGATTGGACATAAATACCTTCTACACCTTCATTTTGAAATCTATAGCTTAACGGTCAGCATAGTACCACATTATTGATCTGCTTACTCACCTGTCGGCTTAGAAATGGCGTTAACAGGTTTGACAGGTACCACTTTTACCTTTTCGAGGTCTACTGGCATGTACGATAGCCTATTTACAGTCTTGTTGCTCAAAGGGCAATCGGACGTGAACAGGTTGGTGATCGGTTTCACCGGGACTGGCTTGACGTATGGTTTAGGCACGTAGTCGTGCTTTTGGGTGGTAATGTCTTGCATAGGCCCCTCTCCGATCAGCTTGTGTTCGCAAGGGTAAATAGGACAAGCGGGTTTCACCTGAAAGTCGTCATATTTGAAGCTTAACTTATAACTGAAATAACCTTATCAACCCTACTGCGAACTCCTGCGTACCTGGTAAGTTGGGTGGACGGTCGATTTACAAGTACCAGATGAGAAATTAAGTAAAAATAGGGGCGGTCAAAAACTGCAAGGAACAGGAGCAATCCTGGACCTCTGGATTTGAGGCAGAATTCTTGTATTTCGCAAGAGTAAATAATGAGCGAACGTACAATAATAGAAGGATTGCCATATGCACTGACAATTAGGCGTCACTCAAAGCGCTACGATGTCCTAGAGTGACATCTGTACTGATTTGGAAAAACCTGTATATATTTCACGTGAGAATGACAGTCGCCTTGTATTCAATACTTTACTCAAGAAAATTCAAATGCCGTCTCATTTAATCATAATTCCGGTCCTGACACGCAACATTTGTGTTAGAAAACGTATATACAATACTTGAAACCAGAAAAGACCGTCATGTATGTTATAAGTTTCATGCAAGGTCTTCTACTACAAAAACATTCAACAGTTTTTTTATGCATACAAAAAAGATATATTCTTACACATGAATAAATCATAAACCAAACTTATTATCTAAAAGGTTATACATAAAGGTTATATAGGGGGTTCAACTCATAGCGGAGATCACCTTGTACGCGGGCGTGCTAGTACATGCCCAAAGTTTTGTCTTTCAGAAAATGAGGGAGATACGTCTAGCAGTCGCAACTGACGACACCTGATTCCTAGAAAAAAACGGCCATTCATCAAGATCACGTGTGGATTGCTTCATTTCTCCAGCACTTTGCGTATCCTAAATCGGAATTATCTAAACATGTAGCTCTTTGGTCATCCTCCTTCACTTTGAAACAAATAGCTCACCTTATGTGGTTGATATGACATCCTGTTGATCGTGTCATCTGACATCTTCCCATCGCCAACGCAAAGGTTTCCTTCAGGGACGATCGATACTGGTTTTTCTGCTTCCACAGGCACATACGACTTTCGGTAGATGGTATTATCTTCCATCTTCATTTCCGGTGCTATGTAGTTCCGTTGGGGTGCATAGGACTTGGGTCTAGGCGGTTGGATGTACTTGCATTTTCTTCGGGGCTTTTTGGGGGGCTCGGGTGGGGATGTTTTCGTGATGGGGACGCACACGTTACAGCAATCGTTGTTTTGACATTCTCCGCCTGGATTCAGGTTATTCCTGTGAAAGTGAATCAACGGTTCTGAGACTGATTATTAACAAGTGTCTTGTCGAAATGATCACGCACAAACCTTTTTGTGATTCTTGTGCAATTCAAAAACCGCCAGGGGTTACATGGCATTTATTTCCTTACTATTTGATGTATCATTTATTTAATATGAGAGGGTAGACTTGTCAGGAAAGCACAACTATACATTCCTTATTTGGGCCCTCGTCAGTACGAGATAAACGTTGAATAGTTGGTGGCTACAGGATCAAAGGAACCGACAGTAGCTCTCGCATATTCAGAGAAACGCAAATATCACTGACGAGGTAATGTGTATAAGAGAGAAGCACGAGAAGTGTGCAATAGATATGCTAGAAAGAGTGCGCTGATGACAGCACGACAAGCCGCAGTTGCGTCCGTGGCCTCGTCACTCGGCTTGCTAGGCAACGTGGTGCCACTATCCCTTTCTCAAGGTAGCCACTGCACGCTTCTCTCGCGCACATTACGACATCAATGGTATATCGATTTCTCTGAATATACAGGGTGCAAACGTTATTATAGTCATTATTCAAATGGGTGATAGAGGGAGTTGAAAGAAGCAAAAAGTTTCATATAACATGGAGGTCAAAACGGCATTTGTTTAGAGATAATCGACTTTAAAGTAAAATAAAATCTGAAAACGCCGCAATGCCAGACGCAAATTACGACGGAACGCAGTGTAAATAAATATTGAGTTTGTTATTTTTGCCTCTTGGGTATTATTTCATTATTTGATAACGTAGTCGTAAAATGCAAACAATTAAAAAAAAGGATTTACCACTAATTGCCTCAGCGCTTCACCTGGTGTGTGAAAGTTTGTTGAACGTATTAAAATAATCCACTTATAGATAGGGAACACAATTTTGATACATACATTGTTTTTCTTTTTAAAACCCACACTGCACTTTTTTTGTATTTAATGAAGGTGTTTAAAATGTCGTCCTCCACTTTCCACACAAGCTTCATTACGATCTTCACGAGTGGTATGAGGATTTTCTTGGGCCCACGTGTGAGTATTATGGAAATTTAATATTCCGTCTCGTGTAAAAGTACATTCGTCCGTCGCTAGAATGTTTTTCAAAAAATCCGGATTTTCAATGTTTTTGTGCATAAACCACTGACAGAATCTTAGTCTGCGAGGATAGTCTTCTGGTTACAAGGCCTGCACTCCTTGTACATGGTACGAATAAAGCAATTTTTCCCGTAGGATTCTATGGACTATGGTATGCGATAGTCCTACGAGGCGGCCTAATTCCCGAGTGCTGATAACTGCATTGGATTTCTCGATATTTATAATTTGTTCCTCCTGCTCTACAGTAACCTGTATTTCACGAGTGCGAATATTAGTAGGCTGAACAGTTCCTGTATCTCGAAGTCTTTGGTACACTTGCACAAATGTCTGGGTGTACCCGTTGGCGAAATCTGTCGCGATAAATGTGAGCTGCAAGATTTGAATTCTGACGAGCTTCACCGTAAACTAACAACATGTCAGCGAACTCTTGATTCGAGAACATTGTAAATCAAAACGACGACGTACGCGAACAAAGACAAAACAACATGCTGACCACTGTTACCGTTTGCGATCGATTGTCGGTTCGATAGGAGTGATGATGACAGACAGACAGACATACCAATAAACAAAGAGACCTATAGACAGAGAGATCGATGGAAGTGGGTAACATGGTCTTTCATGTTGTGCATGCCACATTGAATTCTGTCGCGATTACAATACTTCCTTGTCAATTGGCGTCGGAACTGAAATGGATGTAGTCTCACCTGTTGGGGTCACATGGATTCACTTGATACTTCGGTAGGTTATCTGCAATGACGGGCAATGTGCATGGACAACAATCGCATGGCGGACACGGTGGGCAGGTAATGTTGGACCTAGGAGCGGAAGGGAGACGACCACATGGTTGACAGGACGCCATTGCTAACGGGTACATACGGACAAGAAAAAAACACAAAAATGGGATGATAAATTTTGAGGCGATATTCAAAATGTCAAACGCATTGTCAGTGTAACTTCACACGCTTGCGATTGTTTGCTGGGCGGAAGTTACAGGATGTTGTAGATGGGTAAACTTTTTTATATTTGTGGAGTCAGTCCCACCAGGAAAAGTTTTAGGACCCACCCCATATAGTATCGTATTTCCATAGAGACTTGCTCTAAATTGAGGACTAGCTAAAGAGATCGTGCGTACAATTCAATGAAAGTCATATTCTTAATCGTCGCTCACAAGTAGGTACACTTAAGGATATCTCAATGAAGTGATCCTGTTTCCTAAAGTAGGTACTCGAAATCGGCAACCTCATGATCTGACAAATTTGAATCGAATTTCTGTTAACCTTTTTCATGGTTGAGGTTTTGGGATTTGTGTTTGAAGTTACACAGACCAAAATATTAAGAACGAAAATATGTTGTATTCACCATTCTTGGCGGTTGCGTTATTAACGCCTTATGAAATAGGGAAACAGATCGAGTGTCCGTACCATCAGCCCATATGCTACCTTCTCCAGTACGCATAAAGTGCAAAACGTATAGGATAGAACTATATGTCTCAAAATTACAGCACCAGTTGTCGCCCCACGAGAAAACAAGCTCTAATTTTCAAGCTAATAATGTGATCCGATTTTTACAGGTACTCAATGTAACGAGCTTTCAAGACCAGTGGTTATCAAACTGATTATATATTGTCCATGATAGTAAAGACCTGCTCAAGGAAGCTCAATAACATGACGTTTCTTGTAATTATCTCCTGCTGATAGCCCATTCCTGCCACTGGCCATAAGCCTTTTGCTCAAAATAAGAAATTTGAGCTAGGGCATTCAATGTTTCACATCTTTTCAGAACCATCAGTATATAACGATTCGTGTTCTGGCATCATTCTTCTTGATGCACCTCCTACATTAAATAATGTATATATATGCTATATAAATATGACTAATTCAATTCAGCTACAAGCAGTGATATTGTTGAATAGATAGCAAGAAGAGCGGGCAGATTTAAATTTAGAGGATGGCCAAAGTGCTCATTAAAGATCTTTATACCAAACCTTGTGGCTAGGTGTTGGATTCCAATGCAAAAACTTTATTGTCAATGACAATGGCATAGCGACCTTCCCAGAACGTTTTGTGATCACAGAGCAAAAAAACTCTAGAATAGAACAAATCTACATCAAAATCTAACACTCTTGTACGCAATTGGGGGTAGTAAAAGAAAACGTACAATTTTGCCTAGAGATGGTGTGACCCATGATAGCTGTCACTATCTAAACAGTCCTCAAAAGATTAGGGCCTATATGGCATGAAAGTCAAAAGTATGTTTGACTTCCTACGACACTGGGCGAGAAAGTATTTTAATCACCAAGAATATAATAATAAACGGCTTTATTGACGGAGTTTAGCACAGCTATTCTTACACTCAACCTTCCTAAAGACTAAAGCTTAATGGTAATTTGACATACAAATATGGTAGTTTACATATACAGTAAACGATTGTATGTCTATGAATCTAACTAAAAGAACATAATGGTAATTGTTCACAGGGCATTCATTCATTGATCCTGTGCTGAATTCCTAGAAGATGTTGTCTGAGCTGCAGCTTGAAACGCATGTTATTAGTATTTGATATATCAATATTCCTGCCATAGATGTTAAAGAGAGACACTGCACCATACGTGAAAGATCTATAAAAGCGTGATGTTACATACATAGGCATTGTAAAATGTCTTATATTCACATTATGTATACTTGACCTAGGGACCGGCTTTTCTACTAATTATACGGGATTCTTAGAAAATAATACACGATTCAATGTTGTTAGGTAAAAATATTTGAACAGAGAATTGATATTAAGCCATTGTAAAAGCCTGAAACGATTAGATATGTGGTCAAATTTACGTGAGTTACAAACAAAACGGCACGAGTTATTCTCTGCAGGCGCATTTGAGTCGAATAGTCCAGGCATGGATAAAAAACTATCAAACCATAGCTGATAATGGATAGCAGTAAAATTTCAGCCAGCTTTTTCCTCATCTTGAAGTTAATAATGTACTTATTGTCATACAGTACTCGCAAATTCAAATAACACCTTTGAGATGTTGTTTTAATGTATTGTTGGTAACGTAACTTGTCATCTATGATCAAATCAAGTATCTTACAGCTAGTTGAAAAACAAAGATGTTGTTCATTCAAGAAGATGGCCAGACCACCGTTCAAGTCTTCTCTCTTGTGATCAGAACAGAAAATCACAAGTTTCGTTTTATCAGGATTTAGTTTCAAATTGTACTCTTCACAATTGTCAGATTCTGCTCGTAAGTCAGTGTTGATTAAATCATTTGCCTGTTCCACAAAAAATGGTTCAAAATGAAACAGAAGTTGCGTGTCATCAGCATAAGATTGAATGTGTGAGTAATGTACGGATTTCAAGATATCACCTGTGTATATAATGAATTACAACGGTCCTAAAACAGAGCCTTGAGGAACTCCTGAGGTTATTGTTGTTATGTAGACTAACGCTTTGCTTACGAAGACTCAAGTAATTGCAAAATAAGTTGAACGCTCTACGGTCAAGGCCACAATGATACAGTTTTGCGCACATAAGTGAATGATCAATGGTGTCAAACGCTTTTGAATAATCCAAGGATATAAGTAGAGTGGCAAGCCTCTCATCTAGCGACCGTATACTTTTATCATTAAGATTTAAAAGAGCAGTGGTTGTATTATGCCTTCCCCTAAAACCCGACTGGTGCTTCGGAAGAACGTTTTCATCTATTGAATACTGATTTAGCTGTACTATTTTTTCTAACAGTTTTAATTGAATTGAAAATGTTTAAAGTTCGTGAAAGGAGGATATACATGGCGCTGAACTCAATACGGCGTTGCATAGAAGGTGCATTTTTTAAACTATCAACTTCTTTTGTCATATTTCTGTATTGGTAATTGGTGTTCAGTATTGCGAAGTTTCTAAACCTGATTGCAAGATCGCTAGTGAGATGTCTTTCAGATACGTGAACTTGTTAAAGAAATACAGGTGTCACTCTTGTGCACACTTTCATCTGAATCGAAAGTAAAAATTGTATGATGGTAATTAAAATATCTATGTGACACAAAAGACACTCGACTACGATCAAACTGCACTTAGTGTCTTTATGAACGACTCACTGTAATAACGAGGGTAACATTAACGTCATTTTCATTGGCAAACATCAATGAAAGTATGTTGAAATTGTCACTTTCTTTTTATGAGCATGCAGGTTTTTGTTCGTTTGAGAGCTGGTAGGAAGCCGATCCATGCACTGCTAGCAGTTTCTGCTGCGGATTTGTTTCTTTTCTTAATGAAGGTTGCTATAGCAAATGATACGAGAAAGTGTAACGATCTGTGAATTATAAATGAGGATATAAGTGTTATTGATAAAGAAATTGTGTCATGTTGGTCGCGATAATATTTTTGTTGGTGCCATAATAAGTGCTTCTTCTAGGACGTTAGTTCTTGACCATCAGTTCAAAATGTGAAGCAGAAGCATGTAGAGCTGATATATACCTGCAGAATAAAGTAATCATGGACAAGAGAGCAATGGAATAAATGATGCTGTTGTATTGTTAAAAAATCGCAAGATTGCCAACCGTTTGCCAATGAAAATAATTGACAAGATGTTACAGAATGTTCTAAGGAAAGCTTGCGGGCAGAAAAATGTCCATGGGTCCTCAATTTTAAGGAGGCTGCAATATGCTATTACTCATTTTTGCAGCAGAGGTGTACTTTACTAAAGATCTAGGTCTGCTGGTGCAACCGCTGCTGCTCTAGTGTCTTAGGAAATGCTTTTGTAGATGCTAATGTGACTTTTGATAATACAGTTGTGAGTAATAAAACTCATCTCAATATCTCAACCTGTTCTTGCAGAATCTAGGGTGAACTGTCAAAGTGACTTGTTTGTCTTATGATTCCCTAAACATCTAGTAAGGATCACAGTGGAGTCATAAGTCAATTTTTTACAGTTGTGTCATTAAAATCCTATTTTTAGTGTAAATTTATAGGAATGCAAGTGTTTGCAGACAATTGTGGTATTGTACGATTGCAAGGCATGGTGCTTCTTACATAATGTGTAAAGAACGATATAAACTTAATGATGGTAGATGTGTCCACGGTATTATTACTAGTATTATTATTATTATTGGTAGACAAATTAGTCAAAAGTATGCACTAACGCAATTTTGGCGACAAACAATGCAATGTAAACATACATAATAAGCTTGGCATAAACCAAGGAATTCGAATAGATTAGAAGGAGCTCATATATTTTCATTGCATCGTTTTTCCCCAAAATTAGCTGAGCTGAGAGAATTAGCTGAAAATCAGCTGTAAGTGCTAGCTAGGTCGATTACTCTGTTATTGCACATAGTATCTAGAAAAGGTAATTATAAAAATTTCAGTTAACACAATTCTCCTTTCATGAAAATATTTTAATCTCTTCAGTATGGTTCATAACTTTTGCAGTATCCCAAACATGCGTTTGTTAAATGGAGAGCATTACATTTTATTATAGAATTGGATACTCCCTTTCAAACGAAGCAATTTGGTATACCATACTATAGGTTTCTATTTCCAAATTGTGGAAGTATTTGATATTATATCGGATAAGACACTGATCTTTGACAGCTCGCACCTCCGTAATTATTATACTGTTTTCTTTATACCGTTCGCCGAGAAAGTAACTACTAAGATACATAATTTTTTGTCAAAGAAGTTCTATGATGCCTTATTTTGTTCCTATCCTCTCACATTCTCAGTTTTTTGAAGAGTTTATGCAGAGTTTAAAGGGAACACGCATTTTCACCATTTTCATATTCTTTGATTCACCTTCCCACAAGTTTTTTATATGAGGCTTTTGGGGTTTTGTCAACCTGTTTGTACCCAGGCGAATGAACAATATTTCAATACTTAAAAACCAAACCTCAAAGAACGCATTTATTTGATAACGGCGTAATTTCTATAAGCTAATTCAACCAGCCTTATGCAATTAAATCAAAAGGTGTCCCTTTTTTTCAGCAACTGAAAAAGCAGTCATACAAATCTTCGTAAACCTTATATCAGAAAACAGTTTATGAGAAATTTTGAAAAACCATTAAGTTTGGCTTCTTGACTACCCTGTATAAACTTGGCAGATAACTGAAAAAGCATGTATTGATATGAACAAAATATTGGATCATAACTTCTTAAAGAAAAATTCAGTACCTTAGCTATAACGGATGTGAAGGTGCCAGTTTTCAAAGTTGAGTTTTTTCTACAGATTGTCCAATGTCTGAAATAAATCTGAAAAAAAATCCAATGCTTTGTTTGAAAGTGCCTATCCAAACCTGGAATGAAATATAGGGCTTTCCATCGAAAAATTTTATCATTTCCCTTTAGAATTAAAAACATTCACCAAGTCAAAAGGCTACAATTTTTGTATTTAATTTTTTCAAATACAATGCGTAATAACGAGTTATCGACCGAACACTTAAACTCCCCCTGCATATAGGTAAGATATAGTCTAAAGAGTATGAAATCACCAAATTGTGTCGAAAAATATATTTAGTAGGGGAAAGTGCTGAAGAACAAAACTAAACGGTTTGAAAACGTGACATTGATCATGAGGAATCATTTGGTTGCCTTGAATGAGAACTTTCATTTTTAACACGGAAAATCGCACAATATAAAGAGTAGAAAATTTTCGGAAGAAGCGTGTCCTTGCTCGTTTCTTTCAAAGTCATTTGAGAGTGTCCAAAAGAAATAAAAGGACCAAATATTTGGAATAATACGTTTTATAGGGATTGGTGTTGCAAAAACAAGTTGTTAAGTTTGAAAAGGGTCATCTAATGGTGACCTTCAACGTGACCTTGATTTATGAACGGGTTAATGTGGGGGTCTAATGTTTGAACCCCGTGTTTTTGACACCGGAAAGGTAGACATCATGAAACTTTATGCTCGAAAATTTCAGTGTTCTAGTGCTGAACCACGACTCTCGTCGAGGTCAAATATATGTTGTAACGGAAAACGTCTATTTTTGATTCCGGGTATCAGCAGGGCGAAATATTTTACATTCAAGTATATCATTATCCAAGACTGTCAAGATTATTTGAGGGTCAAATGAATTTTTTGACACGATACTTCTATTCGTGCTCCCGAAAAATGTGATTTCCTCCTCCTTCCGCCATGGTCAAGGTAAACGCTCTCTAGGAAATATGTGTTGGAGATATTTCGATGTTTCGTACTTGCTGGATCACCAGTTATACAGATAAGGTGTTGAACACAACACACTTTGAATACACCCTTTTTGCTTTCGTTACGACCTTAATTAAAGTGCTGATATTACTACTCTATTCCAGCTTCGTCCAAGAGTTCGTAGGCGACCCACTGGACGGCGTGACGCTTTTACTGGATCTCCTTAGAGCCATCCAGCTCAGCCAATCTGCCTCTCCGGTGGACCAATCAAACGCTATGAGCGCTGCATCGATGCCCACCAAAGTACCACCAGCATTGCAGCGTCGCGCGCTTCTGGACGAGCTAGCCTGCCTGCAGTGCCTCCATGCCTGCTGCACCAGGTACTCGGAGGCTGTGAGGAAGTTGACCACCACTTCTGCAGGGCTGTTCACTTTGGCCATTTGTATTATGAGTAATGTGAACAAGTCTAGAACTCTCGCTTTACAGGTAAGTAGAACTCATATCTGTGGACATAGTTAAGTGATTTTCGAACCTTCGAGAGACATACGTGAAAGGCGCGTGACCACAACACGAGCAGCATGAATTATCAATTTGACTAAAAGCGATGCATCCTTTTCGAGTGCTTTCAAGCTCAAGCTGCCTGAGAAACTATCAAAGAGTATCGAAACCAGAAGACTCGAGTAACTTCATTAATGCGTACAGTTCAGTGTTATTTTTTCAAAAGAAAATCCGTGTCGCATTGTATTTCCAATGCCCCAGCGCTGCCAGTCTACTAATTTTTTTAATGACAAAACCCGAAAATTTGAGTAGCGTCACTTTCTTGACATCCTGCGTATCAGGTGAGAAAGGTAAGAAAAAAAGGACTAGTTTATATTCTGATTGCTGATTATTATACATAGTTTGCCAAACACCATTCGAGAGTAGCATAAACCAAACGCTTCGAATCTTTAAATACGAGTATGTGATAGTGTTTAATAAAATATAAATAAAATTAGCCGTCAGAATTGGAGTTGTTGGTCCTATTTCTACTTACCTTTCGCAAATTATATCTGTAAATCGGCCATCTACCCAATTAAGCGGACACGTAGGTGTTCAAAGAACGTATAAACGGTTCATATTGCACAACATTTTGCCTTGCAGAAAATAAAGTATGTCTCGAAGCCTTGGGATCTTACTATGTCTAAAGTTCTATTTCACACAGTTTCAGCATTGGTTTTTTTTTATATTCCAACTACCACGAAGGCTTAAGTCCTAAGAACCCATTGGGTACCGTGGGGCTATAGGGGGATACATGGGAAAGGGGGAACGCCACACGGACTCTGGCGAGAGAACACGTGTGCATGCAATATGCACACATTCTTGCTCCGCCTACGAGATACGCCGGGTGGTACCTCCGCGTTCGACAGTCAGAGACCGTCTACCACCTACTGACAATCACAACACGGGACTCGAACCCGCACAGCGCACGGCGACTGATCAGGAAACCGAAGAGTCTACTACTGCGGCCACCGCTGCGGCCGCGGCTACTGGAACTATTAAAATATCTCTTTGCACGTAGGAAATTTCATATTGAAGTTAATGTTTTGACGTCCGGTAGGGCCTGCTGTTCCTTGAGATTCGACTGTCGATCTAATCCTTCATTCGCTCCCATTTCCATTGTTCTATCATAATGCGCTATTTAAAATTAAGATGATTAAAACATACACCCTCTGTATCTCCTGTCAAATAACCCGACCAATATGATCTGGTAATGATGAGGTTATTTTCCTCTATCTAACGGAAATCTAATATCTTTCCAAGAAATTAAATCCCCTAATTCTATATATTATTACGTCATAGTCTTCGCGTCTTTGAAAATTGGAGGGCAAGTTTTACCGTTTTTCTTTCAAGAAGAAAGTTATCGCACTCAGACTATAAGTTTTGGACGCAGAATATTGTTTTTCTATCCAAATAATAATATGGAGTATATCATTAGTGATAGCGTTGCACTTTGTAACTCTAAAGACTTTAGGAAATCTGGTCCGTATAGCCTGCGAAGTGAGATATACATATAAGCTGTTAGAATGTACTAGGCATTCGATAATCCAGCCTATCTGTTGCTCTAAAGAGATGTAGCGGTCTAGGAATGTATCTAACATTTGAATGCATCATACTTAATTTAAAATCCCCGAATCCTAGTCCACGATGACGAGGTTCCTATCCAACTGGCGCACTCGCTCCTTCACAGAATTAGAAACAAGAACAAAAGTAGCCCTGTCACCGATGGGAAGAAGAAAATATTTTAGGTGAAAAATATTCGAGATTATTATGTTGATATCGTCTGATAGAAAAATGCGTACTATGCTAACACCATATGCAGTCGAGAGCCACTCTATTCCATTCACCCATCTGTTACCTTTTTATTTCAAAAACCACAACATCCTAACAGCTGCGTACAAGTTCTTATCAGATAACTGCCTCGCTACACATACGATTCGTTCCAGTTTCGTACATCACTATATCATTAGCCTATCATCCGTATAATATGGAGCACCATTAAGATGAAACTACACTGTACCAAAGGAAAAACTATAAATATCTGTTTCCGAGACATAATTGCAAATTGTACGTTACTTTCTCGACATTTTATTGATTTCGAACTGCTTCTAACGGATAATGGACGGTACGACCAGTACGTGGAAGCCTGAAGCTGTACTCATGAGAAGCTTGAAAAAAGAGGAAATGACAACAGGTTCTACTAGAGGCACGCTAAGTGATCTTTCCTTACGGTATCCATTATATTTACAATTTTAAATACTACTTACCGCAAGTGTGCTAATATTAATGGCATTGTTACAGTTTTTCGTTCATATGCAGCATACAACCATTCACGTTGTTAAAATATCCGACATAAAGCCACAACCTGTTTGCTGCTTTCAGTAATTAAATTCACCCAGTAATTAATGCATCACTAACCTTTAATATATCAGGTAACCAAATAAGTGGTTTCTTTTTTTAGCAGAAAACACTATTTATTCGTCGAAGTAATTACCATCACATTCAATCACGTTTTGTCAACGTGGAACCAATTTCTGTATGCCGGTATTGTAGAACTGGATTTGAAGTCAAAAAAATGGCGGACTGCCTTTATTACACCATCTTGAGTTGTGAACTGTCGATGCCTCATACACGTGTCAAGAGACAAAAAAAGGTGATAATCACTGGGCGAAATGTCGGGAGAATATGGCGGGTGCGGTAACGTTTCCCAGTCGAGGTCAGACATTTTTTCTCGGGTCACTTTTGCGGTATAAGGCTTAGCGTTATCCTGCAAGAAATTCACTTTCTTCAGATAGATCAAAGAAGACTGTTTCTGAATGAGTGCTGCTTGTACTCGTTGAAGCTGCTCACAATACAAGTTAGCAGTGATGGTTTGACCCCTTTCCAAAAACTCATAATGGACAATTCCAGTTGCTGTCCACCAAACACACAACAAAACCTTGTTTGGGTGCAAGGAAGCCTTGGGTGTGTGTGGTACCGAATCAGTAGGCGACAACCAATAATACGAATGCTTAGAATTCGGATACAAGATCCATTTTTCGTCGCAGATTAATAACAGGTTAAGAAATGGTTCATCAGCGTTGCGAGAAATGTTTGCTGAACTAATGGTGAGACGACTTAGTTTGCTATCATTTGCCAGTTCGTGTGGGATTTGCTTAACTTCCACGTCTTTCCTAGCTGATGAAGATGCAAACGAATAGTTTCAGGACTCACTCTGAACATTTCTGCAAGTTCTTGGCACGTTGTTCTGTCCACAGCTTGTCGAAGATCCTCGTTGTTCATGATTTTTGTTCTCCCTGAGCGCGGTTCATCGCTCAAACTGAGATCTCCCGAGGAAAATTTTTTTAACCACTTCTGTGCTGTCCGATCACAAACGGCATCATCTTCGAATGCGGTACATATTTTCGCGCCGCCGCTGCAGCTGTTGTACCAAGTTTGTACTCATACGTCGCCATTTTCAATTATTAAAACTGGGTATGTAACAATGTTCAGCAACTTTTTATGTGTGTGTGAAAAGAAGGAGTAATACTAAAGTGACAACAGGTAAAAAACAATGGCTATCGATCCACAAAATCCATGTCAATGTGCGATATACAATATCCGCACGAACTTATTTGGTTACCTGATACCTAATAAGTGAAACACTTAAGGGGAAGGGAAGCGATTTGTATCGTACGAAAATGTCTGTCAGCAATGTTTCATAATTAATTCAGAAATAGTCAGCCGTGTGTCAAGCATTGTCGTTTGATGTTGTCGCGTGCCCAAGTCAGATTTTCACAGCTTAGGTATGAAGATCTTCAGGATTCGTGAAAAGTATCTAATAAATTCAGGCTTATTGACAAGCTTATTCCCTACCCATAGTACTTTCACTAACATCCTTGAAATGACTTACAGTTGGTAAATATTGCCTGCTCCCTTTAATGATGGTTTTCGTAAAACATTTTCTCGAGCAATTGGAAGTTGATATGTCTGTAAACTCTTAGTGTCAAAACATCAACATTCCTTCGGATTTCCTTTTATTCATAATAATATGTATAAATTCCTTTCATATTCAGGATCGAGAAGGTTTGATATGTTTATTCAAGTTGAAAGGTTGAAGCTTATAAATCGATGTTCAATGATCATGTTTACCACGATATCTTGACAATAACTTATCTCTTCTGGTGATCGCATGCAAACCTGATGGTGTAGAGAATATAAAACTGTGTCGAAAATATACTTCAGGTATTAGAGAATATTAGTCCTGATAAGTTACTGTTTAAAATGCGACAAGTTTCCAACAAAACTAAAGTGTTCTACCATAACTCCTATTTCTAAAGTTAAGAATTCTGAGTTGTACACCAATATGCGGCCAATAAATGTTCTGCTAGATTTCGAAAAAGTCTTTGAAGAAATTATTTACGAACAAATCATCGAATTTATTGAGGGAAATAACATTTTAACCAAATTTCAAGCTGGATTTAGGAATAAACACTCAACTGAATACATACAGTAATAGTGTTTTAGGACTTCAAAATGGCATTTGAGACTATCGACAATGATAAGATACTCACAAAATTGCATCACTACAGATTTAAAAGATCTGTACTCAAAATTCTATAAAACTATTTAATTGACAGTAGTCAAAAAACCAAAACTGGATCTATATTATTAAAATCAACAAATATTTCTGTTGATATACCACAAGGTAGTAAACTAGGTCCACTAATATTTATTTTATACAATAATGACATTTGTAATATTTTAGATTATTGTAAAATTCAGATACTCGTATTTGCAGATGATACATTGATATATATATATATATATATATATATATCAGATGAAAATATAGACACTGCTTTAAAAATGCTAATTTCTGACTTAGCAAAAATCATAAATTGGTTAAATGTAAATAAACGAAAATTGAATACTTCTAAAACAAAATGTATGCTAATAGGGAAATACCTAAATGAAATTACTGTCACAGTTAGGATAAATGGTGGAATAATTTAAAATGTTGAATCAATTAAATAGTTAGTTATATATATATATATATATATATATATATAGAGAATATGATCATGCGGAGGAAGGTATATAACAACAAGTAGGAAAATAATGGGCAAAATCCGCAAAAAGGAGGGAAGTGGATTCGAGCAGAAAATAGAATAGGTAACCCGAGCGACACGTATTTCTGCTGGTTGGCTTCATCTGGCCCGAAATGAATGTACATATGAAACTACAAAAGTAGATACACATGCCCACACATCCGGATACGGGTGTAACCTGAGGAAACGAAGTTGGAGGGGAAAACAAACGACACACGAAGTCCACAACAAGAGCCAACCTACATATTGTAGTATAAAATGGCTATACGATCTCGAATTTTCAAGGAGACGTCTAACCACCACCACGCGGCCGGTTATAGACACGTGCTGTGGTACTTCAAGCCCAAAGGATCTACAAAGAGAATATAATCATGCGGAGAAAGGTATATAACAACAAGTAGGAAAATAATGGGCAAAGTCCGCAAAAAGGAGTAAAGTGGATTCGAGCAGAAAATAGGATAGGTAACCCGAGCGATACGTATTTCTGTTGGTTGGCTTCATCAGGCCCGAAATGAGTGCACATATGAAACTACAAAAGTAGATACACATGCCCACACATCCGGATACGGGTGTAACCTGAGGAAACGAAGTTGGAGGAAAAAGAAAACGACACACGAAGTCCACAACAAGAGCCAACCTACACATTGTAGTATAAAATGGCTAGAAGAACTCGAATTTTCAAGGAGGCGTCTAACCACCACCAGGCGGCCGGTTAATAGCTACTTGCTGTGGTACTTCAAGCCCAAAGGATCTACAAAGATAATATGATCATGAAAGGTATATAACAACAAGTAGGAAAATAATGGGCAAAATCCGCAAAAAGGAGGAAAGTGGATTCGAGCAGAAAATAGGATAGGTAACCCGAGTTGTTATATATATATATATATATATATATATATAATAAAAATAGGTACAACAAAATAAAATCTATGTTACAAGAATTGCAGTAGTTGGATATAAAAAATTTCATATCATATTTGGTTCTTATTTTTATATTCAAAATAAAAGATCATCTTTTGCCGCAACATTTGGGACATTTCATAGAATTGAATAATCATTACCACAATTATTATACAAGAGGAAATATAGATTTTCATTTGCAAAGTTGCACTGAATAGCGATATAAAGTCTACTTGTAATTTAAAGATTTTTAAAAGAAAATTAAAAGAAAATTTCATGGACAGTGAAAATACTTAGAGATGCAAATTTTGTTATGTAATCGATTAGTTCTGTAGAAGAATCTAATTGTAGCATTCATGCTAAATAAATCTTAAACAAACAAGCAAACAAAAGAAGTATAACAAGCAACAACTAATTGTTACATGAATAATGTTTCAGCTGCTGAAGATGGCCTGTGAACCTCCAACAAATGGCCACACAGCAGTCTCAGAAGCAATGTCTACATTGAGGTTACGCTTCGGTGAACCCGTTAGATTTCGCTTCCTTGCTGGCATGTTAACTTCAGGATGCGGTCAAAAAGACCTTGTTCTTGCTGGATTACAGTTTCTAAACGCGTTCCTGAATTCAGCGGGTTCCAAGCAGAAGAGGCTTTACATACAGTCGGAATTGGAGCAAGCCGGGTTTGACATACTCGTAATTAAGAAGGTAAACATTTATATTTTAAAAAACTGAATGGCAATTTTAAACAGTTTTGATATATTACTGTAATACTAAGGAACTATTATATTGATAGCATTCGGAAATTTATGGGCGACAGTTTCTGCTAGAAGGTTTTTGGAATAAAACATTCGGTGACTCATTGTACGAAAAAATTTACGTTGTCCTTATTACACCTTTCAGAACCTTGCTCGAAACATTATGCAAGATGGAAGTCTTAAGGAAGAGATCAAGAAATGGGAGGATAGAAATATAGATGTAGAGGCGATTTACGATAAGCTGCATAAGTCTGAGAAAGAGAGTGAGAGGCTGAAAATGAAAGTTATCCACCTGGAACAGAAAGTCAAGGTATACCTTGTATTCATTTTGTATTAACATATAAATAATACATTACGTCACCAATAATGTTAAATTTCTATCTTATCTATTAATATTTCGCGACATAATAGATGGTATATTACATTCCTTGGAGAAGAAGTATCCCACTATTTGCCGGGAACTTGTTTTGAGTTTGAAGGTGACAATGATGGTATACTTCTCCATCAAGGTATGTATAAAACTTTTTCCACTACTAACTGTGAAATATTGCCGAATTCGACTTTTATTAGACGTTGGAATATAACATATCTCATAGTTTACTTAATGTCCGGCAACACAGTCAGAATCCAGCCGACACCGACGCATCAAAGAACTGCCACTACATGCCTGGAGTACGACAAAGAACAAGGTGATACGTACGTCTACACGTCACTCATTTTCAATTAAATATAGAAAAAAGTCACTTCAGTTATAAAATAGACTCTCTGTTTACTTGTTGTAAATAATAATCATTTCTATTATTTATATAAGAACAGATAAAGGGCCTAACAGTAGTGGCAATTCTGTTCCTAGCAAGCCAAAGAAGCTTGACATGAATGCACACATTCATTGTTTGCCTACGGTTCTTTCATCATCTTTATCAATCTAGTTGCATAAATATAACTTTAATGAGTAATGGCGATTTTTCAGGTTAGTAGTGAAAAAAAGATTACAATCGCTTACCCTTTTCCCATTGACATTGCGCTTTTACATTACAGTTTCTACAAGAAGAAAAGCTTGCATTGCAGAATTCTAAACAGACGCTCAAGGATAGATGCAGCGATTTGCAGATTGAGGTTCAATCATTAAAGTCTGATAAGTCACACAAAAAGTCTACCTGCTCCTCTAAGCTGAAAGGCAAGTACACGCGATATAATCAATATGTGATTCTACACATTGACGACGCAATAAAGTTGTGTATGAGGCAAAACGTCCAGACTGAATCCTGACTGAGAAACTAAATGATGAAACAAAATATTACTGAATTTCTTTTTTCTTATCGGTTATTTTGCTTTTCAGATGACTCAACTCCAGATGATGAAGGCATATCATCTTCAGAACGTAGTCTCACTCCTGAAGGGGAACGGGGTCAGCATTCAATCTACACGTCAACCTTCATACCTGGAAACGTAGTACCCAGCGTCGTATCAAGAAAATCAGATGACGAGGAGGAAACAACCATTGACGAGGTCATCGAAGAACTCAGAAATATAGTCAATGACGCAGAAACAGCGTCTTATAATGAAGAACAGGCGAAAATACTTGAAGAGCGGAAACGTACTGAAGAAGCTCAAGTGGCAGGAAAGCTGCTCTCTAGTATGGAAATAGACGACAGTCTGGTTTTGACAGAATGTGAGATTGTGCCCTCCAATCTGCACCCACAACCTCCAAGAAAAGCCAAGAGCCTTATGCAGCTCTTCAGTCCTATGGACGACTTTGAGTATTGCCACAAAGAGTTGTTTTGTGAAAATGATACGTCGTACACCACAGATGAAGCATCTGATTCTATGCTCAGCCTCACACGGTACAGCAATTTCTCTCTAGACATTTCCGTAATTCAAGTCATTTCAGAAGGCCTCACCTTAGAGCTTACCTTCTGATCATTCTTTATAATTTTGAGAAAAAATGTATAACTTCAGCGAGCAATTTTTTAAATTTGGTATTTTGACTATTACACCAATACATCTAAGACCACTATGGCTGTTTTTTCAGGTATATACATCCTCCATTAGCAGAAAGAAATTATATTGCATCCCCAGAAGTAGCAAGAACCAAAGTGAGGAGCAGTATCAAACGCTCCGAGTCATTCAAGCAAGTCACAAGAACCACAAGTACACGAATCTCATGTGACGTCTACAACTTCAGCACTTTAATTGCAAAACATAAGGAAACATCACAGATACCTGAAGACTATGTCCCTGGGAAGTACAAGTGTAAAAGTTTGGATAGGATCGATGACGGACTTGAAGCATTAGTAGACATTGTAGTTACTAAGGAGGAAGCGCAGAGGTCTCGCCAAAAATCTTCCGCACATCGATCAAAAAGTGACTCCGGGAACGCTTCCGGTACCTCGCTATGTAGAAGCATCTCTAACGTTCTTGTAAGTCCAAGAGTAGAACATGTCTCGAAGTTGAGCACTCATTCTGAAGAGAAGCAAAAGATGTTCCTTCCAATGAAGAACGATCAATACGAGGTGCCGTACTATTTTCCTAGGATCCAAGAGAAGAAAACTAGCTCAGCTTCGTCCGGATTTCTGATCAAGAGAGGTCATGGGAATGCCGGGTTGTATTCAGGGCAAACTTTGCTGGACAGCCGCTTGTTTCTGACTAAGGAGAGGGAAGTGCTAACGCTGAGTGGGAAGATTAACGGGAAGCTGTCAGACTTTCCATCGGGACTGTACTAAAATATAATTTGTGAAAAGGGATCTCAGTATTTTGACAGAAATGTCTAGAAAATAAGGATCGATTCTCTAAAGCAAGTGTTCTTTTGATTCAAACACCTGGGGTCAAGCGAAACTGAATATACTGGGTGACGGAGGTCTGTGCCCTACGCAGTCATGTCCGAGATGAACTAGAGGAAATACGAATACTGAGAGAATGGTGGCTAGTTTAAAATGTTATTATATCATTTCATTGCCACTCACCTCCCAGCATCGAAATTCACGTCTAATTCAAGTATGCTATAACTACATCTTGCAGCGAATCTGCGTCACCCTGAGTCTTAATTTTCACTCCTCTTTAATGTTGTATCTAGATACCTATAGAATACCAAGGAATGCAGGTTTTAAAGTTACAACGAAAATATTTATTGAGTGTATTTTTTTCCTTAACGATATTGATATATAGGTTACTTCAATGTAAATAGTTATTGTGTAAACTTCAAACTGTGCAATAAACCTCTAATTCCAAATTGTAGGTATTAGCTTGCTTTAGCTGTTCTTTATTCATAAGAATAGATTGTAAAGCAGCAATTGTGAAGTACAAAGTGTATTGTTTCTATGGCAATCGGTTGCGAACCAAATGCTGCCGTTCCAAGAGATCACGTTTTGAGCGTTTGGAGTAGTTACGCAAATTCATTCAGTGGAAATATTTTAGGTCAAAGCATATTTTTATCCAAATACATTCATTTGGGGTAGGCAACTGTTGCTTTAATGTGTCACGCCTATGAAGGCAGGTTTTTTAGCAGCTAACAAGAACATCGAACTATAAGTGAACTGTACCTATCAATGCTATAATAGCCAACACTTCACGATCTTTCTTAGCGTTTCTGCTCAAAACGCGAAATTTTCACACTTCTTGCTGGAACGCAGATTCAGTGACATTTGGCGTTTGAAGCAACTCGATTATTATTATGATTAACACTTATAGACTTAACCGATATCGATCTCTCTCATTCTACATTTCTAAGTAATTTTATCGGTGTATTGATAATTCCAGTATGTGGTTGTTATATTCATTGAGATCATATGTAGATAAAATTCATTTATACTGTATATTTCACAAATAAATCTCTTTAACTAAAACTAAGTAGAGTTTTGAATTATTTTATTGAAATATATGCACAATATAGCTATAATATTCTGGGAAGAATTCAACAATTATTACAAAAGTATTTCATATAAACTACGTATCCTAGAAAATGATCAGCAAATAAAACTACTTGTAGCACTAATACGTTACGCACAAGATGAGTAGATACGGACCAAAACCAATCAGCAGCACCTGAGAAAATACCTTTCTGCTTACTTTAAAGCAAACATGCAACTCTATTTGTGAAAAATATAGGGTATCCTAAAGCTCACGCAATATTTGAGTCGAGTATAAGAACCCAATTTTTCTTCTTTAGATTGTTATCTATGTATTAGATCATAAAGTACACTGCATAGGTTTACGTGTAATAGTAAATCAGGCAAATGACCTCCTCGGATTTGCTGACACATATTAACTTTTGTAGGTATTTTCCTTTTTCATTTTGCGTTAATGTCGCTGAATTTCGTTGATGCAGCGTTAGATCTCCTCCTTCAATGCACGATAGTCTATGGGCTTTTTTCTGCGTAAACTGGGCAATATTATGGAAAACACATGTGAGACAGTGCCAGCTGCCATAGATCTTATGAATCATTTCATTTACTATATGAAACATTTCCTGGTCATGTACTCCCTCATTTCAATGATCAGAATTGACCTGTCAGTGGGCTTCTTGCTGCCTAGGCTATGTGAATAGTGTGTGGTTTCTGAAAGAACATGCCACATCCTATACAGCCTGTGAAACAATTCAATTGATTCATAATACATTTTGTTTCCATGAACATAGTTGCCCTCCTGGACCATGTTATTTAACACTATTTGATTTCATTTGTAAAGTTATTTCAAGTTAAAAGTTTATGTTCCTAAGCCTACAGACACTTGTTCAGAGGAAATTGAATGCTGCATCAAATAAATTTATCTGTATTTATGCAAAATGGTCATCGAAAATTACTTTAAAAGGTGTGCTTAAAAAAACTGTACTCGCAACATATTTGATTTGAATCTTGCGAATTCTGAAATACTCTCTAATAATGCAGTGACATGCTTTGTATTACTCAAATAGGTAACAAAATAATATAGTTTTTAATGGAGAAAGAACCATTCTGGGATAGGGTACAATTGTGGATAAAGTCACTCAAACTGCCGGTTCCTTTGCAATTTAGTTTTACCTTGGACTTCTTGCAGATTATTTATTCTAGTAACAGTAAATAATGAATAAAACATATAATCGAGTTATTCTTAGACGTTTATAGGCTTGCAAAGTAACGCACTTGTCCGTAGTATTATTATTTAGTAGCAGCTTATTTATCAGCTTGACTATCTAGTCTAGAAAATATTAAGTCATACTATACCTAGATATTTAAAATTATTGCTACCTCCTGCGGAAGCTTATTTTAAAGGCAACATGCTTTATTTGCTGGTCATTTTGATCCATGTACTCTTGTTGAAACGGTTGAAGTGTTAAAGAATATCAAATTATGATTTTTTATATTGGATCAGCCGCAGACACAGAGCCTAGCTGAGGTTTTTCGATTATTCTAAAGAATTGCCTAAAGTTATTCGGCGTGTCAAAAATAACTTCTAACAGATTGTTTCATATTCTCGATAACTTAGGAACATAGAAGGGTTCGAACCAGCCAGTTCTCGATGTACATTAGTTGAAGAATATTTCGGTGAAGCTTAAAGCTTTTTTATTTGGTCTGTCAACAGTATCGAAAAAAGTCATAGTTCGACTAATTTTACTGAACATAATTTCCAAATAATCAGCTCCAATAGGAGACACCTTTATCCTGTTGCTCCAATGGATTTTTAGTTGTATATAATATTACTCGAACAAACCCATTGCAGTTAAAATGGAGAAAAGCTCAACAAAACTAATGTCTCTCTGGGTCCCATTAACGCACCAAGTTTTCAATTGTTTAGTAATATACCATGCAAAACATTTTAAAGTTAAAAAGGCCAACGCTTACATATAAGTATACAATGAATGCAAAACTTTCCTATGTTATCATAACTTTAAAACGGTATTGATACATAGAGCTTGGTCCAATCGTGGGATAATATGATACAGAAATAGTTTTATCAACATGTAGATATAGATATGCTCAAAGATATTTTATGAAGTTGGTTAACAGCGATTGGGGATGTACCAAGTACTACTTTTGTTAAAATGCCAGGTACCGGGTACTCGGTCAGATTCTAATAATGAATACCGGGTACTCGGCCGAGTACTCATCTGGCTAGCCGGTGGAGTGACTTGCTCTTGAATATTTCAGCTGCTGTTAGTGTTATCAATATTATCTTTGTGTTTATCAAAGGTGCTTTTATTCTCAGAATTGATTTACTTTTCCAAGAAGTTAACGCACCACAAAAAAAACCTTGTGCAGTATTTATGGCATTTTCAGATTTGTTTTGAATATCTAAGGGTCTCGTAACAGCTGGGTTAAAATTGAAACCATATTGAAATTATATTTTTGGAACATTCATTTTTGATTATATCTTCCAATGCTTCCTGTTATAAGAGAATCACATTTAGAAGATATTTTCTATCTAGATTTTTGAAACTAAAACTTATGGGTACTTGCAGCCTGCAGGAGCTAGTTACAAAAAAAAACACACAAATCCAAGTTGTTGGATTTCGTACCAAAATTATTCTTATGTGTGAGTAGTGATTTTCTCGGCAGAAATGTAGGATACTCGTTATTTACGATACATTTTGGCTTTTGCTGCACGGTTTCATTTGTTTTGGGGTTTTTGTAAACATTGCTATTTCAGTTTAGCTAGTTACGGACTTATTTACTATTTTTCACTGAAAAACATGTGGTAACACCATGAATGTACTTGTAACTTACTGGAGAAGACGTTAGACATTTAATAAAAATCAACCAAATGAGACATGTGATACTGACAAAAATATGTTATAGAATTAGCTATTTTTTAATTGTGTGTAATTATGCGTGACTTTTCTTGGAGAACATATCAGAAAGGTTTGGGGGAAGCATTTGAGCTCAGGCTTAGCACATCACATATGCAGCTGTTTGATTTGCGCAAGTTGTGCCTTGCGTTGAGGTCGAGTAACCTAATATTCGGTCGACACGGGTACTCGGTAAAATGGACCGAGTATGCCGAGCACGAGTATAATCCAAGTTCTCGGTACATCCCTTACATCGATATTATGTTCTGTATCATCTAGACATTTATCTCATATAATGTGTAACAAAATATATACCATCTACTCGTTTCTAGTCCCAGGGCCTCAAAAGAGGTAAAGATGATGAAATGATATGAAAACTATTTCATAAAATTGTTTTATTTCGCGAGAGCAGAGCTCACTTCACAAGAGTTCAATGGAAACCTATTAATAAAAAATTACATTAGCTAGTACCCATGATCCAAATACAGGCTAAACAGGATATGTATGCTTGCCGTGTCTGTAACCATGGCCAACCGCATAAAACGTTGTTTCATGCCTTCTAGCAATCAGTATTACGGTATGGGCCCAGCCTGCAAGACATACTACTGAAATCGAACAAGCGTTTTCGAGGGTTAAGTGTTTTACCATGTTACTGCTGAAGTAGCAGAACGACTTTTTGTCATCTGACGTCTCTTGGTCGCGAAATGACGTTGTTTTGAATACCTGCTTAAACGTCACAATCTCACGTACTGAACACGTTGATTATTAGTAATTCTTCTCAACAAACCCGTCTCGTTGCTCGTGTCTTTACCTGATTAAAAGGTGCCTTAACGCCCCCATAATTTCGGTAACCATAAAAATCATGATTAATCGAATTTTTAATGCAATCTCCTCACATTCACACTCTTCAGTTACATTTCTATGTCTCTATCAATACAAGAAACTTCTAAAATGCCATCATTACAAATTAATCATACATCCATACAAAATTTACAAAGTGAATATTAATGTCATAAACATATGGCACTGAACTATACTTATATTAAATGTTTTTTATGGATTGAACATTGCCACTATCTTCGGTGTGTTATTACACATTAATCTGCTTAATCTTGTCGACACTGTTGTCAGATGAGAACCTCTCTCACGAAATACTGCTATTTAAACAATAATAATAATAAACAGCTGTCTTGATTCGGGTCTAAAGGCCGTCGTTGGAATTTCTTCCTAACGTTTCGCTAGCACGAGTGGCAAGCTTCTTTAGAGGTCCATCCATCTCCGATGCTGGATGTAGACTGACGATTTCTCTTGCGCAGGTTGTATTTATACCGGACGGTAGGTGACGTGGCTTGTTCCGTTTCGGTTGACTTCGGGATGTCGATCGGCACTGATCGGGCGTTTCTGAGGATCAGGTGCCAACTCGGCTTGCGTCTGAGGGTCTCGTCCTTCCTGTTGAAGTTAGCTGGATGTTTGTGAATCTCGATAGCTTCCCTGACCAGTCTATTGTGATAGCCGTTGACTGATGACAGCAACCTGCAGCTTCTAAAGTCAGTTTACATCCAGCATTGGAAATGGAAGGACCTCTGAAGAAGCTTGCCACTCGTGCTAGCGAAACGTTAGGAAGAAATTCCAACCGACGACGGCCTTTAGACCAGAATCAAGACAGCAGTTTATCAACTGACTTCGAAAGCCTTAACCAATAATAGTTGAATAATAGAGCTAGTACGCTCTCTCGTGAGCCGCGCAGTGCGCTAGAGGGGAGGTGGGTGGACACAGAGTAGGGATACTTCCCTATCTCTCTCATTCAGATGCAGTCCTAAAAACATTGGAGAGCAGCAGCAGCGGGTCTAGAACGTGTATGTCTGTCCAGTGGCATAGTTATAGGATTTATTCAATGATATGGAGTTGAACGCGTGCATCCAACATATACTATGTTTGTGTGTAGTTTCATAATTCTATAAGCATTGTAATAAATATCATCTAGAAAAGAGAGTTAAAAAACAAACATAACAGTTCTGCTTATTTTGTGATTACTTGAAATGTAAGAATTTCTTTGTCAGTTTCTTTTGACATCCTCAAAAGTTGACAAAGTGGATTAACCATGACGACAAATTACTGATGAAAGCCGGCTAATTTCTACGTAATAAGCAAATTGAGATACATGATCATCCGTTTTAGTTAGACTGAGATAGAAGTCCCAATGCTAAGTGGTTGGCATCCTAAGTCATCGTCATGTTCACTGCTACTATCTGGTGACATCTGTAGGTCAGATTCATCGCTGTCATGGCCTATCCTTATAATGAATTACTGGACTTTATCCGTTATATATTCCCGACTTAGGTATTTTTTCTCCTCTTGATGCATGGTCTCAAACGTTTCTCCATGTTTCTGGAGTGACGCGATCGCATGCTTGTTTTCCAGGTGCAATGATTAAACATTTGCCTTTTACAAGTGGTGCTTTCAAAAAATGTTCCATCATTCCATGCTTTCTGTACTGTGTGTGAGCTATGTATGTATGTTTCGTCATTATAAACGACATTATTTCTGCCTACAAGAAGACAGTTTTATTGATACACCTGTAACTTCAGCTACTTTCTCAAATAAACGCCTAAGAGGTATGGTTAACTATTCTGTTTCCTCTTCTCGCTTCATATATATTCAACACATTGAATTATGATTTGTCGTCCTTGGCTATAAACAACGTTCTTGTTATTTTGTTTCCTATTTTTGAAAAATAATTTTTTATGCAATGTTTCATCTGCTAATTTATAGTAACTTACATTTTGCATGCCAGATCTACTGATAGTCTTGAAAAAGAATGGGTTGTAGTTTTCAAGATAATTAAAAATAATACCTCTGGAGAAATTATAAGAACGTCTATGTTACGCTGATGTTACCCGTTTGATGTCCAAGAGCAGAATAGATAGAAAAAGCTATAATGTTTTTACGCAGTGTAGTAGAGATTCCAGCGTATTGTTTCTGCCTTGTGCACATTCAAGCCCACATCTCACGAGTTTCCGAGTTACCTCTACCTATTTAGTTATCAGTTTTTTCACATAGAAAAGTAAGTACTGAGATCAGCATACCCTTTAAAGATTAAGTTATCTTCAAGAACTTTTTTTACTAGTCGCTGATCCCGTTACTCACCTCTCACTACTGATAAGGAGCAACAGTATTACAATATTGAGTCGTTGCCATCTCGTTCCATGTTGGAACTGGTGTACACCATTTCCACACTTATTCTTTGCAAAATTAATCAAATTGAAAAGTGTTAAACCGAATAATGTACCAAGTAGTCGAGTTTGAGGTAACTGTCGGTGGGGGAGTAGCCCTAGTAATCGCGTGAGACTGCGGAAAAAGCAAGTGTTCAGGCGACCATTTAAGGATAGAGCCGCATTTTACGAGGCGACACTTTTAACGAGGAGACCAGGAAACTATATGCGATTAAGAGGCTATTTTATGATACAGGTACGTAAGATCTTTTTTAAAGAACCTCACCACACAAAAAAGGCATCACCAAAACTGAAGCAGGTTGAGGAATTTAGTGACAGCCGCGGACGATAATGATGTCATATGTCGCTTCTGTCTGAGAGCAACGGAATTAAAAGACATCGGCTTTTAAGCGCCCCTCCTACACATTCCCAGCAAGGTATGGGCACTATGAACCTGTAGCACAATAACTATATAAATACCTGTTTTAGAATTGCAACTTAACATTATTTCAATCACTCACCGTTTTGTAAAGAAAATCCATTCAACATTTGATTCAGTGATAATATCCAAACTCTGGCGAATATTGGTTACTAGATGATACAAGGGATGTCTTTTAAGTTTTGCATATAGAAACATAGTAGGCCGCGCGGATCGAACGGCAGTACTGAATCTTAACCTCACTCTTTAGTAAACTTAAATTCAAAGTTTCACAACAATACGTGAAGTGTTCTCACTACAGTGAATTTTTAAGTGTCACCAAGTCACTAGAAAAATGGAACTCAACCGAGAACATTTTAGCGCCATAATTTATTACAACTTTCAGAGACAATTTTCGCAACAAGAACGCCTTGCTGAGTTACTGTCTGTTTTCGGCAACGAAGCGCCACGTCAGTCGAAAATTTCTCGTTGGTATGCAGAACTCAAACATGGACGGGTGAGTCTTAGCGACGATCCCAGGGTGGGTGCACCAAAAACGGCAGTCACCCAGGAAAATGTCGATGCTGTGCGCAAACTCATCATTGAAGATAGACATGTGTGACATATCGCGATATTGAGGCGTCCTTGAAGATCTGAAAGACCTCATTTAAAAAAACTTTACATGAAGAATCAGGAGTAAGAAAATTAGTTTCTCGTTGGATACCACACCTGTTGACAGCAGAAGGCAGCCACGGTTAATTGGTGTCAAAAAACGCTTGACCGTTTCAATTCCGGAAACTCAAAAAAAGTGAACCAGAAAATAAACGACAGTCCGCTGTTTGGGTGTTCCACGGTGAAAGCCAACAAATGCCATCCGTTATCGAAGTGTTTCGAAGAAGATGGTCGCGACATTTGTGTCAAAAGCGGGTCATATTGCAACAATTCCTCTTAATGAGCAAAGAACTGTTACTGCGGATTGGTATACCACCATTTGTCTGCCAACGGTCATCACCAAGCTTCGAAAAGTCAACCCCGAAAGAAGAATCATCCTCCACCAATCCACCAAGACAGAAGAAGCAGTTGACGCACTCAAAAATGCCGTTTTTGATCTGCCAGCAAACTAGTGGAATAAGTGCTTCGAAAATTAGTTCGTGCGCATGCAGATGTGTATTAATCTTCGGAGAATACTTCGAAAAACAATAAAGTCATTTAAAGCTACCAACCGTGTTGTTTTATTTCCCTATGCAAAACTTAAAAAACATCCTCGTATTGTAGCAAAAATATTAATACCTCCTATGACTGATTTCATTCCCATTCCTTCTTACCGGATGGCATTTTTGATATGCCATATTTTACAGCATACTATAAAATAAAAATATTATTACCGCCACTTCATATAATAAAATGATTTTGTATGTAAAAGATACATGTGTTTTCGTTGCCTGACTGTTTCGCGAATGTTATTTTGACACAGTGTGCTTAAAATAATGTTGCAAAAAGTCATCGTTTTGTCCGGAAGGTATACCCATACCTCGCAAATATATTTTTTATAATCTTAAAAGTGGAAACAACAAAAATTTATATTTCTATTTATCTGGTTAAAAATTATGCATTTTTGAGTACTTTCGTTAGTTGTCGTTCGCTGGACGTACAAAAATATCTTAGGGTGACGTGTTTTTCAGGGCACAATAGGCGTCATCGGTTTGTAACTTACACACGTCATTTTTACGTTTCATTTACGTCATTCATGACGTATTTGATGACCTGTTGTCGACGTGTTTTACACTTCTGCCTGCTGCCTAGCTAACTAATGAAAGTTTATTGATACGAGTTAGTAGCTGATTACTAATATTTATTGTGTACAGTTGAAACCTACACTTCAGACCTCTGGAGACATGATGCTCCGAAGGCAGACATTCATACCTTCAGGATACGTATTTTGTTACAACATTGTAGACACTCTCTTAAAACAAAATATTGATTGATTACATATGTACAATTTACAATTGATACATAATAAAGACAGGTATTTTACAAAAATTGTTCAACGTTTGTAATATCCTAGCGTTCATTGATATGCCTAAAGTAGTTTAGTTTAAGTTACAACATAAAGCTATTTAGCTGTGCGACTTAATCATTCTATTGAGTACATAATATATTTTAATACGTTTATAATAATTATACTGTCTTTATAAAAGACATGTTTGAGTCATTACAGCGCAGCGATTTGCTTCTTTGAAATCATAGCTATGAAAGATTTTAACTTATACGCCTAATAGTAGTCCATGTATCTTTTTTGGTCTCAAACATCTTTTTATTTTGTTTCACATTGCACAGATCTCACATATATTAACAGAAGATAAACATTATACTATAATAACTTTTTGAATATGAAGTTGATCTGCTTGTCCATAAATAGTCCTTCCTCAAAGTGCTCTAAATACTAAAAAACACGCTAACCTTTTAAAGCTGTTGGGTAGCTAGAAGATACTTTCAACCAAAGCCTGGGAGACGTTCAGAAACAGAGAGAGTATATTAAACGGCTTTTGAACGAAGTGACTTTCTGATATTTTCTGCTATAATCAGCAAAGAAAAGTATAGTTTGGAAGTCCTCTTTTAGCTGAAAAAATAAAATACATCTGATGTTGATAAAGCTAAGAGATATGTATTTGTTTCCTAACTGAAAAAAGAGAGTCTACTAAATTTCCTGTGCGGAATTCCGTAAGTGAGGAAAGGAGTTGGTTAATATCCTGCTGCTTCATGTCCGAACAATCACATAAATGCCGAACATTAACGTTCATGCCAACGAATTCATTCTAGGTAGATGAAGTCAGTCAGAGACTTGTTTCACTTCCGTACTGAAAACCAAAGTGCACTTGATATGGGTCAACTTTTGACAGATCCCTCTCTAGATTCTTATGTACAGTTTAATTTTTTAAAAGGGCGAGTATTTGCAAATAATTGTGGTGTTAGACGGTTTCAAGATGGTACTTCTTACATAATTTGTAGAGAAAGCACAAGCCTGATGAAGGTAGATGTTTTCACCGGTAAGTATTATGTTAATATAACGCAGTCACTTTGGTAGGGATGCATTCGAATTCGTTGGTTCATGCCCATTGAGGTCGGGTAATATTAAAATTCTTACATGGATATAAGCAAAAAGTTTGAATATCTCCAACTACTAACGGTTTGCAAAGTCGATGTTCATCATCATCGATGAAAGACGGCGGAAAACTCCTACGTTGCTGACCCATAACTGAAGGACGTTCTGCGCAATGTCGTCCTGAAACTTATTCGCGACAAAAGTTGACCTTTACTTATGAATAGAAACCAAAAATGATCAGTATAATCAAAGTTCATCACCTTTTTGCGAATGATTCCGGTAGAAAATGAGCGCACACCAGGATGATATTCTAGCACAATGTGTTAGGGTAGTTCGTAGTGTAAATCAGCAAGGATGGCTGAATGTTTCTGGACTTTTCTCTAACTCAGATAGATGTTAGAGACATTTTTATGATTTCACAGCATCGAGTGTTGGCAGTTCAGATTGCTCAAATACTTCTAAGTACGGCGACGCACTCCAGGTACAGTACATGCTGATTCGAATAGTAAAATAAGTCATCTCCATTTCACTAAACTTTAATTTACAATCGACCACGATGATGCTAAGGCCTGCACTATATATTTGTCAACATTCCCCCAGGTATTGACGTTATTGGTAGGTTAATAGCGTAATTGCCCAATTTCTCGTCTTTGCCTGTACGTAAACGAAATGGTTCATGTTTTGTGACGATATCAGGGTATTTTTCACAAAACCGCAAGTTGTGCTAGAACAACAAAATTTCGTACGGCAGTCAGTTAGGGATTCTCGAAAGCGCTTTACGTTTCATAAAAATGTAAGCAAATGTAATAAACAACAAAGGACAATGGAGTATGTTTGCAATAAAGGAATAGAAGCAGGGATAGAAGGATTGATAACCAGTGCAAGGTACGTTTCTGATTGTTGGATTTATCAGGGCCACATGGCTGCGCACCTCAAGCGGAATCGCACAGCAATCCTCCATTGCGTGAGTCAGAAGACTACACTGTCAAGCAAATTCGCAAGCACATAGGACCGCGGCTCACATTGTGAACAAGATTAAGTCGTAAAAATCTAAGCTCAACCAAAATTCACACATACAAATTCCTTAATTAATTTTTAGATCAATTTAAAATTACTGAATACTAGTTAACAAAGTCAATGCACTCCTCCAACAGACGCACTTCCTCCTATTTGCTCTTCCCCCTTCATTCCTTTCTTCTTCCCTTCTTTCTCCCTGACTTTGTCTAGTATCTAGCCAACTAGACTTGACAGAACTACTGACAATATTGCAACCAAGAGAAACGGTCCCACGGACCGCTCTGACGGACAATGACAAATAGAAAAATGGATGTGCCATTCTTCCTTTGTATTCACTCATGGGCATGAAGTACCACGGCAAGTAGCTGTAGCTGACGTTTGTTGAAGCCTTGTATACGCGAAGCAACAAATGTGTCTGCTGGCTCTTATTGGTGGCTTTTAATTGTATTTTCCTTCCCATTCTTGTTTTCCTTCAGGTTTCACCCGTATCATGATGTGATGGGCACATTTCAGCTTCGCTGTTTTCGTAGCACATCCGTTTGGGCCTGATGAAGCCAATAAGCAGTAACGTACGTCGCTCGGATTAACAATCCTTCTGTTTCTGCTCTTGTTCCTTTATTGAGGACATATCCACGATTATCAAAAGCAACATGTCAGTGAATTGAGTACTAGGTATATTGCGCTCCTTGTTTCGACCAAATGACAGCAGTGGCAGCGTTGCGTATCTAAAAAGGTACACCATGTTGATTTAGTCACTCTATGTCGGCTTCGTGTTGCCAGCTCTCGAACTACAGAAAAATCCTGCTTGAGCTGTATCGTGCTGTCGTACATACTTCCAAGTTTGATGCGATTTTAACGAGTTCGAAACTATTCCTGCCGTAATAAAAGTTTAGCCCGATGTTTCTTTTCCTGATAGCGAACTCGGAGAGATAAAGAAGAATGCAGAGTTAAATTGTAACAAATTAAGGGCGATGTCGAAGTATCCAGGATTTCCATTTGGAACTAAAGGAAATTAAGTGCATGAATTGAATTCGATAGTATCCTTTTATTACTCCGTTTGGAGTACTTAAGAGCTCCACTACTTTTTGTAGAAATCCCTGCATTCAATCCTCATTACCTCGCCGTGCAATGGCCTAAGAGGCTCGGAATTAGTTTACAAGGGTTCTTGATTTATCTTGCCGCTAAATAGGCTGTATAGTTCGTGAATGGTATATGAGAGTTGGAGAAAGCCCAAAAGCTATCTGTACCAGGATACCCTCTAAGGTCTTCTCCTAAACATTGTGAAATTAGTAGACCTTTATTAATTTCACAATTTTTAGCCAACCCTGGCTTTACCAAATTTGTAATAAGAGAGCTCAAGGCACTTTTCAATAGTAATAGCGAATAAATCTCAGAGTGATGCACACCTTGCTATTTAATTAGTCAATTTAGCCGTATTGAAAAATACGTAATTCAGAAACAAACAATTCTACAATCAACATACTTACGGCGGTGCTAGGAGATTTATGCATAGATTCTTTTGATCTTCACAGGTTAAATTCAAGTTCCATATGAACATGGCAATGGAGTTTTAAAGGAAACTAGGTACTGTTGCGTCTTGTAGAACTTCGGATTTCACTGTTTTTTCACTTGAAACTTATAGACGGTACTCTGATAGATTATTTTAAATAGTAAAAAGTGTGGATGAAGCATGCTTTTTATGATTTTTTTTGCCCAAAACACTGTATTTTTAGCAGTTATTTCCCCGATTATTTCCACCGCCATCTACCATATGACGTTGACATCTGTGGATATGTCATATATGAGAGGCGCTTGCCTGCGGTGTTGCCGGATTGAGCTACACATTAGGGAAAAGTATGAAAAGTGGAAAATTTATATACATTTATATTAATTAATGAACCACAAAAACAAAAAACCGAAACAAACAACAGTAGTAAAATTAAAACTTGTTCTTACTAAGTGTAAAAAAAATAACAAACAGCAGTGAAGTAAAAAGCAATTCTAAGTGATTATAAAAAACAAAAAATTAAAACAGTAGTAAAACAAAAAACAATTCCATGTAATTATAAAAAACAAAAAAATAACAAACAGTAAATTAAAAAGCAATTCGGATGAAATGAAATTGTTTTTCGTTTTGCTACTGTTTTTACTTTTTGTTTTGTGTTGTCACTTAAGGTGGGTCCAGACTTGAACATTTTAGCCCGAACGAACAGAACGAGCTGAGCGTGCGGAAATAAGCAGAGCGAACAGACAGAGCATAGGTCGATCCGTTCGCGCGAGCATTAAAAGTTCCAACTGCTCGAAGTGTTTATGTATTTGCTATTGTTATTTTTTTCCGCAAAGATATACGGAAGTGCTGGTAAAAGTAAGATAGTGAATTTCAAGATTGAATATGAATACTGAGTTAGCGGTAGCATTTAGCTCTTTTTTCTAATTTGTAAAATTGCTGCCAATGGGTACGAAAATTGTATCGACAGCGCAACAATAACTTGTTATTATTAGAAATGGACCACATCCATTTAAAAAATTTTACCAGAATGACTTCAGAAGATTTTGAGAAGTTGATAAATTTAATTGGACCTGTAATTCAAAAGACGGATACAAAGTTACGCAAAGCAATACCAGTTAAAGATCGTTTAGCCTTAACATTGAGGTTTTTAGCTTCTGGCGATTCTTTCACCAGCCTTCAGTATTTGTTTAAAATATCAAAACAAAGTATTAGCGTCATAGTGGCAGAAACATGTAAAGCGCTAACCTTGAGTTTGAAGGACCTGATAAAGGTAAGAAATAATACATATGCATTATAAGTGATATTAGAACCTATATTAATTAACGAATACAAAAATAAAGCAACAAAAAATAGAAAATAATGAATTTTCTTTCCAATAATTGGTAGGTAGGTAGTAATGTTAAATTTGCCAGTTGCTTAAGAAATTAGCGGCTGCTCCAATTGAACCTGTTTCTTCTTGAGCATTAACTTCGCTGATCGGAGATGTCAAATCAGTATATGAAACTTCACTTTGTGACGTTTCTTGTGGAGAAGGTGTTGGAATGGGTGTCGTAAAGTGACCAGTGGGCAAAGTTATGGACGAATTCTGATAGTTTGCAGCAACATTCATAGCTGCTGCATTTCTATTTATTTCAAAATTACCCATGTCGCCTTGAAATAATATATTATTAAAATGGTACTGTACTATCGCTTTAGTCCTCTCCAAATAATTTCTCAACTTATTTGCCACATGCTTTCCATAATCAGTACAACTATCTGATATTTCTGCTGGCTTTTCTTTTGCTACTACGCTTTTTAGCATTCCAAAGGCTTCGACAATAGTGCTATCTTCCCGAGATATGTTCTGTTTTGTTCCTTTTTTTAAGTTTACACGACATGTTCTTTTCACTTGAGGAAGTACGGTTTGGCTTTCATCAAGATTGCCTCTGTCGTTTTGTGAATGATCATCATTTATATCTGTAGATTGATCAAGGGAATCCTCAATATCTTCTTGCGAAGCAGCCTCCATCGTTTCTGTGTCATCCTAGAAAAAACAAACAGGAAATTTAATGTGATATAATTTTGTCAAAATACACTGTATTTGCAGGGATTACCTCCCAAGGATTCACTAAAGTAGTCTAACTTTAAAACCGGGGAAATTTGACGCTTTCCTATAGTTCATTTTTTAATTAGGAGGAGTGATTCAAAAAAGCGCGCCTAAAATTAAGCCTCGTGATTGGTCAAATTTAAGGTGGGTTTACACAAGAAAACTTATCCATTTCCGCATTAAAATAACATAACCAAAAATTTCGTCAACAACTCCTAATTAAAAAATAAGGTAGGTATAGGTTTAAACGGACAAGTGCACGAATATTCCAAAAAATATATCAAAAAATAATTGTGCATCTAGAGTTTTTTTTTAAATTTAGTCCTAAACTTAGGCCGTTTTTTAATTTATTTCAGATTCCATCAACTGCCGAAGAATGGCTTCAAATTTCCAAGATTGTTTACGAACAATGGCAATTTCCACATTGTGTGGGCTCCATGGATGGGAAACATATTATAATAACAAGCCCTTTCAATACTGGAAGCGAATATTATAATTATAAATCAAATTTTAGTATTGTGTTATTTGCAGTTGTGGATGCGGCATACAATTTTATTTTTGTGGACATTGGTTCTCAAGGTAGAATTTCAGACGGCGGTGTTTTTAAACATACTTCACTACATAGAAAAATCACAGAAGACAGGCTACACTTTCCTATGGACAAGTTACTGCCCGAAATAGGCAATAATGTGCCATATGTTTTCTTAGCAGATGAGGCATTTCCCTTGACAAAGAGGATAATGAAACCGTACTCGGGGATGCACGAAAAAGGTACAACGCAGAGAAAATTCAACTACCACCTAAGTCGTGCAAGAAGAGTTGTAGAGAATGTTTTCGGCATTGTTTCTGCAGTTTTTCGAGTTTTACGAAAACCCATGCTATTGGAACCAGAAAAGGCAAAATACGTAATCATGACAGCAGTATGCCTACATAACTTTCTACGAAAAAGTAAATCTCGAAATACTTATACTCCCCCTGGAACATTTGACCAAGAAGACAGCATGGGAAATATAATTCCTGGTAACTGGAGAAGTGAAGGCAACAATGATTTGTCATCATTCATAGCCATCAGGCAAATTCCACGTAAAACATCATTGGAAGCAAAAGAAGTGCGGGCTAAATTTGCAACTTACTTTTACAATAAATGAATATAATACCTATGTAAATATTACTTCATTTTCTGCCTATTATTCTTTATGAGTCAAATATACTTACATTGAGAGAAGTTAATGTTTCTGTTGGTTCATCTCTGTCTAATAAAAAGGCCATTCGGGTGAAAGCAAACCATTTGGATATATACACTTCTTGCCTACCTATAAAAGAAATTGTTTTTCAAATATAATACCGGTACCAACAGATTTTTTGCCTTTGGATTTTTCCCGCCTGAAACTTGCCAACATGCTCTCCATTTTCTTTTTTACCTCTTCACTACCACACTGCATGATTTGACCAATATTCACCCAGGCGTCATGCTTTTTTATTTTATTGTAGTACAATCGGTGTTTGGGATTCCACAACACAGGGTTTTGTTCATAAATGTCAATTAATTTTAAACATGCTTCCCTATTCCATTCCATTATCAAATTATTATTTAAATAATAAAACTAAATAACTCTTTCTTATTTTTGCCGTACCTTCAAAACACACAGACAATTACTCGAATGCTGCGAACCGCGCGAACTATATTAATTCCGTCAACTGAATGATTCGGCGAACAATAAACCTCTTTGAGCATTTCCGATTTACCGACAAGCTCCGGAAAACGTTCGGCTCGTTCGATTCGGCTCGGGCGCAGGTCGACACTTAGCGAATTCGGCTTTGCTCGCTCAGCTCGTTCTGTTCGTTCGGGCTAAAATGTTCAAGTCTGGACCCACCTTTAGAATTGCCTTTCATTCAACTCTTTGTTATTTTTTGTTTTTTATAATTACATGGGCTCTTTAACTACTGTTATTTTTTGTTATCACTAAGAATTGCTTCTTATTTTACCGTTTGTTATTTTTTTTCATAATTTCATGGAGAATTTTTTTGTTTAACACTGTTTTTATTTTTTGTTTTTTTTTAAATTATTTATAATTTATCATTTTTTAGTTTACTATTGTTGTGTATTTTTGATTTATACTTATTAGGAATCGCTTATCATTTTGCTACTGTTGTTTGTTTTAGTTTTTCGTTTTTGTGATGCATTCATATGTATACGTGGTTGTCGGAAAAGTCATGACGTATATGCAACAAAGTATGCAATTGCATGGTTGGAAGTACGTGAGTCAATGACATTTGTATGTTGATTGTGTAGTTTGACAGTTGACACTTCAAGCTTCATTTGCACCAAAAAATTAAGTGATTTATTTGAGTCTCGTCGATTTTAGAGGACGTTGAAGATGGACGACCAAACTGTGCATTTTCGTCACATTTTGCTGTATTACTTCCGCAAAGGCAAGAACGCAAGACAAGCGTGTGAAAAGTTGAGAAAGGTTTATGGAGAACATGCACTACAAGAACGGCAATGCCAGAGATGGTTTAAAAAAATCCGAGACGGGGATTTTGATATCCACGACGCACCTCGATCAGGGCGGCCTACTGAGTTGGATAGTGACGAATTAAAGGCATTGGTATGAGCAAACCCACATTACACCACACGGGAAATTGCAGAAACCTTAAAAATCCATCATTCAACCGTTCACGACCATTTGAAGAAACTGGGATACGTAAGCAAACTCGATCGTTGGGTACCACACGAACTGAGAGAGGTTCATTTGACGGCGCGTGTAGACATCTGCGATATGCTCCTTGAACGTGAGGAAAACGATCCTTTCCTAAAGCGCTTGATAACGGGAGATGAAAAGTGGATTGTTTACAACAATGTGGTTCGCAAACGGTCTTGGTCCCGAGAGTCATCAGGAAAAGGTGATGCTCTCTGTTTGGTGGGATTTTAAAGGGATCGTGTTTTTCGAACTCCTGCCAAAGAACCAAACCACCGATACAACTGTGTATTGTCGGCAATTGGACAGTTTGCAACAATCCATCATGCAAAAACGTCCGGAGCTCATTAATCGCAAAGGAGTTGTGTTCCACCATGACAACGCGAGACCGCACACAAGTTTGCTCACTCGTCAAAAGTTATTGGAGTTAGGATGGGATGTGTTACCACATCCAGCATACTCGCCTGATCTTGCCCCATCTGATTTTCATTTGTTTCGGTCGCTACAAAATTCCTTGCGAGAAATACGCTTTACTTCAGATGAAGCTGTACATCAGCACCTTGTTCATTTTTTGCCGGTAAAGACAAATCCTTCTACGAGCGAGGAATTATGAAGCTGCCTGAAAGATGGCGAAAGGTCATTGATCAAAATGGGCAATACATTATTGATTGAAGTTTGTGCTGAATATGAATAAAATGGCCTTAAAATAAACAAAAAAAAGCGTCATGACTTTTCCGACAACCCAATAAATTGTCCACTTTTCATGTTCATATAATTAAAGTCGGACAAAAGAGGGTGTCAAACGTGGACGAATACGATTACTTGTAGTTGAGCTTGGCAGGAGGCTGTCAGTCAGACCTGACGTCCACGCTCGTCGTCAAATGTCGACGTTAATGTGAGTGTGCATAGTTTTCATTATAAATTGTGCAACTCCTACTATACCAAGGATAAGCCTTTGATTCATTCGAGGTCTGCTTGAAGAAAGCCTGTAAGGTTACAGGGAGTTTTCCACGTTGTCTTTCATAGACAAAACTTTCTGAGATGTTCGCCAAGGGTCCTTACCACATCAGGGTTTGCATCGGAAGATGTTGTCGAAGTTACAGGAACAACCAATCACAGACATACATGTATACTTAGCCCTTCAGCAGTCAGGGTAGCAGACCCTCCAGAAGGATAGGAGAAGCGGAGAGGTACCGAAACTTTCTCTGGACTTAAAATTGAATGCTTGCACCAATATACTGACATCGTTCCTGTCAGATATCTGACACAAAAAAATAATATCACAACCTTTCGCCCAATAAAAATTTGGACTTAGGCAAAGACTCCAGATCCTTTGTATTCCAAATTTTCGAAGAATATAATAAGGTAATTTCAAGTACGTAATATACCGAATATATCTTAACTCGAGGATCATCGACATTTCTGTTTGTAATATTTGAGGCTATACTAGCTAGTCTTTATCAAACCATAAACTAAACAACTGATATTTTTTGTAATCATGGAGCCAGTCCCAAGACTATACGTTCTTAGCTTTGTCCCAACCCATCGTAGAACCGTGCTGGAACAGTGACGCGCTTGCGCATTTAGGAAAAAGTGTTCCAACCTTGTCCGTCACAGTCACAGAACGGTTCCGCATTGTGTTCCAGCCCGTTTTGGGATCGATTTGGGACGGTTTTGTTGCGGTGATATCGGTACCTGCACTGAAGCGAGGTGTAAAGGAACAGACATGCGCAGAAGAGCTTCCATCACGTGATTTCTAACCTCCAAACCTCCTTGCTTGGATAGTGATTTGCAAAAACAAAAGGCAGTGATTCGACATTTTTCATCCCGATGAGTAGTGACGATGAAGGGGACATCTATTTTGAATTGTTTTCGAATAGTGAAGACAACCGAAATGTATTTCATCGTTGCTGATATATGAGCATATTTTTTAGTCCATAATATATATTATCACAGCCCAAGCAACTGTAATATAAGATATCAGAGTAATGTACTACCGATATAAAACCAATGATTCACATGAAGCTGTTTTAACGTTAGCACTTATTCACATAGGCAAGTTTGAATAATGCTGTTGCAGGTGGAATGAATCTCAAATTTTGATCAAACGTTACACCCAAAATATTTAACTTTTATTTTAATTCCAAATTATCGTCTATCAAGTTAATGTTACGATTTAACTTTATTTAAGCAATGTCATAATTCAAGAGGGTCAAGCGTAAACAACATTGTCGCTAAATAAGCGAATTAAATAGAAAATCCAAAGCTCCTCATAGCTATGCCGAAAAATTGGTATATCAGGCAACATTGGTGATTCTGTCAATTTCGAGGCACAAAACGATTCCGAATCCGTTCCAACACTTTTTACAGTACAGAAACGATTCCAGAACCACGACAGGACGCGCAAGCGTGTAACAGCGTACTTCACGATAATCAAACGGTTCTGGTACGATACTAGCACTAAAGGTTGGGACAAAGCTCTTGTAGTCTGCTGGTATCGATTGCTGCAATGATATAATAATTGTACCCAAGTCAAAAATCTCACAGTTTGAATATGGAGGATCTTGCACATAATTAACTGAACTCCACCTAAAAGCTGCAAGCGATGACAAATCTCACTCAGCTGCGCGGTTGGTCTGAAAGTTTCACCTCACTTAAACGGAGCTGGTAAAGAGAACGTGCAATAAACCGAGCAAACTGAAGAGAGGTGAGCATATCCGTAAATATGTGTAAAACAAGCGCGACTTTTGATCAATTAGTATTGTAGCTGTGATGGATCTAAGGATGTCAACTGATTTTTCTGGCACCAATAAAAATAGTCCTGTTGGTGACGATGCCAGATTTTGATCCCGTTTGTGTAGTTGGTAGTCAAAGCTTTCAAAGGTAACATATTTTATACGTTTTGACGTATATTGACGTAAACAACTGATTGATATGTTTGTTGTGTGTTAAATAGATATGACGGATATGTTCCCCAACCTAACTAACGCCATCTGTTTCAAGTTTTCCTGACTATCGCCCATTGCCCACTAACTTTCCCTGACTATGGCACCTGTTCTTGAACAGGAATATATCGATATTACCGTTCTCAAAAACCTTGTAGCTTTCCTTCCAAAAGAAATGAGTACTCCTGCTCGAAATATTCCAATTTGGTATGGATGGCTCTATAGAAAAGTTTATAAAAGCCAGGCATCATATGTCATAGGTGCGCTCTAAAAGCTGTTCATTGTCAAATGTAACTTCAGTGGTGACAAATAACAAAAGCTTTATTATTATACAATATACTTATGTTGATTTTCGTTGGAAGAACTGATCGCAGTTGGTTGTCAGAGCGGTCTTTGGGACCATAGCTCTTGTGTCGTATTGTCAGTTTGTAAGTCTGTCAGGTCTGGTCACTCAGAAATCAAACAATTTTGAGTGAAAAAGGGAAGGAAATGAGCGGAGGAAGAGAGCAAACAGGAAGGAGTTAGCGCATTGTTAGAATCACTTAACAGATTTCGATGTGGTCTAAAGATATTAGATTTTTTGTTGTTCTAAACTCGCAAATTAATTTTGATTACAGCCTTTTATGCTTGCGAACTGGCTTGACTGACTGACTCACGCAACACATAGTTGCTGTGCGATTCTGCTTGCTCACTACGCCTGATGCTTAATGTTGGGAATTCCAAAAGCAAGATTCCAGGACTTTGAATAAGGGTCAATCCTCTGGTTACTCGTTCGTCCAGCCTAACCGCGTGTAGCTCCGTAGTATGAGCAGGCCGAAAACCAAATTGCAAGTCAGAAAACTGATCGCGTCGTAGACCGTATGAGTCTGTGACCTGATGAACCGATAGGTTCTCCAAAATGGCTATCTAGCTAACCACGGGATAGCCTATTCTGATTTAATATCATTATGCGTTCACAATAAGTATGTAAAACCACTTTTGATTTTAGAGAATCATTTAAGAATACCTATTGTTACTACATTCTACTCTGTCCATAGCTTCAGGCAGTATCGATTCTCGAGAAGTAAAAGGTTTTTAATAAAACAACTTCATTCAGCGATTCAGCGTAGCAACTTCATTGGTTCTTCTCCATGTTAGACTTTAAAAATACAGTAAAGGTGATAAGCACCATGCAGGAATATTCAAAACTAAAATATCTTTTTGCTGATAATGATCAAAATTGACAACTCCAGGTGTTGTGTATGTAAATGATAAGATGATATTTCTACTATCAAAGCTACACACTTCCGCGGAACCACTGAACTTACCAATTTCATATATTATCAGCAAGAGACTAATCTAGCTTTGAATACCCTTGGTTGGTGCTCACCAAGCTAAGGGTCGAACGTGACTTAGAATCAAATTGTTACTAGTCAAGTACCAAAGTGGAAAGGAGCACACACAAGTGTATCTTTGAATATGGTGCGAGCCGCGCAAATGCACACAAAGGCGCGCAAAGGTGTTAGTAGAGGCGTACGGTATTTACCATTTTGGTACTTGCATAGAAGCAAGGAATGCTGTAAGTAGTATAAATACAAGGCATACTTCAGAAGCTTCGCCATCTCTTCAAGAATAGCCTCTCTCAAATTGGAACTACAACATGTACACAATGGACGTCACGCTCATCTGTCAGTTAGACGAGTTCACTGTCGTCGTATAACACTGTCCTGAACCCTGTGCCAGTGTCACCTGCGTAGGTTTCTCTGCGGGCGGCGGGGGCGCCGTTGTCGTCGTGACACTCGTTGACGTGGCTACGTCGCCTGTGCTGATCCCCCCCGCTGCTGGATGCTGCTGAGGCTGTGCTGGAGCTTTGGCAGGAGGCGCCCCCTCGAACTTTGGTTTGCCCATCAAAAACGCTGGATTTGACTCGAGCCCAACTCCGTTTGGATTTAGGGATGACGTCACCCCTATCAGTCCTGTGGAGAAATACATGGTTTGGGGGTTAGTGTTATTCTTAGAACTGTCAATAGTTGAGACTCCAAGTTTAATTTTTGATATGACATGGTGATAAAGTTATATGAACTTGATCTTGTTCTTTTACGGTATCAGAAGATTTGGTAAGCCGAATGCAAATAAACCGTCTTCAGAAGATGCAGTGTTTTTAAAAAAAGCCTCCCTGTTACTGATTTCTTGAACGGGTCAAGCTAGAGAACTGTATTTCGAGGTAATGAAATCTATAAATGAATACTATGCTTTCGCGTGAGAGTGACAGTTGAAAATATCAATATGGCGGTTGGACCTCATTTTGGAGCATATTTTTTTTAATTAAATGAGGGATTCATGTGGCACCGCACTGTGAAGCGCCTTACCAGTAATTCACGACCCCAGAATACAAAATCACTGTCTATCAAAATGTCGACCTGGCAAGCTGTCAAAGTTGAGTTGAGTTCCTTACATCGCTTGTAACTCAACATCCCATCATCAAAATGCTACAGTATGTTATGTCCTCAGTGAAAAAAATGTCAGGGTATTGCACATTCGGATAGTTCATTCAAAAGGAAGGAGATTAATGCAAAAACTATGACGTTTCTATGAAAATAGTTATTGAGTTTCAAGAGATTTAGCGTGAAGAGATGCTTCACTTTGACAGCTTGCCAACCCGCCATTTTTGAAAGTAGTAAGTTCATATTCAGGGACATGAGACGCGCATCAAGGGCTTTAAAGTTACGACCACATGACTCCTCATTCTATTTAAGGCAATGCCACCATCTTGAAATTTTCATCTGCTATTCTTACATTGGAATATACTATGGATGCGCCGCTTCCAACATCCTGAATTTCAGCTTGTTTTCTTGACTCGTTCAAAAAATGTAGCACTGTATATCTACACCGTTATCGAGACTATAAAAAAACTAACGAAAAAAATTACAGCCAAAAGTTTTAGCACTCCGTCCTCTTAGACAATCGAGTACAATACTGACTTCTGTCTATTCATTGTATAATTATTAGGTTCTCTCTTGACAATGCCACAGTCTATAGTTTTGTACAAAAATGGAGGACAGCAGGATGTCTTATCGAAAGCCACTGCTAACGTGGTATATCTTTATGTACGTGTGCACGAATTTCACCACTTGACAGCAGCGTACTTTCTTCCATTTTGGTACCCGACTACAGATCAGTATACACCACTGTCATTGGAACTGTTAATGTTTAGTCGCAACGAAGTGAACAATGGCCGCGGATGGTGATCGTCTAGAATCCAGATAATCCTCCAGGTGATCATCGTTTAGATGACAGTCACTCTCATAGCAAATCTTTATGCATTTGCGTATCATTTTTAGATGAGTGCTATAATTTAAGTTTTAGCTATACTTGAGGACCGAAAAGGAAGAGAGCAGTGGAACACATCGCACGCCACTGGCTATCGTGATATTTCCTTGGATATGGAGGGATAGTCAGAATCCAACATTTCAATCCAAAGGGACGCCGATCCTGCAGTAGGTTGCGATGTGTTTTGCTGATCACTTTCTTTTCGGTACCAGGTATATCAGACCATTACAGCATAGAAGTTTGTGAAAATTTTTGATGACCTAACTGTCATTAGGCGGCATGCTCAGTATTTTATATTTTTTTTAAGTCGCTTGACCCTGGAGTGTCTCGTTATATGATTTATCTTTGGATGTAGTACCTACGTAGAATATACTATCATTTACATAGATAAATATGTGTTTTGTAATCGAGCCAACGCTGCTGAATATATTTGAATTGTGTATTTGTCATTTTCGGGTCAGAGGTAAAAAATAACAAATTGCAACCATTTCATTTATATCTGCGTATCCGCCGAGGCAGCTAGGATTGTCTGTTATCAGCAATAAATAGTTGCACATGAGTAGCGCAGTTAGTTCCCTGTTGATTAATTTTAATGAAATGGATCCTGCTGAAGTAAAACAAACATATACTATTGAAATTAAGGGAAGAAATATTTACGTAAAGTCTGGAAAACGTAGATGGAAAGCTCACAATTTATAAAAAGAACACACCGAAAAAACTTTGTGCACTGGACCTAAATTTAAAAATTAAGGGAAACGCAGAAACTGTCCCTGACCATGGCGCTTACAAACTCCGATAAGACTTGTTTACCATTTATTTCGCCTGTTACACAATTTGTTCTCCTAAGCACGGTGTTGCAATTAACATGTTTATAAAATTACAAGGTGATGCAAACAGGTATGATTCTGCAGAAAAGTAAAGATACTATTTCTGGCAGATGGTAAAAACTGTGACGTATTAGTAGTTACTATGTCATATAATACCACATGTAGTGACATTTTTTTGTAGAATAAATTGATAATCTGGACTATATGTGAAATTAACTAATAATAAATATACTACATTGCGCGCAATGCACGATTTCGTATATTTTTATGCAAATTCTATCACGAGTTGTATGTTATCTGTTGTTCCATATATGTGTTAGATATTGGAAATGTGTACACATGTTCGATGAATAAGCCAATCTGAATAACGGAGGCCAGACTAAATTGGGATGCATAACATCACAATACAAACAGAATAACAAATGTAAATAATTGAAACCGTGGAATATTAAAACAAAGTGATATGTGATAACCGCAGTTGTAGCTTTATTTGCTTTGTGGGACCGAGCATGGCTTCAAAGGGGTTTTTATTAAATAATCACTTAATTATTTTCTGATTGCATGATTTTAATATTGAGTGTAGCTGCTACGGAATTACCAGAAGTACGAGTTTAGTCTCAATAGATAGTCGCTACATAATTTAAACAAAATAAAGAGATGGTTCGTATACTAACCAGCTATTATATTCATTGTTGGAAGAACCATATATAAATTCCTAAGTAGAGGTCAGCTACTTCTAAATTCCATATTCAAATATTTTCCCATCATTATATAAACACCCTCTAAGAAATATACAGCATCAGGTGGATAGATCTTTCTACATAAGATTTCCTTTAGAAGGTTTAAACTCGTTACTTTTCCTCAAATACTACTTCACCCAGTTATTGTCTAAATTACTACGTTGGAAACCTCCACAACTAAAACACATCATGCAGGGTGCAAAACTTCAACACCAAGAAAACTGTCTTTAAAATCGTGAGTAACAGCTCAATACCAAACGTATCCATTATCATTACAATACAAAAAAATCACACAAGGAAGTCCACCCATGCACTTTGAGAAATCAGTCAAGATATGAGGTATGTACAATAGAGATAGAGCAATCCATTCAACTCTATGCGCAAGGCGTCTTTTTCGGCACGTCGACGCACGTTTGTCGCAATCGTAACGCGCGTTGTTGCAATAAGTATTTAGAAGTTCTAATACCAATTGGAATAAGGAAAAGCCCCAAAGGTGCAAAAAGGTGCGAAATCCTATACAGATAGATGGAGCATCAGAGCATAAAAACATGATAATAAAATTCCAAAGTTCTTTCTATTATATGTTGCATCACCTTTCTGATGTCATCAACCTTTTTCTAATTCAACAGGTATTGTATAAGCATCTTCAGTGGTGATTGCCCGATTTGCTTTATCCTGTTTTAGAAGTTTAAAAGAGAACGAAGAAAAAAACCATTCATATACTCCCATACGTGACGTAACCAGGGGTGTCACTGTAATATAGAAACTGCCTATAGTTCGAAATGCTGAGCGTTTCTTTTCTAGCATTGTTTTCGCCTATAGAAGTACAAATGGTTTTCTTGTAGTGTAAATACCTCCAATTTTTGAAATCGACTACGTCAGATGATCGAATTTGCTGAATCATGTTATCGTAATCTTCAGGAGTGTATACATGTAGTGCAAGGAGGAATCAGACCATTGTGCGGTTACGGTTCTGACCTGGGCAACTGTCAGAAAACAAGTGCAACTCCGTTATCTCATTAGGAACATAGTTATCTATATAGTCCTTGAGGAAAGTGCAAACTTCGTCGCTTCGTTTGTGTGTCTGTCCTTTATGATAGGTGTGAAAATGCCCTGTATTGTTTTTAAGATTATGCGCTTCAAAGCCCTAAACCCATAACTGTCGGTAATAAAATATTGCATCAGAAATAGTCAAATGTCAGTCCCATAAGTTCTATTTGAAGTTGAATAACAGTACAAGTCCGGACTAGTACTATCTTTCTGCTCTGTGACAAGTAGCACGTTCCTGTATACAATAGAACATGTACAACGTACTGTTCGTACGCTCGGTCGACATAAAAACAAATTTGAAGACAATTGGCTACCCTAACTAAAAACATCAAACTTTGGAATTGTACTGTTCTTCAACTCACCGATTCAAGTATTTCGTTGGTTTACTGACTAGGGCACACATTGCTGTCGTACTGTCTGTGTACATAGGATTTCACACCTTTTGGTGACTTCGGTTTTTGTTCGCTGTTTCAATTGGTATTTGATCTACTATATCTATGTATGAAGTAGCAGCGGCAACGCGTGATGTGATACGATTGTGAAACGTGCGACGTTAGCGATGGAAAAACCGCCCTGTGCATAGGTTCTAAGATAGCCACAGTCATGCTGGAATATAAGAAGCGTCCTGAATATAACTTGATGACATTAGACGTACAAAACCGTATATCGTTGACTTAATAAATCTTAATATTAGTTTTCGGAGCTCATTTACGGCAAATATTATACTTTAACATTGCAATGCACATCTGGTTGGATGTTTACTGCAAATCTCAATTAGGTGGCTCATTAACACGAGATTCGCAAGAACAAAAAATGCTCCTGCAATATTTAGTAAGCCGACACATCCCACATAGGTAATAAATTTGAAAGGGTAAGAAGCACCAAAAAATTGATACAAAGGCTTTTAACTTGAAAATATATTGTTATATTAAGTTATATTCAGAACTTTCTACAGGGAGGATACTATAACATTCATAGAATTATCTGTATACCCCTCGTATTATTCAACCGGTTCACTATTTTTCATGCCATTTGAGTGCAAATTGGAATGGCACCTTTCCTTATCTGAAAAAATAATACCGGAATATCAGTACAGGATCAAACGTCATAATAATCACTATAAATTACAACTACCATAAATCACAATCCTGAATCTGTAAGAACTACTTTTGAGTTGAGCATTTTGAACATCAAACAAGTGGTTTCTTCAGGTAACCCCAACTCATTATTACTCTACTAGCTACTACATGTTGTCAAATAGTTCAGCCCTTTGAGCCCACTCATGAGATCCTCCGAAGGTTCAGTAAGCTGGGACTGAGTTGTGAATCAAGTAGCAGGAAGCTGTTTCAGTGTATAACTCTTTGTTAAGGCACATATTCCTTCACACGATCGATCTATGTGTACTGTTTCTTTTTCGTGATCTACATGTTATCCTATTTAGACAGATGTCAACACCTCAATGTCCCCTAATACAGGGTGGTCAATATATAACTGACTGATTTAAATTGCGCGCTATTTTTGATACACGCATTTCAGTAGGTGGTGCCATAGTAGTAGTTAATACTGTCGAGCAGCTGAAGAACAATATTAAGCAAGCGTTTGGAAATATTCCTCCCGAAACCTAGTAAAAAGTGATGGAAATTGTGATCAAGGGGGCTCAGGTTTGCGCGGCTTCTGGATGCCGACATTTGTCTGACATTATTTTGCATACATTAACTTCTAAGTTTCAATAAAAGATTAAGATAAAAAAAATGGAGGTATTTTATTTCATTTCACAAATATTCCAGATACAAACCAGTCAGTTGCATATCGGCCACACTGTATAACTTGCAGACTAAATTGGTCAATACTGCGCCCCAATAAGTCAATTTTTAATATTGAGGGTCAGTCTTGTGTTCCATTTTCCACGAATATCTGTTTTCCGTCCCTTCTACCATTTAATAAATAATTTAATGAATAAATTTTCCCTTTCGTCGCGTCCAACTTCCCGTCTTTTCTATAAAACGTCTTCCTATACGATACCTCACTTTATGTAAGCAAACAAGAAGCTTCATGGCTGTGAAGCAATTCCACATGAGTGTAAACGAATACACCTTCTAGAGGTGCCACGATTCGAGAGGAGTATCCGAGTTCTGTTCAAAACAGTTCTTCAAAATGAATCGATTGAGTTTTATTTATGATGACATTGGTAGTCGCCTATATCACATAGAGATGAAGATCCGTGGCATTCCCCAGTACCTCCTACTAATTATTAAATGATGAAACAAGTCCAACTGTTATTATAGAGACTTCTGCCAATACAGATCTTGGAATTGAATTTCTCCGACAGTTTGGCATCGTTGATACGTATAATTCTTGTTTACAGTGATACCGACAGTTTCATATATCTTTCCAGTGTAGGCATCTCCCATCAACAATATACAGTATGGTACCACAGAACACAACTCAAGCATCATATATGGAGGGTCTAGTTAACATTTTTCATAGTGGTTTAGTTGTGTAATATTACTGGTTGCAATTGGTTTTAGCCATTGCAATTATCATCATAGTATTAAAATTGCTGCCCAAGTTCACATATCGAAGGCTTTGTAAGGTAGTATCACGATGGCGTCGTTTCTAGTCAGCCAAAGGAGTGACCAACATTGAATTGTCAGAACCCAGTGCGCGGTTTTTGCTCTACAAAAACGCCACTTAAGGATGTTGAACATTGTCAAACATTGTCAGATGACACGGTTACGTGATTAAAATCGCATGCATAAAAGGGCGCTTAGGCGCGTTGAAAATCGAGCAGTTGCTCGAAATCCATTATTAAGCTGGCTTATTATACTTTCTGCAGCATCTTGTTAGTACTACCTTTCCCAAGCAATATCCATTTTGACGTGATATTTTTCCAAAGCTTTTGGGCCGGGTCTCGATTAAGCTGTACGAATCCCTTATCTGCAGCAAGGCTCACAGAAAAAGGAAATATAGACGGCTGATACTCAGAAGCCAGGGCAAAGTGGTGCTACGCGTGGTCTGTGCTTACATAACGGTGTCAATGGATGCACTGCTGATTGTGGCCCAATTGATTTGATGGCTGGGGAGAGATGCACATTCTATAAAAAGGGCGCCTTTGCCAGAGACAATTATGTTACGAGGGATGTCTTTTAAGTTTTGCATATGGAGACAAAACAACACGGTAGGTAGTTTTAAATGACTTTATTGTTTTTAGAAGTATTCTCTACGAAGATTAATACACATCTGCATGCGCTCGAACCAATTTTCGAAGCACTTACTGCACTCGTTTGCTGGCAGATCCAAAACGGCATTTTTGCATGCGTCAACTGCTTCGTCTGGTGACTGGAACCTTTGACCACGCAGTCTGTTTTTAATTCTCGGGAAAGTAAAGAAATCGTTAGGACTTAGATCGGGAGTATATGGAGGATGGTCCTATAATTCCACGTTTTCTTCCATTAAATACTGCCTTGTTTTTTGGGCTGTGTGCGAGCTTGCATTGTCTTGGTGGAGGATAATTCTTCTTTCGGGGTAGGTTTTTCGAAGCTCGGTGATGACTTTTGGCAAACAAATGGTGGTACACCAATCCGCAGTAACAGTTATTTGCTCATTAAGAGGAATTGTTGCAATATGACCCGCTTTTGATACAAATGTCGCGACCAACTTTTTCGAAACACTTCGAGAACGGATGACTTTTTAGGCTTTTCTTCACCTTGGAACACCCAAACAGCCGACTGTCGTTTATTTTCTGGTTCATAACAGTAAATCCACGATTCGTCACCACTAACAATGCTATATACATTTTTTGAGTTTCCGTAATTGAAGCGGTCAAGCGTTTTTTGACACCAATTAACCCTGGCTGCTTTCTGCTCTTCAGTCAACAGGTGGCGTATCCAACGAGAAACTAATTTTCTTACTCCTAATTATTCATGTAAAATTTTTTTAATTGAGGTCTTTGAGATACTCAAGGACGCCTCAATCTCGCGATATGTCACATGTCTATCTTCAATGATGAGTTTGCGCACAGCATCGACGTTTTCCTGGGTGACTGCCGTTTTTGGTGCACCCACCCTGGGATCGTCGCTAAGACCCGTCCACTTTTGAATTCTCCATACCAACGGAAAATTGTCGACTGATGTGGCGCTTCGTTGCCGGAAACAGACAATAACTCAGCAAGGCATTCTTGTTGCGATAATTGTCTCTGAAAGTCTCGGTTGAGTTCCGTTTTTCTAATGACTTGGTGACACTTAAAAATTCACTGTAGTTCACTTGTTGCGAAACTTTGAATTTAAGTTTACTAAAGAGTGAGGTTAAGATTCATTACTGACGTTCGATCCTCGCGGCCTACTATGTTTCTATATGCAAAACTTAAAAGACATCCCTCGTAGATGACAGGAGAGATGGTCATGGTGCATTGGTTACAGGACTCCAGATATTACCTAGATTGACAAGCCGGCGGTGTGGATAGATTAATACAATCGACAGTTCCCCACACGACATACTTCTTCTGGTAGGTACCTAAGGAGGATCCTCTGGATTATCTACTCTAGTATGTTAGATAGATGTACTACCAGAAATAGACGGAACTGATACTGGGCGAGAGGCTCACTGCTGACAGTTTTGCCACGAATCTGATCGATGGCAAATGGAATGACATTCAACCAATAGTGGGGTGAATGATGCTGAATAGGTTAGAAGATGACAAAGATCAAGGAGCCAACGATAGGTTCCTGCTTGCCCAGTTGTACATGTAAATGACTAATACCTTAGGTGTAATTACACATCGAAATTATGCAAGTATCACCGGAGAATTTCACATTTCGGACAGGAAAGGCAGGCAAGGTAATTCTCTTAGGTTTTTTTGTCTGGAAGTGGCTATAAAGGATTTACCCTGCCAGAAAATAGAAATAAAAACGCAAAAATCTTCGCGAATTCAGATTCTTATATCAACTAGAGATTGTTCGATCGTAAATTATTAATATTACTTCTGCATTCCTGCTGGCCACTGGCGTCTTTATAGCAAAACCATCTAAACGCACAAACTGCCATTAAAAGCACGTCATAGAATTTAATGTCATAGTAAAGTATTCGGAATCGTTAAACTTGCCTGTAATGAATAAAATTATCAATTTCATAACATGAGTTGCTGCAATTTATGCCGTTTTTAATGCTCGCTAACCACAAACTAAACATTTTTCAGGAAACGTAGAGCTTTTCGATTAATTCATTCGTTTGGGCTGTCACGGCATCGGTTATGTTCCATTCCATTTATCAATTTAAATTTGCCGGTCGTAACCAATCACTTCGATTGGAATTCAATTTTCAAACCCATTAATCATTCTTATTAATTTCAACAGTCTGGACGACCGACAACTGTATCGTACCCCTTATGGAACACAATACTGTTTTAACTAATGCTGGAGACTCATGGAGTCATTTATTTTCAACCGCTGTCATATAGAGTTTGTAAGTCTTAAATTCTTTTGAAGAGATGATGAAGATCCTGCTAGATATCAAGGAAGCCAGTGCTGGAGGTTGGAGGTCTGTCTTACGGTACAGTGGCACATTGCACGTAGTGTGTTTATAAACTTTGAGAAAAATGTACAATGGCGTGGATTTCCCGAGTCCTAGATATTGAAAACTGTCCATAAATAACGTTTGAACGCTCGGTTGAAGACCGTGCTTAATAAAGGAACATTTATTGACTTTCCGCATTGCCCTATCCATCCCCAAGTGCAACCGTATATAGATGAGGGTCCCATGCACAACGAAATGCGTATATTTTGTTATTAAATGCAAATTAGAACCAGTTGGCGCCTATATTCAAAGAATGGTCCACAGCTTTTCTGTGATACATATTGTACAGGTTTGAAATCGCAAGTTCATAATTTTTTTTACGAATTGATGAATGAGCTTAGAAGAATAAATATACGAAATTGTACCAATTGATGAAAATTGATATCTGCTTTAATGTAAGCAAAGTATTGGAATAGGATTTGGGTTAAATGTGAACAAATTGCTCACGATAATGTATTTACAGCAACAGCGTGCTATAGACGCTTTAAGCTGAGCTTCAGGTTAGTAGTAGTGGGCTACTTCCGTAACTGATACGGAAAATTTAAATGTCAACTTGTTGCATAACTGCTACGTTATTTTGTTTTTATTTATACAGGGTCCGCCAAAGGAACCTGATGAGTTTCAATATGAAACTACAAATGTATCTTTCAAGATATTTATTTTCATATATATGTATAAGTAATCGAAAGTGTATTACATGCCATTTTATGTATGGAAAATAACTTCGGTCAAATGATGTCCTTCACTGCGGACACACTCTTCCAAACGGTTTCGCACATTCCCCATTACGCGCTGTACCATACTCATCGGAATCGCGCTAATTTCATTGCGAATGTTTCCCTTCAATTCTTCAATGGTCCTTGGGCTCGTTAAATATACCTTGCTTTTGAGATAACCCCATAACCAATAGTCACAAGCCGTGAGATCGGGAGACCTTGCCGGCCAAGGAACATCTCCATTCCGCGCAATGACTCTTCCTGGAAACATTTCTCGCAGTCGAACCATTGTTGCTCGTGCTGTATGCGCTGTGGCGCCATCTTGCTGAAACCATACAGTATTTAAATCTATGTTCCGTCGACGAAGCTCTGGTTCCAAAAATGTGTTTAACATTTCCAGATAACGTTGCGAATTGACCGTGACAATTTCCAGCATCGTCTTCAAAAAAATAGGGTCCAATTATGCCGAATCGCGACACTCCGCACCAAACAGTAACCTTGCGACTATGAAGGGGTCGCTGGTGATGTTCTCTCGGGTTTCCTGCACACCAGTAGCGAAAATTCTGCTTATTTACGTAGCCTGATAACTCGAAATGCGACTCATCAGACATAATTAAGCCACCTAAAGCGTTTTCATCCAAAATTTCCAGAAGCTGGTTGCTTGCAGTCAAACGGTTCACAAGGTCTTCAGCTGTCAGTTCTTGAACCATCGCTAATTTGCAAGGGTGATAATGTAAATCCTTATGCAAAATACGCCGCACTGTTGTTTCTGAAAGCCTTAGACTAATTGCTTGTAGCCTAGCTGAACGACGTGGACTTTGCTGCACCGCTGTTCGCACCCTCTCAATATTGGCTGGAGTCCGAACTGTTCGACGCATTCCTGGTGGCTTAGCTTTCATTGATGATGCAGATCCACGAAAACTTTTGACCCACAACTTAATTGTGTTACGGCATGGAACAGAACCATGACGTCCGACATTGAAATGTGTACGAAATAGACGCTATGTAATGATCACCGAGTCGTGATTTTTAAAATACGTCTCGACAACAAATGCGCGATGTTCACTTGTCTACAGCTCCATGACTACTGAAATGGCATCTACTACCGATGCCTTGCCCACTGTAACCTATGTTCTACGTCAAAAAACAGCTTCGTACTATCCATTCTGAAAACGTCAGGTCCCTTTGGCGGACCCTGTATATACCTTGCACTTCTGTTGAGTTGATCTCTTGAGGTTGACTTGTCAATGCAGTTTTCTACGTCTAGACTTCTGATATGATGGGTGGGTTAGGTGATAATGAATATTTGTTATTTCTTGATGAATACGCACAATAGTATATTGAATTTGGATGCTTCATGTTTACGATGAGCATGTGATAAACCAATAATCTTTTTGATGTCATTGACCCTGTAAATCATATAGAAAAAGCCTTGTGTGTCAATGTAGACAACTCTATGGATGTCACCACTCATTCAATCTGATTTCTTTATATATAATCTATAACCCTTAAAACTATGTAATGAGTATTAAAATGTTTTCCTTTTCATTAGTATTAGGTATCTTATATAGTAGGAAGAGCGATCAGCCTAGGTCACAACATGTGCCACTCAATCATGTAAGGTATAGATGTATTTTTAGCTGACTGTCCAGTCGCAATGCCAGTGGCAAACCGAAGCTGTCAGGACATGGATACATCTGACGTATCCATACACATAATCTTGAGGATTTTGTGGGTGTGCTCTTTTAGCATGGGCATCCTTGTTCCAATGGGTAAAATACAGTGGTGCTTTGGGCTTAGCCAACGCTTATATTATTACCGGTGGAGCTACAGGTACATACAGCTGCCAGATAGCAGTCTGGTATAACATATCTGTGGGCAATTTCTGTTGCTCCTTATGCTAATTAATTCAACCTACGTCACGCTGGCAAGCTTGTTCATAGACCACTTATAATTTATACAGAAGCATCTAGAATAGACTCCGCAGTTCGCAGAAAGATCCGTCAGTGAAAATGTTAATAATGTCTCCCCCTACCCCCTACGCATTTTTCAAAAGAAAGGTAATGACGTAGTGTCGGTCAAGTATGAACGTTGGAGGAATGCTAACATAAAAGATGACTTGCTCTAGGAGCCAATACAGGTCATTCTAGGTGCTAAGGCTTCAAGGTACTTAGTCCCATCTCTTAGGAGATACCTTGGTGATTGATAGGCCTTAGACTATTTAGCCTCCAGTTAACACGGACCCATAGGATGAACTCTAGGTGTTGATATGGGCCACTGTGGGCATCATCGCACTAAATTATTTATATATACATCCACACACATCTTACCGATTTTCGGCATGGGTACTCCGAGCATGTCCTTGGGATGATTGGTCTTGTTGACTGCGTTCATCCTTCGGGTAGGATCACCAGGAGCAGTCGGACATCCCGTAGGAGCACCCGGTACCGTCACGCCAGGTATCCGGGGACCCCGAGTTGGTTCAACTGGCAGCACTCGTCTACGTTTCTTAGGAAGTTTGGCTCGGGCCTGACAAGAAAAAAACAGCTTAAGTAACCGAAGTAGCTTCCCTAATATCTATGTACCAACACATCAAGGTAATTGTAGTTTAGGTTAAAATGAAATAAAACGGAGAAGCTGCAATTTTGTGGCACCGTACTAGAAAACTAAAACAATACCGTTGCTGATTTCGAGCACACGAACTGACTAGAAGAAAACGAAATCGGAAACATCAATGTCTGATCACCTCTTGGAATAATATAAGCATCTCTGTCTGTGTTTCAACGACGTAATCCGGTCATATGATATATTTTCACAGAAAATATTTCATAGGTCTTGCAAACATGCGACACTCAATATCCATTAAAAGTAATGCTGGCCAAAATGTTACAGTGAATGATTAGCGATCTATCCGTTCACCAACAGTGAAGATGCGATTGCTTACTTTTAATTTTGAGGTTTAGCAGTCAGATTATTAAAGATCACGTTTAGCAGGACATTGCATCAGTTATAACAGTTGGCCACAAGGTGAAATACATTTTCATAAGTAAAAGTAACGCCGACTCATGAGTTGAACTATTAATTATTCCTGTTAATTAACTAAAATCATCCTCTGATAAGATAAAAACACTGCAAGGATTATTCTTTGAAATAATATGAACATTTAACTGAAATATTTTCTCTAAATTTTTTCATATTCCTTGTTGTACCGCTTTTCAAAGTTGAGTCATTTGTTTTAACTGCCTGTAAGTCTCGTCAAAAGGAGTTGATATACCAAAAATCACCTATACCTAGTATATAAAAGTTGAATAATAAAACAAAAATAGTAAAGGATTGAAAATTTTGAAAAACAAGAATGTTATTACACATATTTTTTGATATTCTCGACCACTGCCGTCTAAAATCTTAGCATACTTTATTTACTACACTTACGGTTCATTTAAATTTGTGGAAGTTTTTGTGTTGTTGGATGGTTTGCAGTACGAGTCACTGGTTCGATCAGTTGTATCATTGTTTTAATAGTGCGTATACTTTCATTTGTCTAATTATTTTTGCGAGAAAAATGGTCCATGGTTACGAAAACAATAAGCTAGTGGACATAATACTAACATACGGAGAGTGCCAAGAACAACGAGGCCACGCTGGGAGAGCGGCTCAACCTGAAATGTTACGACTTGAGGAAGACATTTTAGAAATGATCGAAGGCAACCCAACAATGGGTACTAGAGTCATAGCAGCTCAAGTTGTAGTTTCTCATAGTAAAGTGAGGAATAGTATTATCCTTATCATTATCAACGGGTACAAGCGTTACAACCTGATGATCATCCTAGAAGAGAAGAGCATTTGGACAGTGGTTTTTAGAACAGTTCGGCAGAAATGGATATTTTACGAAATAAATTTTTTGTACAGTCAAGGCCACATATACACGAAATTGACTGTAAAATTTCGACAGCAATTATGTTTGGAAAGTAGAGAATCCGCGTGCTGTAAAAAGAACACATTTTCGACATGGATGTTCATTAAATGTTTAGGCTGAGTGGTAAATGGCATGCTTACTGGACTCTACTTTTCTCCACCTCGACTGACCGGTGAAACTTATTTAGATTTTCTTTGAGACAATCTGTCACAATTATTAGAAAATGTTCCTCTAAATGTGAGACAGAATATGTAGTTCCTACATGATGGGGCTCCACCACATTTTAGACGAGAAGTTCATTAACATCTAAATAATAAATTTTCCAATAGATGAATAAGGTGCAATCGCCTGCTTGTTCCCTGGCTTTAACGCTTTGCGATTTTTTTCTGTGGGGCTATTTGAAAGAGTTGGTGTATCATGATGGAGCAGTAAATACTCTGAAAGAACTTCAACAACGCACCTTATAATTTAATTCGTGGATACCAATATTCGCCTAGCAATATTTTGCGTTAATCGAAAAAATAGGGGCAATTTTGAATAGTATTTGTAAAAACTTGATAGTGATATTTTTAAATAATTTTTAATAATGTAAGCTAACTCTTTTATTATGGAACTTTTATATAGGTGATTTTTGATATATCAACTTCTTTTGACGAGTTATACAAGCTGTTGAAATAATTGACTCAACTTTGAAAACCTCTATGTGCCTCAAATACACGGGTTGATCCTTATTCCCCGTCCCTGATCCCTTTGCAGATCCTTGTGTTGCTTGTTGTAGAATGGACAATTATACGACGGTCATTATTAAGATTCAGAAATAAAGGCGTGGTCGTTTTTGCTGAATAAGTGCTTAATCTCAATCTATTTTCTAATATGGCAAAGTAGCTGCTTAAGCCTGTGCTGTGATGAAGGAAATATTCGCTAGTTTGTAAGCAATTTGTCTACATGAGTAGTTGACTCTAATTTATGATCATTGGTCAGTTCCAAAAATTCGATTGTGTCTGTTTTGTAAGTGAATTCGTTATTTAACCAAGGACTCATTCAAATTCCATATATAGAGGGTGACTTCGAAGTTGAGTCATTTATTTTAACAGTGAGTAGATCTGATCAAAAGAAATGTTTTTTTCCTTTAACATTTTTGTGGTAAAATTAAAGTAACAAAGTTATAGCCCTTTAGAAGTTTGAGTACCGCCCTGTCTCAATAATAATATTATGTGCTCGTGTTTGGCGACAACGGATATACTCCGCCTTATCGGTTCATCGCATCGGAAACAAAAAAGCGAAAGAATTTGTAACGCTGATCACGATGTTTTTATTCAGTCTGTGTCAGTCGGTAACGCGTGAGTGAATAGTGGTGTTGCTGCGTGGCTCAAACGAAATAAAAAATGGCACATATTTATGCGAATCGGTTTCCCAATCGAGTGCAACCAACCCCTCGTGCCTTTGTTAATGTAGTACAACGGGCTCGTGAATCAGGTGACTTAAGAACTCACAGGGGACTGCATGCCGGTGCTCCAAGACCTCACGATCAAATACAGGTCCGCACTGAAATACTTGTCGGGAAGATACTTTATAAAACAAGTTAAAAAAATATTTTTTAATTTATTTTTATTTTTACACACATATTTTGGTTTATCTTCCTTCTACAATCATTATCTGAAAATTAATGACTCAACTTCAAAGTCACCCTGTATAAGTAACGTAATTCAAGTGCTGTAGATAACAGAGCTTATGTTAGGAGGGATTAAGTACAAAAAAAAACATAACTTAAACTTAGGAGTGAAGCATAGGGATCAACCATCGTATCTTAAAAGCTTTAATCGTCTAGAAAGAAAACCACTACTATCACTATTGGATTCGGTTTTCCTTACCTGTGTGTGACTATAATACATGGCAAAATTGGAAACTATAACAGGCACTGGCAGCGCTATCGTCAACACACCTGCCAGTGCGCATAAGGCACCCACGAACATCCCGATGTAAGTCTTCGGCACCATGTCCCCGTACCCGACCGTGGTCATTGTGACCAGTGCCCACCACAGCCCCAACGGAATGCTTTTGAAGTCATTGTCTGGATTGGTCTGTATCCTTTCTGCATAGTACACCAAACTAGCGAAGATCACTATGCCGAGCACCAGAAAAAACACCAATAGCGTGAGCTCCTTCGCGGATGCCCGGAAAGTCTGAATCAGGATCTTGAGGCCTGATGAGTGTCTGGTCAGCTTGAACAGCCTCATGATGCGGATGATGGAGAAGAACTCCATGATGTCGGCATTCTCCAGATGGGAGGCAAACTTACGGAGTACCAGGTCAGCATAGAAACTAGCAGTTGCTATGTAGTCGATGATGTTCACAGAGGAATGGATGAACTCACATTTGTTCGGACTGGCGATGAATCTGCAAAAAAATATGCGCATGATGGTTATTTTACACAACAATTTATAAATGATTTGAATAATAATATAATATGCGTAATAACAGCTAATGACTTTGGTGATGACAGGTTACTGGGCTGACGTCATACTAACCGTAGGGAAATTTGCAAAAGCCCTAGCTTGAATCAGCATTTTCTTCAAATGAACAATCTCTTCTTTCTACATAGGATTCTTTAAAGTGAAGGCGAAAACATGACGTTGCTTGTTTATTAAGGAGGACCTTATTAGAAACATATTAACTTTGAAATGACATAGCTTTGTTAGAGGAAGAAACGTATGGTTTACTTTTTAAGGATTCATCTTTCGGTTTCAGTTACTTTAAGTACTCGACTGTGGAGTACTTGGTACAATTTAGTTCAGTAACTACAGATAATGGTGCTAAGGCTGAATTGATTGAAAGCTACGAGGAGAGTATCCGCATAATCTGTGACAACTGGTGCCTGATTTCCTATAGACGCTATAGCTTGAAAGCACAGTATAAACATCAAGGTGTGAAGAAAACTTGCATATTGCCCCTTTAAGGTAAAACCTTATCTTCATTTACAAATTGTTGCATACGTGCAGCACACTCTGTAACTCAGAGCCAGACTAGATTGACTTTATTTTTGCCTGAAATGAGTATAATATTGTGCATTTTTATTTGCTACTTCGGCGTCCACCTGCCAATAATAATAATAAAGTTACGACTTATAAGCATAAATTATGTTGTATGCATAATATTATCATGGACTTGAGCCATTTGAGGCAAAAATGGACTTAACCAAGATTGGCTGTGAAGTGCAGAAATTGTGCATACTCGTACGGCGTTACCATACTTGAAATAAAAGCCGTCCTAACGTAGTTAGTTTATTGAATTCAAAATTTGTGAACGTCGGTCTGTTTCTTATGGGAGATTATTTCCACCTTATACGTTTTGACTACCACTACGCAAAGATACAAACCTGACGAGTATTTCGAAAGTGAACCAAGCATTGCAGATGCATTCGATGTAGAAAAAGGCGACGTGAGCATCTGTGTCCACCTTATCAGCATAGTAGTCGGTTCCATTCGGCGGCGTTCGTACAATTTTGGTTACTATCACAGGCACTTTCATGTCAGGGTGGGTTTTGAGGCAGAACGAGAGGATGGACACACATATGAAGAACACAGACATCACACCTATCACCTGAAAGTAAATAGAAGCAGGACGTGAAAATAGAAAAAAAATAAAATACAATGATTTCTGCTGTTTACGATCACACAATGATATACAGGGTGGCGCATCGAAAACGAAACAGACGCATTTACTGGCAGCTCAGTTTTTTTTGGAAAAACGCTCACACCCGTCGAATTTGTTTTTGAGGGGGACACAAGTTTGGCAAAAAATCACGTTAACACGTGCAGCCCCCTGGGCGGGGGTGACACCAACCCTAAAATCTTAAATGGAAAGGGGGGTCGAGTGATAGCTTATTTTAAAGGTCTTTCAATTCCCTATATAATGATGTAAAATACGGTTCAGTAGTTTTGAAGATTTATTGATTTAAAGCTTAAAGTAGACTTTGATAGGTACATCAGATTAGTTTGTCCTACTTTCTCATGGTTTGTTTATTATTTTGTTGTTGAAAATAGCCATTGGACCGTTTTTTTTGTGTCAAAAAAGTTATTTCTTGAAGAAAGATAAGGAAATATATCGTACTTATTTTAAATAAGAATTTAGTACATAGTTTGCGATTGATTTAACTAAACTTTGTTGCCAAATAACTTGTAACGTTTTATTACATAAGTTAACCATGGTATATTCCAAAGTTGAAGAGTTGAAATTATCGAAATATCTTTCGGAAATAGTCAGTGCGCCAATAGAACAGCAGAAATATTTAATGAGTGACATGAGAACAGCAACGTGCATCGAAAATATGTTCTAGAACCTGTAGCTAAATTTCGGGAAACTGGGTCAGTCGCCAATAAAAAACATTGAAGATCCCATAAGGAACGAAGCAAAAGAACTGGAGGTTTTAGGGCAAGTTTATGTAGATCCTACGTTTAGTACCCGCAAATTGGAGACTGTGTGTGGTGATAGTCGACGTACTGTCCAACGGATTCTAAAGGCCCATAGTTTTCATCCGCATAAAATTCACCTGGTACAAGAACTTAATGAAGACGATTTTGATCGGCGATTACAATTTTGTGAAGATATGAGTGAACGAATTATGAACGATGAACATTTTCGATTCAACACTTGCTTTTCCGACGAATGTTCATTTTTCTCAAATGGTGTAGTAAATCGTCATAACTGCCGATATTGGTCCGATTTTAATTCCTGAATTTATCATGAGGTTCATACACAGCAGCCACAAAAATTAAATGTTTGGGCTGATATTTTTGGCGATCATTTAGTTGGTCCTTTTTTCTTACACGGAGAAATGTATTTGGAATTACTGGAAGACGCCATAGATCCTGCACTAACAGCCATAATTGAAAATCAGAATGATCGGCGGTAGATTGCGAATAGGTTGATGTTCCAACAGGATGGTGCCCCACCACATTACGCATTACGTGTTCGACAATATTTAGATCAGATGTTGGATTGGTAGAAGAGGTGCCATTAAGTGGCCCCCAAGATCGCCAGATTTATCACCCTTGGATTTCTTTATGTGGGGTCATTTAAAGAGCAAAATCTATGCTACTCAGCCAACATCATTAGAAGACCTGCGACAAAGAATTGTGAATGAGTGTCTTCAAATTACCCCTCAAATATTGCACAATGTGCGGCAGCGTTTTGAGCAAAATCTTTATTATTGCATGGAGAAACATGGTGGCCATTTTCAATATTTACTTGCCTGACCGGTCAGTTAGTTCTTCATTTTGCTGCCAAATGTATTGATCTCCACTAATGATGATGTATTAGTTTTATTTAAGCTTTAAATCAATAAATCTTCAAAACTACTGAACTAAAGTACATTAATTTTATATCATTATCAAGGGAATTGAAAGACCTTTAAAACAAGGTATCACTCGACCCCTCTTTCCATTCAAAATTTTGGGGGTAGTGTCACCCCCGCTTAGGGGGTGCACGTGCTAACGTGATTTTTGCCAAACTTGTGTCCCCCTCGAAAACAAAATCGACGGGTCTGAGCGTTTTTAAAAAAAAAAGAGCTGCCAGTAAATGCGTCTGCTTCATTTTCGATGCGCCACCCTGTATTTTGTAGTATCAGTAACCTTATTACGATCTTGTAGCGGAAAAATTAGCGTAGGAAAATGTTATGTGATTATTGCTTTAACTAATGGTAATGACATAATAATATTACACTACAATCTAAATGAAAAAAACTCCATTCAATGGGTGCAAAATAATTAATTAGCGAAATGGGTAATACGAAGTAAAGGATACGCTGCCACGCAAAATTAACCAGACAAACAAAATTGTGTTCAAATTTAATTTTAAATAGCTCTTTACCTTTGCATCTATTTCGTAATTTTTTCGCCAAGTTATAGGTAATTTCATTGTTATTATTATCGACTGTCGATCTGATAAAAAAATTCAAAATGTTTTTTGTTATACAGGGTGTAACTAAAAGGTGCAATTTGCTCTAAGCCCCCTAACACCCTGTGGAAACATTGGATTACTGAATAATGTGACTTCGTATGAGAATTTTGAGCCTTTTTGCAACAGTTCTTTTTTTATTTATGTTAATATCTCAATTATTGAAGACTATATGCTGTTTTGAAGAAAATCATGCGAATCATAGCCATAGCATCTTTAGACATGTCAAAAAGATTCTTGTGGAGCTATACTCAAAAAAATTGACACCAGAACAAGTAGCGCAAGCGATGCCAAGATTTAAACGAACTGGTTCTAACCCAAGAAGACCTGGGCAGGGAAGACGGAAAGCAACAAACGCAGATAAAGATCGGTTTCTGAGACTTCAAGCTCTTCGAGAAAGGGCAAGATGATCTTCGTGGTATCATAGTTTCACCTGATACCGTACGCCGAAGGTTATGAGAAGGAAACCCATCATCTTGTGTACCTGCTACAAGTCCTCTATTGGATGTAGGTCATCGAAGGCAGCGCTTGGTATTTTCTCGAACTCATGCAGGTTGGGATATGGACGACTGGAAAATCGTTTTTTTTACAGAAGAGTCTCGTTTTACGAGATATTCACCTGATGGTCGCCAAAGAGTGTAGACAAGGTGTGGAGAACGTTAAGCTGAAAGTTGTTTCGCTGCTAGAGTGCAATTTGGTGGTGGAGGAGTATTGGGATGGGGTGGTATTTCTTTGGAATCCCGCGCAGATCGTGCTTCGCTACGAGGAGGACACCTTACTTCCGACAGGTGCACTAGAAAGTGTTTGGAAGAACATGTGCTTCCTCATATGCCCTTTATTGGAGAAAATGACTAGGCAATACCTCAACGATGTTGGAATTCAAGTACTATAGGGGCCGCCAAGGAGTCCGGATGTCAGCCCCATTGAGCACGTGTGGGATACCTTAGGAAGAACGCTTAGGCAGAACTATGGAGAATTTCACATGAGGCTGCGTTGGAACAGGCGCTGGCGAACGAGTGGGAGCAGATACCCCAAGACACAATAGCTGGTTTAACTGAGTCTATGCCACAGAGGATGAGAGCTGTTATTCAGGCCCGGGGAGGAAATACTCGTTCTTGATAACAATTTCTAATTACCAATGATGTCACTGTAATTTCTTAAGTTAAATTGTTTATGGTTATGAATCGCATAGTTTTCTCACCAACTTTGTCACTGTAATTTTTTGAATTAAATTGTTTATGGCTATAATTTGCAAGATTTCCTTCAAAACAGCATATATTCTTCAATAATTGAGGTATTGACATGAATGTAAAAAATATCTGTTGAGAAAAGTTGAGGCTTGAAATTGCCAAACGGAGACACATCATTCAGTAATCCAATGTTTCCACAGGGTATTCAGATATTCAGGGCAAAATGCACCTTTTAGTTACGCCCTGTACAACAAAAAACGTTTTCAATTTTTTTGCAAGAACGGCAGTCCATAATGATGATGACGATGTCATTTACCTACAACTTTATGAAAAAATTAGTAAAATTGATCCAAAGGCTAAAAAGTTATTTGAAATTTAATTTGAACAACGAGACGGTATACAGTATGTCCCAGATTCGCTTCTCTATACAGGGATCTCAGTTTCTGTTACACCTACCGCTGAGGTAAAATGGGTAAAATCTTAGAGGAAACTTAGTGCATTCGATAGCCGGCTTCATATTTACGATCGGTTCTCGTTCTATAATTCTCACTGATGCACTAGGGACTTCGTTGAGAGCTTGTAAAATGTTTCTGTCGCGATTTTCATTTTCAATATTGTATCCGCCTCTAGGCTGCTCAAAGGTACCATGCTTTGTGAATTAACTACTATTTTTCTAAACTGGGTTTTATGAGGCTGCCGTTGTTCGGGGTACATCTCCAAGTATCTTGCTGAGGCGTTTCTGCGTGACTGCAAGTACAGCGCTGACATGTCAAACTTTTCTTTACTTGAATAGGGAACACCATCCATTTTCAACAGGTTCTGACATTTTTTTATTAGATATATGATTTTGCTGAAAGAAAAAGTACCCAAGACTTATTAGAACATAATTTTAATACTTTGAACTATTTAACGTCAACGTCAGAGCATCCTTAGATGAAAAAAGGACGCGTTACTTATTGATGTTATTTTCTGACAAATAAGTCATTGCCTGCTTTAGAACAACTAATTCATAACATCACGTGTGATATATTTCGGTGATACTCCAATCTTTAATGCACTTGCAGAAAATTTTACGCTCCTTTCAAAAATCAAAAAATCCAACATGGCGGCCATAACAAAAATGAAAGGTTGCTGGAAAACCAAAGACGATTGAGACATGTCATACATGCTATCTTATTTTTCTCTAAAAAAAGTCCAAATAATGACACATTTTGGCAGCTGTCAAATTAACCGTCTCGGATTTACCAGCAAAAAAAATCCGCTATTTTTGGTTTTTGGCTGATATTTTCAAAACCAGTTGACCGATCGTAAATCTGAAGCCTACTAATGAAAGAACTGAGTTTCCTCTAAAACTCTACCCACTTAACCTTTGCTATAGGTATAACAGGAGCTGAGATCTCTATATAGAGAAGCGAATCTGGGACGCACTAATAATGTTAACATTATGTCAATCAACAATAGATTCAGTCTTCAAAAAATAATATAAAGCAGACGTTTGCAATACACATACATATGAAAGAAGTAAAGTATTCGAATGAGAATAAAATGAGTACAACTCATTTATGTAATTTTTGTGTTTGAGTACAATTGACTACAATTCAGTATTTTTGAGATACTGTCAAAGTATATGTATAATATTACAAAAGGTAGAAATTAACTACTACAGAGTTTTACTACTAGCCGAACCAGTTTTAAAAACCAGACATATGTTTCGCTTACTGTGTACTTTCCATTTTCCATCAACATTTCGAAGACCTGCAGACTCTGTAACTCGAGAACCATTGATACTCAAGCCTGGCCATAGAAACTTTCGATCAAAATGGTATAGACGATATCATACTGAAATGTCATCCAATTTGACCAGAATTCATCATCCATGAGAATTGTAATTATTTGAAACCATCAAAAAATAAGTAGATGTATCTGAAAATCGGCAGGCCTCCAGCAGTTGGATCAAATCGGTATAGCAGGAGCTACTAATATTCCAATAAATGGCCAAAAAATCATCGAATTTTGTTGGTGTCTGTGTGTCTGTTGCAAGCTGATACCTTCTTCGATTTAATTGTGCTTGAACACCTTGTAACTCAAAAACCCTTGATTGGAGACTTTCCGTCAGATTGATATGAAGAACAACATACTCAAATATCACAATATCACAGACAGTATGACTGAAAGCTATGTGCCATAAGACATGTGCAATTTCCTTTCTACAATTCTCCAATTTCCACGTATTCCTGTTTCTAATAAAAATTCAGCATTCAATGACGTCTTCCGTTGGACAAAATATAGTTACTCATACAGTTTTTCGTAAATGTAACGTACAACGTGAAAAAATAACCGAGGTTATCTGTAAAGGTTTATATGTATAGTGTTTATATCCCGAAAATCTTTTAAAAGAATCAACGGAGGCTTCTTTCAGTCATCCGAAAGCAACGGAAATGAAACTGATATATTGATCAACTGACTTTCGGTATTCATAAGCCAAGTCCACTGCAAAGCTATAGGGTTATGGGATACTGGCGTAATCACATATCTGTCAATCCAGCTAGAAAATTAGATCATGATTTCGAATATGCTCACCGAACTGTCAATTAGGCCAGAGCCATTAGCCCATAGATGTTATTAGATGTAATATTCTGATGGCTGGACGGAGCATCAGCTATGAGAGGCATTTTCCCAAATCATTAAGCACATTTCAGTCTGATTTATTATGCTTGTGTGTGAGTTAACGCAAACTTGGTGAGACAAGGGTAAAAGCGAGAATAAAAGTTGAATGCTGTTTTCACTAATATAAAATATCTGCTGATGCCACATCAGGTAGGAGGTATATCCATAGAGATTGCTTCGACATCCATTTCTCACTTACAATCGAAGTATGCTGCCATAAATCTATTCACAGTCAAATCATGAATTTCATGAAAGTTCCACCTTGTAAGGACATGGAAATCCACTGTTCGGTAAACCTTTACTTGCGACAAAACAACTGCTTTTGAAACAAAAGCTTCAATGAGATTAAATCATCGCTCCATTGTAAAAAGCCATAATGAATTGCTTTGTGAATTCGGAGGAGAGTCTGAAAACTTTATATTGCTGCACTTGTCGACAGATTAATGCAGCAGATTTCCAATTGTATTCAAAGTTAAGGCCATACATTGCTCTGAGGCTACAAAGTAGCACTTTACGCTCTCAATAGATAAGCTCCTTAACCCCCTCCCCCCAAACAAAAAGAAGATATCACTTTTTCTTTAGAAGAGTCACTCACGATATGGTCATCCCAGTTCAATGCCCTAACTTTACCTCCATGGCTGCTTGCTACTTTGGTAGAATGCAGGTGAAGGAGCTTATTTAAGTAACTGCTTTCGCTTCCATACTCATCGATTAACTCCAAATAAGCAGACGGTGGGGCGCTAGTGCCATTAACTTAATATTAAGAGACAGAGATGGCTTCAGTGTTGAAGTGCCAGCCTAGCAAAACATTGTAAACCAGTTTCCAGCAGACATAATTCCTCGTTTTTGCGTTTGAATTTGTCTAAGTAATTCCAGTTCATTTGTAGTAAATCTTCAGTTTCCGTAAGCCAAACATATTTTGACCAATATCTTAAAATTGCCTACAAATCCTATATGAAGTATAGGTATCTCTAACTGCATGTATAATCTTATATCGAATAATCCATTTAGGTAGTTTTTACCAAACGTGGCACCAAATCAAGGAATTGATGAAAACAAAACTTCCGAGCAACTTCTAAAAGGTAGAAAACTGTGATTCCAAACACGTGATCAACGATCTCATAGAAGGGCTAAATAAAATTAATGCTCATCGACTTTTTCTCTTTAAAATGGCCCAAATATCTACTAAGCAGGTATTTGACCCTGTCAGTGTATTTAAAATGGAAAAAGCTTCTTAGAATCCAATTAACTATGATGCATGAGAAATAATAATTGTATTTGACCCAATCTTATTTCTATTGGCACATACCCTGCAACATCTCTTAGGTATAGACAATTCTCAGTACTTGATTCAAGATCCAAGATTTTTTACTCTAATTTCTAATTCTGAAGTAACCCTCCTTCATTCTTCCATTCTTTCATGTATGATGTCGAGCTATTTCTTTATGTAAACAATGTCAATCATTATCTTCAACCTGTCTGTGTTTACTAGCTTTTCTATAGCCAGGAAAAAATTACCCTTATTTTGAATTTCGACTATCTACGCACTGTGGTAAGGGCGAGAAAGTTTTGTGATTATTAAACAGTATCAGCGAAGTTATAGACAAAGAAATAATCAAATCTCTAGAACTTCGTTTTTGACGAGGTCCATAATAGAGCTTTTGATAGGGTGGAAACTTCATTACCAATAGAATAAAAACCAACGAAAGTCATATACTTGTTTGATAAATATCTAATTCTATGCACACACTAGCCATATTTCACACATCGTAGATTTGCCTTTGAAACTTAGAATGATGAATTTCTTCGATTCACGTACTCCTGCTATCTAAGCTCACCGCCCAACGTACCGGTACCGGATTAATTTATCCGTACGGTAGCGCACAGAGCATTCCCAAACTTCTTGTTTGTATCTCGAAAGACAAAGGGTTATGCGAGAACTGTGGATGCATGTTTTACATACGAATATATGGGGGTACTGTTACCTGAGAAGGTCCGTGGAAGCTTATTTTTCCAGCAACACTCAAAAAAGCATTCCAAATTCCTAAAATTCAATTCCATTATGGCGCATAAGAGTTAATTATTATGAAACCCTTCCTCATCTTTCACACAGGATGGGCGGATAATCTGACTTCCAGAGCGGAAACGGATGTGCCCCTTTTAATGTAATTGCTTTCCAAATCACGTAGTCTGCATGGCTTGCCTTGTTGTACACAATGCGCCTGTGGCACATATGCTACCAGGAGTGAAAATGTACCTTTATTTATTTCGTATACAGCAGCCTGGGAGAATTATTTTCAATTACGCATTAACCATGGATGGTGTTTTACTTATCGCTGTCTGAGTTTTTACAAATAGTGCAGCTTTTTGAATGGAATCCCAGTATCTAGAGGCATACCAGTTCACTAGCGTTAATTCTTTCAGAAATACTGAAAACTTGGAGAGGCAGAGATTCCAGGACAATTAATTCGAATTTACGGAGTTTGTAAAACAAACTGTCAAACTATACCGTCTGAAAACAGGTTTGTAAGATTTGGAGGGAATGCTACTTTTACTTGCAAGATGGACAAAAGAACATATTCCATGGTAACGAAATACTGACGCTTTTATCATGACATAATTGATACTCTGCCTATTATAATGTAAATAAACAAAGCAAACTATCTTCCAGATACTGAAGCATTGCTGTTTGTTTGTTGAAGATTCATTTAACATTAATGCTACAATGTCAGTTTTGTAGAATTATTCGTTTACGCCTTTTTTTTGAGTCAATTTTCTGTAATTTTACATTCTTGTCTATTAAGATCATATCACTATGCATTTTGAGTATTCATAAAGTAATTTTTTAATTTTACTCTAAACATTTTTGGATTTGAACACTATTTATATCGTTATTCAATTTATTAAATTCAAATACTCTCTTTTGAAATACAGATTTGCTAGTTATGCTACAATGACAATTTGTAGATGAAAATCTTTACTCCCTCTAGTTTTTTAATCATTATAATGACTATTTAACTTTGTGAGGTGTTCTAAATGTGATGGTAGTAGATGATTTTTTAATTTTAATATGAAACTAAATAACATACGACATTTTTTATATTCAACCACTGTAGTTCTTCTAACGTAGTCTTAATCCTATCATATTTGTTTTTATTTAAAATAATTCTCGTAGCTTTATTTTGAGTAATTTGTAATTTCAAACATATGTTTTTATTTACTGTAAATAAGATAGTTGAACAATACAAAAACGGAAAATAATTATAGATATACATACACAAGTGGTTTGGAATACATACTGGAAAACTATAAAGGTAACTTATCCTTTTTTAAATTTTTGAAATAATGTGTTGATAATGCTCTTGTAGTATACAGATGCCGTTATCAATGTAACATAATTTTCCTAGATACTGCCTGTGTTGTGTTTTTTGTTAACGGAAACTATCAACTTGACGTAGACAGAAATGGTGCTGTAATTCTCAGCCGGACATCTTTCCACGGAAAGTGCGTTGGTCGAAAAGAACACCGTGTCAGGCGAATTGAACTTGAAGCTTTCGCATAGCAATGTGAATACCCACATCAAACTCTCAACACTTTTGCTGTATCACATGATGAGCTTAGAGTTTTGAAAACAATTCGCTTTCAAGCTAACGAGAATACCGGTCCAGTTCTCTGAATACAGAGTTAGAATGTCAAAAAGCCTGACGGGTGTGTTGGGCACGCATATACGGTAGAACCATGGTGCTGAATCTAGCAAAGAGCGGTGACAAAGCCGTAAGATGGAGCGAAACCTCTGATATTTATTTGCAAGCATGTAGCGAAAAGATAGATTAGACTAGACTCTTCATATATTTAGTGTACCGATCACCATAAATCTGTCATCTAAAGATTGGTCAAGCGACATGAAACCATATGTTCTGGAGTTGTTAGGGTCGCTGGTTATGAATTAGTTATCATAATAACTTAATATCAAATACGAGTATAGCGGAACACGTATACTGCTTCTAGTACCGAAATTGACTGAACTGTACTGAAACAAGAGTGTCCTTCTCAAAAACAACTCACTTTATCTGAGCTTTCAGTAGCTTTTTCTAGGGGCTCATACGTCCTTAATGGATTTCTATAAAATATTTTCTATAAAAAATTATATCATCATTTTTTGTGTTTTAGGTATGCGAGATATTAGCATGTCATTTGGGAACACCCCGTAAGCATATTTATTACTTCCGGTTGTTGATAATTTTTCTAAATCTACTGTACTACTGTTTTATCGATCAAGTTCGCCCTAAAAATGAGCTGATATCCTAAATGCGCCTGCTTTTGGCACGCGCCCCTCAAAGCTTCATCATGGTAATTCAGTAACCAGCTTGGTAAGCTACGAATTCCAAATATTACCAACCAATTTCATACGCGCTGTCTGCTATCAAAGCTTCAAAGCTCGTCATTCTGTATATGGTAAGCGTATTGAAAAATATGGGATGATGCAGATAATAGTGCTTGTAAGAGTACAGTGAGTATCACAAAATGTATACTCGTAGAGTGCATTTAGGTAGAAGGAGAAGAACATGAAACTTGGCATCATCTTATGTTATTATATAAGGCATTCTACATATTACTATCGAGATGTTTGCCTATTATGCCAGTGATGCCTTACGAAATCAACTTTCAGTGGTGCATAATTATGTTCCCGAAGCGGTTAATCCGGAGTATTCCAGAATATGCAGACAATGCCTTGTATACGTACAAAACAGATGATATAATTTTGGCATTTTTTTAGAATAAATTCTCAAGTAATACTGCTACTTCTAAATCATAGCATACATTCTTCTTATCGCCACTTCGGGGCAAAAGTAACAGAAATTGGTACCCTTTGATCCCTCCCTGCGCTGATTTGAATATTTTTAGGACACTATCCTTTCAGATTTCAAATATCGTTTGCGTTATCGAAATATAGCGCGTCGCCCAACAGCTGTAACAAAAGGGCTTAATGATTCTAAAACAAAGTACTGGACCTTAACGTACAAAAGGCGTCCGAGCGCTCATCCAGTTTTGATGGAGTCCTCCCAAAGAGTCGTTCATCTCGGCTGGTTGGAGTCCAGATCACCCAGGACTTGACCTGGCACGAATACATCTCGCCAATAGCGGCACCCGCTGAGAAAAAGCTAGACCATCTGTTTAGGGCTAAGAAGTACTTTCCTGTAGATGACCTCCGCACTGTGCACAACTCCCAGATAAGACCTAGCCTCAAATATTGCTCACATGCTTGTGGTGCTGCCGCTTCGACTACATTATGACCCTTCTCTATCGGACAGTCTCGGCAGCCGTTCGCACCGGCGAGCTGTTGGCGATCTAGCTCTCTTCTACCGCTATGACAATCAGCTTTGCTCCTCAGAGTTCTCGTCTACGGCGTCACCGCGCGATCTGCCTGTCAGACAGACACGCCTGACTTCGGCCTCCCATCCTAACCGTGTCGAACCTCGTACATCCAGAACTGGCTGATACTACTGCGCCTTTGTCCCGAGGGTTCTACTAACTTTACGCAGTTCAAAAATCGGTAAACAATATTTCTTTAAGCTACGCATAGCAGCCACGGTGCCCTGTCATTTAGGCTTTGCCGACGCGGCTAGTTCGGTGTAAGAAAAAAAGAAACACCGACTTCCAGTGACGTCATTCACTGCCTTGCATTCCTATAAAGGCACGTTTCCAAGTCGCATGCATATGTGCGCAACATATGTCTGCAGCTCGTTTAAATGGAGATGCATCTAGCCGAGCATATCTTGCAGACAGTGAGAAAGTCTGACAGATGCACAACACCTACTTCGATGACTGCAACATCTTGTCCTTACAAAATGGAGCACGTTACTATACTACGAAAATTGATGAAGAATTATCTAGAGACCCAGTAATATTCTGACACTTACCTTTGCTGTCGTTGATGAGTATGGTTCGTCAAACAGAGACCAAACTTTGGGCTTCGTGAGCTGCCACCACGACAACGTTCCTTTGAAATAATCCTCTTCAAAGCCGAACTTCCTAGCTATTTCTTCGTCGCTAGGTTTTTCGGTATCGAGGTCTAACCTATCTAAGACAGCTAATGTTTCTTGTGTATCTCGATGCTGTAAAAAATATAAAATTGCATCAGTGTTCCTCTCTTCCAAAATTCTGCTAACACGAATAAAAAGGGAAAAACATTCTCGAGCTGCTGAATGTCTGCAAAAGTTCATGAAAATGTAACGTTCGATAGTCAAGCACAAAACAAAGAAAGGTGGCGTACGCCATTGTCAACGTAGCGCGTATCTGAGTAGGTATGGTGAGATCTACAGTTTCCCACTAGCACCTCATCAGTAGCAACTTACGTCAATTTCGCATATCTGTTCCCATTTGCTACTTTACTACAGAGGATGGATGTAATAGCCCGGTAAGGGAACACAAAATTTTTCTAAAACCTTGCACAAATTCTATAATGTAAGGAATTTTGGATTTAGGTAAGTCTTCTTCAGCACCTGCGGAAGGCATGAAGTGCAAAAACTTTTAAGAACTCTATTTTAGATTTCTTTTGTCACGGTCCTGTAAATATTATGCAGGGTGACTTTGAAGTTGAGTCATTAATTTTCAGCTAATGATTGAAGGAAAATAAACCAAAATATGTGTGTAAAAATAAAAAAAAATAAAAAAAAATGTTACCTTGTTTTATAAAGTATCCTCCCCACAAGTATTTCAGTGCGGACCTGTATTTGATCGTGCGGTCTTGGAGCACCGGCATGCCCTACCCTGTGAGGTCTTAAGTCACCTGATTCACGAGCCATTTGTACTACATTAACAAAGGCACGAGGGGTTGGTTGCACTTGATTAAGAATAAGAATCATGTCCACAAGTTCGTATACATGTGCCATTTTTTATTTCGTTTGAGCCACGCAACAAACACCACTATAGACTCACGCGTTACCGACTGACACATTGACTGAATACAACTAAATAATAATTGTAGTAAAAACATCGTTTCAAATTCTTTCGCTTTTTTGTTTCCGATGCGATGAACCGATAAGGCGGATTATATCCGTTGTTGCCAAACACGAGCACATAATATTATTATTGAGACAGGGCGGTACTCTTCTAAAGGGCTATAACTTTGTAACTTTAATTTTACCAGAAAAATGTTAAAGGAAAAGAACATTTCTTTTGATCAGATCTACTTACTGTTAAAATAAATGACTCAACTTCGAAGTCACCCTATATGTATATGTATATTAAGACAATGTTATAACTTGATGGATAAGCTATAAAACTATGTTACGGAAAGTTAGCCGTTTGGTATATACAAAAAATGCTGTTATGGTTATTTGAAACAGGGTTTTCAAGAGCTTAACAATTTTGCTCTTCAGGCATCAACCCAGCGGATGGTGGGGTGTATAGGAATGACATAATGACATTATTTTAAGGGAAACTTTCTTTGAGTGCAATTTGGCAACGCCAAACTCTATACAAATGTTAAATCAAATAGCCCTACTGAGCTAGGGCCGTGGCAAATGCTTGTTCCGGAAGTTGTTGGATCCAGTATACAACTTCTTCCCGTCCAAATGATTGTGCACGCGTTAAGGAATACCTCAGTACCGATTGCCGGGTGGCGGTACAAGTCTGCCAACGGGCCACTTTAGGTCTATTTAACATCACTAACACGTAAAAAGAAGGTGGTAGACAAGGACCAGTCGACCGAGGCAGTACCACCCGCTAGCTTTTCCCAGGGTGTCTTATAAATGTCCGCATGTTTCCACACCTAAGCTATGCAGTCGGTTATCTACCAAAACAAAGAAATTAATGATGATGAATCCCTCGAGCACTAAAAACTCTGGACGTAAACTCACTCCACTCTCGGAATGTCCGGGTGGAGGGTGGGCTCGCGGGAACAACATCGAAGATAGAATTTGTTTTTCGAACATCTGCGGGATCAACAGCAACATTGATGCTGTTCATCACTACCTGCAATCCAATCGTCCCGCCGTGCTTTTCTTGGCGGAGACAAAAATCTCAGAGACTGCACCGATTAACCATCTCAACTTCCCAAACTACGAGGTGCACTCCAATCTGAGAAAGAACGGGAGAGTTGTGGCTTTTGTCCTCGGCAGTCTTTCCTGCTCCAGGGATCTTTATTTGGAATCAGACCGGAAGGACATTCTGTGGATTCGCCTCAACTCCAAAATATCACCCAAATTTATTTGCTGCCTTTATCGCTGTCCCTCGAACCATAACTGGGATGACCTACTCGAATACCTCGCCGTCCAGATCGACTTCCTGAACATCAATCACCCCGCTTCAGAGGTAGTTCTTCTCGGTGATTTCAATGCCCATAATGAGCTTTGGTTGGGCTCAAATAAGACCGATGCAGCAGGTCGTGCAGTCAAAGCGTTCGCTCTTACTCAAGGGCTGACCCAGCTGGTGACGAGCCCTACTTTTTCCCCCGCGTCTCGTCACACGCCAGTAGCCTGCTGGATCCCTTTCTGACCACGCATCCTGCCCCTTACAGCACTGCTGTCCTGTCCCCCCTGGGTAACTCAGATCACGGTGTTGCGGAGGTTAGGTTTCGGTCAGAAGCCGCTGTGGCAGCAGAAACTCGCACAGGCCGCAAAACTTGGCATTACGGACATGCCGTCTGGGAGGGGCTCAGAGACTTCTTCTCTAGCTTTCCTTGGAGATATGTCTGTTTCACTGACGCGGATGCGTCGACTGTCTGTTCTTCAATAACCGAAATTATCCACGTCGGAATGGAGGAATACATCCCTCACACAGTGAATGTTCCTAAACCAGGGTCCAACGGCTGGTTCAACAAATCGTGTGACACTGCTCGCCGGCAGAAGATCAAGGCCCACAGAACCTACTTATAAAACCCCACTGTAGAGAACAGACAAGCCGACGTCGAGTCCAGAAACAAGTATAGCGAAGCGGTTCGCAATGCCAAAAACCAGCATGATATAAAAGTTAGGAACAGGGTAATGTCGCAGCGCAATGGCAGTCGGTCTTTCTGGACGCTGGCCAAGCACATTGAAAAGAACTTCTCACACAGTAGCCTTCCACCACTTACGTGTCAGGATGGAACTATTGTATTCGACTCAAAGGCCAAGGCGGAAGTGCTAGCTAAGATCTTTGCTGCCAACTCCACCATGGACGTCCCCACCAATGCCCAAGTGCCGTCAATTCAAAGGGTTCCCCACACTATGCAGGAGGTAACAATCAGGCATAAGACCGTAAGACGAGTGCTCTTGTCGCTCGACATCAACAAAGCTTCTGGTCCGGACTTGATTCCTGCCATTGTACTGAAGAGATGTGCAGCGCAGCCTGCTCCAGCTCTTTCGCGTCTCTTCCAGATATCTTATGAATCCGGAACCTTCCCAGAAAACTGGAAATTTGCTCATGTACAGCCCATCCCAAAAAAAGGATCTAAGACCGACCCTTACAACTAGAGGCCTATAGCTCTGCTTTCTGTTATAAGTAAAGTGATGGAGAGGTGCATAAATCGCGAGCTTCTGGACTGCCTCGAACGTCACAGCTTGATTAGCGACAGGCAGTAACGGTTTCCGGCACCAACGATCCACAGGGACCTCCTTGCTTACGTCACGCAACTGTGGAGTAAACTCATCCAGTCTCATGGTGAGGCTCATGACGTTGCTCTTGACATCACGAAAGCGTTCGATCAGCTGTGGCACGCTGCCCTCTTAAGCAAACCTCCATCCTACGGCCTCCCAGAAAAGCTTCGCAGATGGGTGGCTGACTTTATCTCTGGCCGCAAGATATCCGTCGTAATTGACGGATTCTCCTCTTCATCCCACAACGTCAACGCGGGTGTTCCCCAGGGATCGGTCTTGGCTCCAACACTGTTTCTCTCACATATCAGCGACCACCTTTCCTGCACGATCAACCCAATCCACAGCTTCGCTGATGACAGCACTCTACATGCAGGAATTCAGAGTGTCAAGCCGATCTCTGCCGCTGAGCTGGCAAAGAGAAGACTAGCGACGACTTCTTCTCTGACAAGAGACCTGGAGGCTATCACTGCTTGGGGACGCAACAATCTTGTACAGTTCAATGCTTCCAAAACACAGTACTGTACTTTGACGAACAAAAGGCGTCCTAGCGCTCATACAGTTTCGATGGACGGTCGAGTTCTACCAAAGAGCCATTCATTTCGGCTGGTCGGAGTCCAGATCACCGAGGACCTGATCTGGCACGAACACATCTCTTCAATAGCTGCAGCTGCTGGGAAAAAGCTAGGCTATTTGTTTAGGGCTAAGAAGTACTTTTCTCCGCATGACCTTCTCACTCTATGCAAGGCCCAGATAAAGCCTAGCCTCGAGTATTGCGCATTGTTGCCAAACACGAGCACATAATATTATTATTGAGACAGGGCGGTACTCAAACTTCTAAAGGGCTATAGCTTTGTAACTTCAATTTTACCAGAAAAAAACATTTCTTTTGATCAGATCTACTCACTGTTAAAATAAATGACTCAACTTCGAAGTCACCCTGTATATATATATTGGTATAAGCGTGAAAGGTGCGCGACCGACCAGTCGCATACATTTTGCCACTGCATAAATGCTATTTGATCATTGTAACGTGTACCACACATACAATCTGAGTAGGGAACTACTCGTATTATTAAGTATGTATATTCTCAAATTTTGACCTGCAAGTAAGTACATTTATCCATGAGATATATATATATATATTGTTTGAACAACACAACGTGCAAAGAAAAATTGTTTAGTACCTTCAATGAAGTATACTTTTAACTCCTCATGATGCTATTATTGCGGATTTATATTAGCTTCTCTCCAAGATATGGTTTAAATAACGTTAATGAAAGCAATGACTGAATGGAAGTCGATCTTTGTTGTGCTCACTAGCAAGTAGATACTTCTGCGTTTCAGTAAAATTATTCTACAACAAATGGAAAACAAAAAACCTATAAGATTTTTTTGCTATGGTGGTATGGTACCACTTAAGCTCAAAACAAATGTTTGCTAACTTTCCACCAGATACATTTTTTTCAGCTATTTTGAGTATATTCACGTTAAAATTCATCTTTTTTTACATCTTTTATAATCATCATTAATTATGGAGCTTGCTAAATAGCTCAAGAAACTAATCAGACAGCTCAAAAATACCGGATACCAACATTTACCCATGGCCTAATAGGAGTTTCAAAAGAATTTGCATAATCCTGTGAACGAACGTAGATATCAAACCATAGTAGGGAACCCATGTAGGTTATTTATTTATCTACAAAAACTACCTCAACAATCTTTTTCAACCTTCTTCCTGTCTGTGCCAACGATGGGATTCCGGACTTTCGTTATGCTAAAAAACACTTCTTCAATATCCCACATGCTAAAGAATACTTCTTCAATATCGTAAATCCCAATTTTCATCTGTTATAGATTTTTTCAGGTCAAAAGTGTTCATTTATTGGGCTATCAGCGAGATTATTTAAAATAAAATCATAACAGAATACAACACAGTTAGGAATATTTTTAGTACGTAAAAATATTGTTTTGAGACCTTCTTGCTTTGAAGCTTCTTTGTTATTGCATACCTGCGTGTATGTCATCCAACAACAAGGTTCTACTTGATTGGCGTCTAGTCCCCAGAACTCTAGTTCTTCTTCAAACAGCGGCCCACAAACGTCTGAAGGATAATGTAGTTTACCAGTCCTGCAACAATTGAGTCAATTTTATGACAAACCTTAAATTGTTAGGCCTAATGTGAATGAACGAATGCTAACAATGCTTAAGAAACATGTATGAAATGTTCTTTGGGAATACCAATATTTTGCCTCCAAAGCCATCCTTCCCTCACAAACCTCAAGATTTGCTTTCCATAGTTCAAATGTAAAAATGCTCGTCAATATTAATAATAAGTTTTTCCATGCCGCACCCTTAGGATGTAATACTAGTTTTGCTATGGAGGTTGATTTTGATAATAAAACATGAAATGCTCTATCACGTCATATCATTGTCAAAAAACGTATGCTACATATTTCAACTATTTTGGTTACAAAAAATGCAATTTTATATGGATGGCAAATATCCAATTACTCAGCACTAATCGTGGAAGTCTCACTTATGCTACTGCGTTGTGAAAATGATGTTAGCTGAGCATTATGTAGCATTGTTCTGAACGTAACCAGCTGCCGTAAAGTAAATTAATGAAAACTTAATCTGCACTCATATGTTCTGCAAACAGCCCTGAAGGTCTACTGGGATGGAAGTTTGTATTCAAGTTGATCAACACTAACACATTTAATGTAAAATCACAATAAACAGGACCAGGACCCTTGACCTTACAAATGGAATCATCAAATATTTACCCCCGAATGGTAGGGACGAAAAGGGACAGACGATTTTACGACATACAAGATACTTTCAGCTTGTTCACTGGCCCATATTGGGTGAAGTTTATTGCACTCGCGTGCCATCAGAACCAATATAAACTTCTTTTCCTTGCCAGCCAGTAGCGTTGGGTTTCCACATCCTAAATAGGTTTTAGTGGAAAACAATTTGAGAAGGTGGTTGCCGCGTCAGTTATAGTCCTGTAAAAGGTGTTCATATGTCATCGGCCTCTTTGAATTTAGACGCACATTCGTAAAGTGTGAGAATTACTAGAATTTTGCAGGGTGAGTTACTAAGGGCCTACAATTGTAGGGCGCCTTTATGGCCTCCTTGATTTTCATAGTATTTTCCCTCTTTTCGAAAGGCTAAAGATTTCTAGAAATGAGGGTCATAAAATTCAGAAAAATATATGCGTGGATATAAAAACAGTTATTATTTACACAAGCATCGCAGAACGCTAAAGTGGCACTAACTCCTAATATCCGAATATCGCTAAAATATATATTTCTCCTATAGCGGTACGTTAGTCACGACACCACCATAGACCAGTTGTTACCCATTGCACAGTCGGCAGTTGCTTTCACAACGATGCAACATCGCGCCGTGCACGTAACGCCAACGATTGTCAAGTTACTTCGAGTTATACATCGGACCTTTATCATTTAATTACCTGCAAGTTTCAGCCTCTACAAAAATGTTTCCGAAAGTGATCAGGAGTCTCTGAAACGTCAAACAACAGAGTTTTGTCGATTTATACCTTTCGCGTATTTTTGCCCCTAACTCCGTCACCACTAGACCGATATTCAAAAACTACAAAGCTTTTCATCCTTGGCTAGTAGTGACCTTGTGAAAAAATTTCATCAAAATCCCAGCGATACTAAGTTATAGGTGGTTATAAAACTGGCGGATAGACCGACATACAGATAGACCAACGGAAATGGGTGACATGGTGTTTCTTGATGTGCACGTCATATAACATCCAAAAAACATAATATCTCAATTACGACATTTTTCGCGATCGCAAGTTTTGGCATAGGAAGTAAAATGTCTCATTGTAGCATTGTCTAGAGCAATAGAATTCGTAAACGAAACGCAACTGTGTTATTTGAAACCAAATACCGTGTATATTGTTCATTTTTGGAATTATATGACTTTCAAACACACAAGTGATACAGTTACTAATTTTTTGTTCTTCAAAGATACCCATGTTAAGAAATTATAGTATAGACGATTATTCGATAGAAAAGTATGCTTATAAGCAAAGCATAACTGACAAAGTCAATGTTTTACATATTTAAATGCAAAATCATCAGGTTTATTTACTTAGCAAACTTCGTTTTTTCTTTACTGTTCGATGTAGATCCATGTTCCCTTCCAATCCATGTAACACTTTATGCACCATATAAAACCAGAGCAGCATTAAATCATTACTACAGAACCTAAAGGTAATGCATCAATAAGTCTTTGTTCCTGTCAGATTCAGCTCTCAATATGAAAGCTGAGCGCGGTCCTCATACAGTTCGATTTTATTGCTACTCGAACGTATTGCGTGGACATTGGGCCGGCAGTTGAGGAGAAATTTTACGTCGTGGTCGTAAAGGCGCAATTCCACTGAGGCAACTTTTGGGCAACATGTAGCATACGGCATGGACGCATGCGGCACACTGTCGTTCCATAGAGACAACACAAAGCGACAAAAAAATGTCGCCTTGCCGCATGCCACAAGTTGCCCCTTGTTGCCTCTCGAGGGCGCCGTCAGCGACATGAATCCGCGTGTTGATCAGTGTTGCCGGCTATCCAAACCCGTTCGGATCGGTGCGGCTTGTGGCAGGCGACAAAATGGAGTGGACCAATGGAGAAACATTATCTTTAATTGAAGATTACCATAATTCGGATGAATTATGGAATAACAAACCGGAAAGATATGAAGGTACACGACTAAAGCAGGATAAATTACAGGAGGCAAAAATAGTTGGTGGCTACGGGCCACTTGCTAGCGTACAGTACTCTCAGTCTTTTAGACGTACACGATTGTTAGCTTCTTGTCCAGCTGTCTCCTTGACTTACCAGTAGTAGACGAGTTGACCTATACCTAAGAAGGAAACATCTTATTTTTTCCCCTAGTTGGCTTACTTATTAACGGTTGATTTCTTTAAATAGGAAAATACAACTGTTGGGTATTGGAAATTGCTTGGTACAGATATCCGAAACAGGCACATAAGCGATAGATAACTATCACCCGTAGCCAAATATCTTAATGTCACTAGCAATCTCACGCGGGCCGTTATTGCTTCCCGAAGGTTGGTATCGCATTTTTTTATCATAGGTCAAATTTTTTCAAGTAAGCAGTGAAATTCATCGTCACTCATCCGTGTGAAATTTCGGAATGAAGCATCATCGTCAGCCACCAAGTTTTTGTACAAATCATACTGAATTTCTTGACCATATACGTACGAGTATATATTTCTTCTCCAGTATTGTGGCGTTTTTCTTTTTCTTTTCCGATCCGAAGAAATTACTAAATAAGCAGCCGCCGCGACTGTCTATAATGACGTGACGTACTAAACTGGAGTTGCTTGAATTAAATCGTGAAGACGCATGCTACACCAATGTACGACAAAGTGCATGCTACAAAGGAGAACAAAATCCGCATGCGGCATTAATAGAATTTTGGGCAACACTGTCGAACGTCAACATGAGGCAACACTAGGAATCAAGTAGCAGGTCACATGTCGTTCATGGTTGCCTCAGTGGAATTGCGCCTTAACACGTCAAACGCCCCTGTTAATTCTTTCCAGTGTCTGTACCAAACACTTTGTACGGTAATGTTCGCCGTTCGTCTTTTATAGTCTACAATCTACAAGTAGTTGTCCATTTTCCGGACAAATTTGACCTAATTACTCCACCAGACCATAGTAGTCCATACAACGGTCCTTAAAAACCGCATTAATTACTTTGTTGGTGGCGTCGCCTCGCAAGTGCTCCTGAAACTGTAACCTCATGATTTATTTGAAGAAGGAGAAATACAAAGACATGATATTAGGTACATTTCTATCAACGGAATTAGCTCCGCAACATGCGTCGTACGCAATATGTGTCTTATTATGTGCCGCAACATGTGACGCAGCTTTGGGCAAAGTGAATAAATGTGTCTGGGCACATTGTGCAATATTTCCCATGTCCTTTTGCACTCAAACAAAGTATAGGCGCTTATGCGTGCAACTTGTTGCATTGGACTATCTTTCAGGACTAATACACATTGACTAAGAAGTTCGATTTGGTAAAAAGTCAAAGACTGGTGGGTAGACAGCGCATTGGTGGTCATAGATGTGGATGTATACCGGCTTGTGGTAGAGGTTCAAACCTGATCATTTTAGGCACTTATTATTATAATGAATTTTATAAGTTTGTACTTGCTCCTGAGATTGTCTTGCTAATGATTCATTTCCATGTTTCACTGTTCATTACTCCGAGAGAGGGTACTGACTGTGGTGGTGGGACATGTAATTTTTTTCTGCGTGGTACTTGTCAGTTTTCTACTTTGCTGGCGCGGATTAGATATTATTAAAAGACAGCAGGGTCCATTGAACAGAAGTAATATTAATATCTATGTGTACTACAGTTATTGGGGTCACTCTATCCATGCCTCTGTATTCTCAGTTTGCAAAGTGAGGTTGTAAGTAATTTCCAAAGTAGTCTTCAAGGGGATGTTGAAGATGTATTTATAACTAACATGCTAATTATAACGTATGTCCTACAAGTTTGGCACAAAATTCCGTTACTTTAATTTTAACAAACACAAGATAATATCAAAATCCGGTAGATATTAATAGATAATAAACGTATTTTGATTTGGGTGAAGTTAAGCTTAAGCTATTCCTTCAGTTAACCCATGCAAAATAAATACTGACATGAATATAATAGATAAATGACAAAAAGACTCCCCAACTAGCAAAGTAGTGGTATAAGCTTTTGGTAAAAGAACCGTTTAGCCATAAAAGCTCTCTATTGTTGTTGCCTGAACACCAAAATGCTGGCTTAATGTTTTGTGGAATGCAGATTTACTTTCTGCAACATATTTGCTCTAAAATGAAGTATTTAAAATATTCTTATAGCATAGTTATAGGCAAATTTTTAACTGTTGCATAAACGTTTATACAACTATTTTATACGGCATATTTGCACGTTAGTCAAAATGGTTGTGTTGCGGCATCCATGGTAACGTTTATAAAACAAACCGGAGCGTTGTTGTTTTGCTGTGCAATTTACTAATTTAGCCAACAAATTCCTCCCAATGGAAGCACTTATTGAACTGTTGTTTAGTAACTGTTAAAGGTTGTACATATGCTAAATAGGTTGGTGTACAACTTCACTATAACCTAACTTTCTGCTGTCATATTTTTGTTAAACTGCCATAACCAATGTTTTAAGACAAACAACGCATGCATATTGGTTCAAAAGGTTTTATCAACTGTTCAAACAGAAGATATAGATCTGGTACAAATTCTGGGTGAATCATTCGACTCTGTCGGTATTTCATTTCAGACATTTGTCAAATTGTTGTATAACACCGGCAAGCAACACCAAAATATTCTAATAAACTAAAGACAACATGGACGATGCCATGATTATACACAACCACCCGCCATATTGGGCAAACATGTATTCCTCTATTTAATATTAAATAATTACGTTTCAGTTCGAAATTACAGATATAAAGTGATAAACATTAGTATAATTGTGTCTAAATATAGGATTTGTGGAAGATTTAACGCAGATAAGTTCAGTTTTTCATCCTAAAAATCTAGACATACATCATTATCAAAATATGAATCAAATACGAAGCCAGTAGAAATTGCGTAAGTACTTTGCACGATAATCACGATAAAATTTGCTGCGCAAGTAATTCAATAGCCCTATATCACAGTGTAGAAGTTTATCATATACCTGTTTACGAAATTCACAATGGCCGATATGTAAGTAAACAAGATGACTGTAATGTGTTAGTTTTATATTCTTCACTTCGTCTATACAATACATAAGAAATAGTTTGGTTGCAATAAAGTAGAATCACATAACAGAACGGTTGTATGTTATAGTTGACAAAAACTGAATCTTGCACTGACGCAAATGTCCTATAGCGGCTGCAAGAGGCTTGCACTTTTGTTGTATAACTGTTACCTGCAGCCCTTATACAACCTCTTAAATGACTGAAGTGTCCTATTAGGTGTGCCCATTCCGCTTGTATAGGTGTTCTAAGAGGGTTTTGCCAATGTTCTTACAGCATACAATGCTGTGTAAGGAATACTGTATAATCATTCTTGCAACTCTAATAGGAGTGATAATTCATAGTTGGGTCATTATATAACAAAACTATTTTTAATTTTTGTACTGAAAAAGCAGATCTTTGAGAGAATTTTAAGGTTATCAAATGGTAGCTTAAAAAACTAAAAAGACACGCTTTTATAGCTAACCGAACTGAAAAGTAGAAAGTAATTTTTAATTATAGAGTTTATATTGCAGTAGTAGACGGTCGAACAATCAATCATAATTAATGACGTTAAAATAAAATTATAATAACATAGTTATTAACAGAATGATTCAATTCAGAGCAAAAAGCGTGGGGTGCTTGATATATTAAATGTTACAATCATTCTGTTAGCAACTGTCTATGATAGGAGAGTTACGAGAACATAGTAAAATGCAACCACTCTTTTAGCTCTGAATTGAATTATTCTTTTAATAACGAATTTTATTATAGTTTTATTCTAAGGTCATTAATTATGATTGATTGTTCGACCATCTACTACTGCAATAAAAGCTCTTTTCAATTAAAAATTATTTTCTACCTTTTGGTTCGGTTGTTTTTTAGTTTTTTAAGCCATTATTTATTTTTCGTCTTTCAGTTCAATTCTCAATCAGTTTTTTGTGAACATGTGGTATTGAAATGTCTTTCGAACCATTTAGTACTCTAATCATTTCATTTAATGCTTCAGTGTTGCTTGGAGTTTTTCCTGTGGACTAAGACTACTTAAAGCAATCAAGTTCTTCAATCCGAATACCATCTAAGGATCTTACATGACTGACTGCTACATAAGCTTGTCGAGCAGCAAACAGTCGCGAGTCAGGATAAATGACTGCATGATGGGCTGTACAATCTTGTGGACGGTCGAAGCGCAACTCATGATTAATGGCAACATTCGCAATGAACAAGGTGAGGATACACTACCTTGAAAAAGTATCTGCCTCCATTGTACTGTGCCAAGTGTCCAAACCAATGAAGAGTAAGTCCAAAAAAGCACCCATGCGCAGATCGCGCGCATGCTCTATCTCCCTTACTCGCCTACACAGGATCTATAAAATAAATGTTCAATCCTTGCAGTCCTAATAAGGAGAGTGGGAAGCTGTTATAGAATTAATTCATTGTCATCGCTCCTTGATACGTGTGCGAAGTTTGAAATTTATTAAACTTCAGGGAATTGGTGGATATTCTGCTCAAAGATTCCGTTACATACAGACATACAGGCCAAGCTAATAAAACGTGTAAAAAATGAAGTTCTGTGGATAGGCATGGTGAGTGTATTTGGGAAGCGGATATGTCTAGAATGAACACACAGACTATTTCTTAGCTTTACCTCTAAACATTGATGTAATGAGGTAATTTGGAGTTTATGAACATAACATAGTAAGTGACATTTAAATAATTTTGTAACATTCAACCAACCCAGTCTTTGAAAAGGCATCATAACGACCCCTGCAAGGAAGACTACTGAAACTCAGTTTTGGTTGAACTGAAATACAAGCATTAGAATATTTACTGATCAATTCTATTGTCAGAAAAATGACGATCTCATCAAAAATATGTTGCACATTGCGGTAATTCTTGTATATAGGTTATAAATAGTATTACAATACAAACCTAGCGAAAATGAAAATTTTTTTAATAAATTTTGTTGACTCATATAGTTTTCGTAGAATCAATTAAAGAAAAAAGTACACTTGCTCTAGACTTAGGCCCAATTTCACCAACAACAGACCGTTATTCTTCACCTATAGGGTAACAGACCGTCAGATACAGCGAATGAGCTTCAAGTTCCAATCAACAAATTTTAGCAACCAATAGCTATGAAATGTTGAAAACAAAATACTATCAAAGTATGAGATGACAACTTGTCATTGAAACATCATCAGCTTATTGAATATGAAGAAGTTACATATAATTCAGTCAAAATTTTAAGAAAAGTTTGATTTTTGAATTAAATTCATGTTTTAATTACTATTGTTGATTTTTTATTCATGTTTATATTATTTTCTTCAATTGATATGTGATACTGGGTGTTTTTTCCTATAAACCGCGTGCAGATAGCCATTAAGCACCTACTTGATGACAGGCTCTACAAAAAGATATTGCTCGTTTCCAAACATTCATTCATATACTTGCCGTTCATCAGATCCATTATGGTACCTTAGATTGATATTCCCACAAAACCATTCAGGTTTCTTGATATCTATACATCCATAAAATTGAATATTTTTCGTTGTTCCGGAACTGAACAAACATCCACACTATATTCACAGCGATTAAGAAATTCCCAAATATATGCCTCAAAGGTACCAGCAAACCTATAAAACCTGCAACAAAAAAACTACAAATTTGCTATATTTTTCTTTTTTCAGGAGTGCACATTCTAGGTTATATTTATATTAGACATTATTTGAATACAGCTGATTATTGCATTTCAAGGAGTGACAAATTTGTGGGATCTGTCAACTCTTTGTACCAGTCACAAAACATATATACTCTGAAGGTTTAATTCCATGCTATTCAATCACAACACGGTGACTTGTGTGGTTGTCAGCGGCCATTTTGTGAGGGTGCGACATGGTTGCCAGATTGTGCAATAATATCCCATTTCACCCTGCTGGTCCCAGTGTAGTAAGTTCCGCCAACTGTTGAAATATACTCTACTATCCTTTATAAGACTATTCGTGACATTTTGTCCAAAATCATTGCACAACACTTGGAAAAATGCAAATGAAAATTTAAAATTATTTCCATGACGCCACAAAATAGCACATCGGTACCTTGGGTTATACATCTTGACAGTAGGGATGTTCGATAGGATCCTATATTTAGAAGTATCAATACATTTCACGAGTATCGTCATCTTTCGATCCGGACTGTGTCAGAAAGAGTGACTGCCATTTGGCTAAGACATTACCCTGCCAAATCAGACATATCTTTCATCATTTTCAAAGAAATCGTACAAAATCTTCAAATTTGTGAAGTTAACCAACTAACAATTATCACTCCTATTAGAGTTGCAAGAATGATTATAAACTATTCCTTAAACAGCATTGTATACTGTAAGAACATTGGCAAAACTATCTTAGAACGGCTATACAAGCGGAATGGGCACACCTAATAGGACACTTCAGTCATTTAGGAGGTTAAATAAGGGCTGCAGGTAACAGCTATACAACAAAAGTGTGAGCCTCTTGCAGCCGCTATAGGACATTTGCGTTAGTGCAAGATTCAGTTTTTGTCAACTATACAACTATTCTGTTACGTGATTCTACTTTATTGCAACCAAACTATTCCTTATGTATTGTATAGACGAATTGAAGAATATATAACTAACACATTACAGTCATCTTGTTTACTTACATATCGGCCATTGTGAATTTCTTACACAGGTATATATAAACTTCTACACTGTGATGTAGGGCTATTGAATTACTTGCGCAGCAAATTTTATTGTGATTATCGTGCAGATTAGTTACCCAATTTCTACGGGCTTCGTATTTGATTCATATTTTCACACTGATCAAAAGTATGTCTAGATTTTTAAGATGGAAAACTGAACTTATCTGCGTTAAATCTTCCACAAATCCTATATTTAGACACAACTGCACTAATGTTTATCACTTTATATCTGTAATTTGGAACTGAAACATAATTATTTAATATTAAATAGAGGAATAAATGTTTGCCCAATATGGCGGGTGGTTGTGTACAATCATGGCATCGTCCATGTTGTCTTTAGGTTATTAGAATATTTTGGTGTTGCCTGCAGGTGTTATACAACAATTTGACAAATGTCTGAAATTAAATACCGACAGAGTCGAATGATTTACCCAGAATTTGTACCAGATCTATATCTTCTGTTTGAACAGTTGATAAAACCTTTTGAACCAATATGCATGCTTTGTTTGCCTTAAAACATTGATTATGGCATTTTGCAAAAATATGGCAGCAGAAAGTTAGGTTATGGTGAAGTTGTTTACCAACATATTTAGCATATGTACAGCCTTTAACAGTTACTAAACAACAGTTGTATAAGTGCTTCCGTTGGGAGCAATTTTTTGGCTGAATTAGTTAATTCCACAGCAAAACGACAAGGCTCGGGTTTGTTTTATAAACGTTACCATGGATGCCACAACTCAACCATTTTGACTAACGTGCAAATATGCCGTATAAAATAGTTGTATAAACGTTTATGCAACAGTTAAAAATTTGCCCTATAAGGTGTTGTATAACTATGCTATAGGAATATTTTAAATACTTCATTTTAGAGCAAATATGTTGCAGAAAGCAAATCTGCATTCCACAAAACATTAAGCCAGCATTTTGGTGTTCAGGCAACAACAATAGAGAGCTTTTGTGGCTAAACGGTTCTTTTACCAAAAGCTTATACCACTACTTTGCTAGTTGGGTAGCGAGTTTCACTTCATACGTTCTTACCAGACATGCCCAAATCATCAGTTGCTGCCGTGATATTCATCCCGACCACTGCATCCCCACGGCTAGGCGACCTGTATGTTAAATTTGTATTGATAGGGCAGCGGGTTATGCTATAAATCATATGTCACAGTGTTTGTGCACTGATTGCAACGGTTAGATGATACCAAAAATATTTTCATAAATAGGAGATCTCTCCCATTCCGGATCGAACAATCTACCAAAGATGCTTATAATCATGAAACCTAGTAAATTTTCACGAAAAAAATTCAAAACCAGCAAATGTAAAAGATTCATTTCGCACCCTCCACCACGGGACGTGATCGTCGTTCGACTTGGCAACCCTGCGAGTGTCAGATAGATATCCCCGCCAGTCAAAAAAGAAAAATAGACAAACAATAAACATTACTAGTTTTTTGATTTTTGGACTTAAAAGCCACTATCTGTGAAACATTTTTCATAATTTTTTGTCTATATCTACAGTAATTGCATTACGCATCAGGGAGATGTAGGGATTGACACGTCTTACACATGTTATCTGTGTTTTAGGATGGAGAGGACATAATGTTTCTATTGCTTTGAAGAAATTCATTAACCCACAAATTAGTAAATGATTACTATTATGACGTAAAGGAAGATGAGGAATTAGATGGAATGTATTTCATATTCTAATTTCTTGCAAAATACAGACAAATCCACACTATTCAACAGGTATGTAATGATAACTTTCAGTATATTGAAGTTGATAAATTCGAGAGTGCCATGCATTAACAAACGTCCTAATCTGCTGCCAAATTTAACAGCTAGAAAATCGACCTATTATTTGCCGCATTCCCATTCGCTGTGAGGGATAACGGATTGTTAAATGTAAACCTATAGCATATATCAAAATACATGAAAGTTGTCCTGTTTTTGCTGTACAAAAGCATCATGTTGGAATCAAAAAGTGGTCCTGTTTATAATACAGTCAAATTTTCACGATTTCATTCAATATTTCAATAGAAATCACTGATATTCAGAGACCTTTGACAGCTTCCGTCAAATTGCATTTCGATAAGGTATTTTTCCATTGGTCCATAATATTAATGTTGGTGAGATAGGCCCTTAGTAGGATATTTATTGAAATATTACAGTATTTTTCAAACAAATGGTTGAACAAAACCTCTTTCGTACCACTCTGTGTCACTCAAATGATATTTATCTTCGTGTTTTCCACTATAATCGTTCTCAACTTCTGTATTTTCAGCACTGGTAATATTATGTCGTCTTTTTATTTTTTTATCTTCCTTGGCTGTTAGAGAAAAATGAGAAGCAGGTTGGCCTCACGGATGTTAGGAAGACTGTTAGCTTTTGATTTACATAGGTCTAATAAACGATTTAATTTTCTAGCATCTACTGGAAGCAAGTTTGTGTACAGCAAAAGTAGCTCCTGAAGAATACTGACTTGCGGTCTCATTCTATGATAATCAATGTTACTATCCTGAGATCATCAGCATGCTCACACCTGTATTTCATTTCACGAGGCATTTATTTATTTTCAACTTTTCTCCACAATCGTCTTTGTTCCAATGTTCCGACTTCACCTTTTACTTATAACTAATGGATCCACAACCAACCGCAGACAGTTCTCTCTTTAGCCCTTAATCAGTAGGATACAGGTCTGTATCAGGTCCAGACTTGGAAATGAGAGAATTAAAACCAAACACATGAGTATTGTCTTAGCAAAACTGAGGACTGTAGTAACTGAATTCTCTTTTAAACTTTTTAATTTCACAGGCATGAGCGAAACAGACTGTGATGCGACAGATCCCAATGCATAACGTGTAGAAGAGGATGCTATGTGTTGAACCTTTATGTTGTGTTAAAAGAATTCATCACTAATTATGAACCAAGCTTGCCTGAAATTAATGGTTCAGCAACTGCACTTAGCCTCTTTGCATCTGCCAGAATTGTTTTGGTTCTTGAATTCATCTTAGTTCGCTTTGAAAATTGCTCTTTTCTTACATCTAATACTTGAAACGTTTTCGCTATTAATCACCGTAACCTCAAACTTTGCTGCAAAAATCATAGTAAGTCAGACAGTGGGTATAACAATAAGTTGGCTTTCCGTGATTCTTTGCATCGAAGACTAAGGTAACTCAATTTGATCTATTTTTCGCGGGAGCAGCCGGCACTATTATACTTACTATATGGCGTAGAAGATTTACTGGTTGCCTATAGTTGCATGACTCAGATACCATATTCTTCCACCAAAAAGAACCTCATAAAGTCTATCGATACCATATAGTAAGTCAAAAGCAAGGATTTTTGAGTTACGTTGCAGTGGTCAATAATATGGTGGTACTTTTTTAAGCTTTCTGTTAACCTACAGCAATAATTCTGTAAGCGTTTTATAGATGCCGAATCTAAAAATTAATGGTAAACAGTATCGCAATAAATCAGTTTGGAAATGATCAATGATTCGCCTAGAATTTTCTTAGTATTGTAGTCTAAATTTGTTTATTGCGGTATAGCGGCGAAGTAATAAAAAAGAACTTTTAGTAATATTATTCACATAATGTGGGATAAAATTTAGACGCACATAATGAAAAATACCTAAGTTTTCAACTGACTCATGCACTTGAATAGTTTGTCCATTCAGATATATGTTTGTGTATACTTCAATATATGTCCCTAGTTTTTTGTAGGATTTAAACGGAGGTTATGACCTTTTGCGTAATTGTCAGTAGCCTTATTCCTCATTTATTTGAGATTGTATAAAAATACGTAAAAGGAAATATTTTGGAATATTCACTAATTAGTAACAAAAATGAGTATAACATTCGAGAACACCTTTTTAAGGTTAAATCACAGTACACTGTAGAAACGGTATCAAGTATTTTCCCATAAGCTCCAGACTTCAACCACTCAAATATTCTTAAGCAATTCAAATCAATTGCTGATGAGCAAAGCTTTCTACACTGCTAAAATCATGACAGAACATTTTTTCATGTATGTATGTATGTATGTCT